GGGGGGGGGGGGGGGGGGGGGCCTGTAGGTGTTGTCGCATAAGGCAAGGCGAGTAAGGCTTCCAGCTTCTGCTGCCGCTTGCTACTTCCTCGGACGGAAGAGGAGAGAGAGAAGGAGGAGGGCAAAGGGAAAAGCAGACCGGGAACGCGGAAAGGGGAAATGTGGCTTGCTCTCATGAGGGGTCAAGACTCAAGAGGTTGCGACGTACGTAGTAGAACCGGCGAGCGCCGACAGCAAGCAATGCTTACCAGTCAGCAAACGAGAGAAGCATGGAACAGATACTGTACGCATACTAGCAAGTACAAACCAGGTGAATGAAAAGGAACTAGTGGCTTTGGGGTGCGTCATTTGGGGGCTAGTTTTTTAGAGAGAGAGCTTCCTTAACATGATGAGAGAACGCTCCGTCCCGGCGCTTGAGGAACGTGGCGTCCTGTCCGTACATGCACATTTTGGCAAAGGATCACTGGTAGCCAGGGCATTGCTTGCAACTCACTAGATGAGCTCCTTGTTTATTAATTCTCCCATTTCTTGGTCAGTGGCCGCCCCCTTGCTGCCAGCCATTCATACATCACACACTTGGCTCAGATTTCATATGCAGGCGCCCGCAGGATAGTAACAGACGAATAAAAACATAACCGGTGCTCCATAGAAGCATATACGAATGCTTCTAGTGCCCTGCGAGGCACTGACCGTTCCCTATCGACAGTGGGAGAGTTGCCGCCCGACCAGCTAGTAGGGGGGGTCTCAGTCTACGAATAGAGCCACTGTAGGGTCGGTCCCGGGGTTCTTGGGATGGGCCTTCCGATGCAGGGAGGGAAGGAGGAGGAGGAGGGGGGTCTCGAGAAGTCAAGTCAACCTGGATGAACAAACAATCCTCGTTACAATGCCCACCCAGCCTTCCCCATCCCATCCATCCGTCCATCCATCTGCGATGCCATGGCCACACGCCCGCTCTAGGCCCCTGCGGAAGCTTGGAAGCTCTGTCCCCGGACCCTGCTGCCCGTGAACAAGCTGCCATGTATGTTATTTTCATTTTATTGCTCTTGTTTTTTTTTCTTCTTCCTGGCGGCAACGGGACGGCCTGACGATACTTACTGCCGGCTCCCCTCGCATTAGAGCGGACATAAAATGAACGAAATAGTCCAACGCGACCTGTCGCCTCCGTTGGCTTGCTCTATCACATTGCACAGCAGAGACTTGCGGCTGGTCCATTGAAATGTCGTCACAACCCCCCGTCGTCCGGTGTATTAGTGATTGTGAGATGCCCAAAAAGCTACGGTACACCAGACAGTCGGGGTGCCGTGGCTTGTGAGAGGCGAGGCTGCAGCACAACTGATCTGCTGATCAACGTCGAAACATGTACTCCCATCATACGGTTATTTTTTCTTTTCTTTTTTTTTTCTCTCTAATTTTCCATCCTTGTTTCACGATAGGTTAACTATGATGGAGGTTGAGGGAGGGGGGGAGCAAAGCTGATTCTAAGCTGGGCCAACTTACTCGGGCTTATTCCGCTCTTCAACATGGCATGATCAAAGCAGCCAGCCCAGCGTCGACGTGGCCCAGCCACACATTCTAGTTAGTCGCGGAGTTGTTCCCCGACACATCCTTTCTTGCTTTTTTTTTGTTGTGACTTCCCATCCGGTGTCGGAGACGTTGTGCTTCGACTATGCCATGTAACGAAGCTTCGACGGCTCTCTGATCACCAGACGAAAATGCATGCACTGATTGTCCGTTGCTAACCTTGGCATCGCCCACCCCGGCCACAGATAGCAAGCCACACACAGGAAGCAAATCATCCGTGCTTGTTGGATCTACGACAATACTCCCCCGGTAACGGCAAACACGCCCATACACCCTTGCTGAGGAACCTGTCATGTCCGTCAAAAACGCTCTCCATTTCCGTGGCGCGCGCTAGTTAGTGAAAAAGTCAACTGCGAAGAAAAGCTGTCAGAGGAAATGCGAATTTGGTAAAATGACGTATTCATTTCCAGCACAATTCCCATGGCTCTGAAGCTTGGTTCTGTGAGCGCTTCTCTCACTCTGTTTCTCTCTAGACGGTGGGCAGTCCACCACAACCCCCCCCCTTTCCCAGATTGGCTCTCGAGCACCACAGCGTCTCAATATCCAGAGTCTAGCCCTCAATCACAATACCACAGACTGAGGCAATTACACGGCATGGATTCACAAGAAAATTCTCTTCGTCAGCTGTTCAATCGTCCTCCTGTCGCGCTACCTATGTGATTCCCCTACCGTCTTGACGCTTGTGTGATTGACAGTCAACTCTCGCAATCCGCTTGCGAGAAACCTGGAGTCTCTCAATGATTGGATGGCTTGCTTGGCTGCCCAAGGTGAGACGAAAGAGCCGGCAAGCTGCTTGGCGGTCCGGAGCTCACCTCTGCTATAAGAGCGACGTGAGTCGTCTTTGCACGAGCTTGTATATCCCCAAGGCCGAGAGCATTCCGTCCTTCTCTGTTCATCCGTAACACCGGTGCGCAGAGCAAAGACCGATAATGGGCGAGAGAAAGAAAGAGCAGCACAGCCAAGACTGTGATTCGGTCATTGTCATGCCGATGGCGTCGGAGGCGGCAGATCATCTGACGAGATGTGTAGATAAGGATCCGAGTTTCAAAACGCCCACCCCCGGGGGCGGCCGGCGGCGCGCTTGAACTCGGCTCAAACAAAAGGGGCCCTGGGAAACAAAATGCTACGTTGGAGCCCATTCTTCTGCGGCTGGAAGGCTGCGCCCAGCTTGTTAGTAGAGGGCGATCGTGCCTTGCGGAGAACGGAGATTTTTGGGCCGGCCATCTCTTTCGTGCATACAAACAACTATACCAAAAAAAAGGCCATGGACCAAAAACTTTGTCTCCACTTGATAGACAACTATAAACTTGTTTGTATTACATTCGACCAACTTTGTATGACATTGGGCGGAGGACAACCACCCCCAAATGGAGGGCCAGAGTAGCACAATCGAGGCTGGTGGTCCGTGGTCAGTCAGTCGGCCACGTACTGGCATATGCTATGAAGATTTGAAGCAATTGAAACTTGCGGAGGAGGCGTCCTTTGTGTTGCGCTGTGAGCTGTCCCGTCCTTATCCTCCCGTATCATGGATCGCTAGCGTCAAGCTGTGCAGTGTGATGAATCAAAATCACCTAACAGTCCAGTGTAAGAGGACGGCTTGTCGCCCAACAGCAATAGTGGGCGGTGCCTATGCTGTACCAGGCACACCGAAAAGATTGGACCATCTTCCCGACAGCGAGATGCGTTTCTTACTCATGGTCGCTCGACGCATTTTCGTTGACCGACGTGCGATAATTCGTAATGTTGAGGGAGTTAGAGGTGGTGATGGGGGGGTGTACATCTACTGGAGAAGAGAATGTATGTAAAGCGAGGGATCAACGACGACCAAGACGAATAAGCAGACCTAATTTTGGAACCACGCGATGGCATCTGCTAATGACACTCGGGAAATGCTGCTAGTGGCTTTTCGCCAGCGGAAATGCGCTGCAGGAGACTTGTTGGGGGGCAGTCATCACCACCAACAGCTTCGGTGGTTGTTTCTGGCAAGGGCCCCCCACGTCTCGGGCCTGACAGGGTCGGCACGAGAAAACTGATTGCCTTTCTGCACATCTATTTAGTGGCATGGCGTGTGGGTGGCGAGAGAAAAAAGCTGTCCACTCTGAGACACAGCACAACAGTGCCCTCTTCTCAGCCCATCTTCCCATAACTTTACAGGGCTCTGCGACGAGAGGAGAGAGGGGGGATGATCGCCCGCCCGCCCACAGTCCACAGTCCACAGTCCACAGCGTTTTCGCGCTGTTGCAGAGCACAAGACGTCCGTCGGCACAGCTTTCTGGTCTTTGCGCTCTTTCGAATTTCCCAGCGTTTTTGGTGTCATCCGGCGAGCCAAGGTTCGGCATTTGCGAGAGATTTAAGGCGATGCCGGCGGCCACCTTTTCCTCATGTAGTCCGGTCTAGTAGTCCGGTCGGGGTCTCGACAGCGCCGCTACGCCGTTGACCACGCCGAAGAAGCAAGCCCGGCATCAGCGCGATTTACAGGGTCCTTTTTTTCCAGATTTCTATAGCCAGTGGTGGCCGACGTCGGGCGCGCCTGGGGGGTTGGTCAGGCGTCGAAAATCCCATCAGTGGTTCGCACCACCTGCAAGGCGGACAAGCCCGTTTCCCCTTCGTTGTCGTAATCTCGTTGCCTGGCTCAGGCAAACAAATGGAAACGAAACGAATCTCGTCTCACGACAACAGCAGAAGCCAGCGGCGCCCTTGATTGCCTACTGTCGGTAGTTTACCAAGGGATGGATCCCGCCGTCAAGGTGCCCGCAACAGGATCTGCAGCATTAGATTGGCCCCAAGCCGAGCAAGGCATTTTTCCCAAGCCTTGTGACCAAAAGCTGCTCGGCGCCGACTTTCCAACGAGAGCGCCATCATGGCTTCCATTGGTAGTTTGAACGTTTTGCCCACGCTAAGCTTATCTCTGTTCGCTTTTGAGTTGTAATTGGCATAGTCGGTGAAACAGAAAGATCTGGCCGGATCGCTTTGCCGGAAAAGAATGTGTATTATTTCTTGACGTCAGAAGCAGGGCAGTTGAAAATAGAGCCCATTGTTTTCTAGTTAGCAGGGCAGTGCTCTCTCTGGACGCCCGTAGCGGCGCCAGTCTTCAGCGAATGCGGGCGTCTCCCTCCCCTCTAGAAGAGAAATCAATCTGCAAATAATTCCGTAAACACAACATTTCCTGTACATTCTCTTTACTGATAAGTAGCTATGTGCATCGCCAATTTCAAATTGTTCTTTGGTCGGAATCAAGAGCGGGCTATGGTGGAAGGCGCCGTGAGCTCCGCCCGCTCGCGGCATTCGCCCAGCCACACCACTGAGCAAACTGCTATTACGCCGTTGTATATAATTCAGAGTGACGGTGTAGATTCAATAATTACGGTATTTGTCTTATTATCCAAGACAGACGAGGATTGCGGCCCGTAGACCGACTAACGGTTATCCGTCAGTCCGTCAGCGATTGGCGTTAACAACTCGGCAGCCCGCCACACCACATACTGCGAGAGCTCGTAACCGCCGGGCAGCCAGTGACTCACCTACTCACGACATGGGACACTTGCTGCAAATAATGTCACGGTTTTAACCACCGTAGGGATGCATTTGTGTAAGCTCGGCATAGAGCACATGGAGCGCAGCAGCAGTCGACCATGAGCAACCCCGAGCCCGTCGCCAATGCTGTCGTGGAAGCTACGGGCAGGATGGGCCGAGCTCGAGCCACGGCCTCCTGCATATTCCCAATAATCTCTCAATTTCGTGGTATTACAAAGCGAGGGGATTCTCCTGTTGGGCAAGAAAATGAGACGCAGCGTGGAGCGGAGAAGTTGGCGCTGTGTCACTGTGACGCGCGCAGTGGCGCAATTCCATGGCGCGAATCCATCAAAATGCGAGACACTTGATGTCAGGTGAAGAAATTCGGCGTACTGTCATTTTGGAGGGAAAAGGGAGGCCTGGATCCCGACATGGAGGTGCTGAGTGTGCTGCGGGAAACAGAGCGCGTGCATGTGCTGGTCATACTCACCTGCTTCGTCAATAGTTGCACAAATTTAAGCAATTGAGGCCAAAAGCGAGGATTCACAGTGTTTTCAGGGGAGGGAAAAACATTGAATTGTTAAAAACTTTGCTGCGCTGGCTTGCCAGAGGTAATTGGCGATGTTGGGCTCGCGTAGCACAGAGACCCATGGCGGCCCGTAATGAATACATGCCCATGATAATCTTATACGCAAAGAGATAGAGACAGAGACAGAGAAAAGACTATCACATTCGTAGCCTTGGCCCCCAAATGAATTGGTCCTCTCACCACCCACTTCAGACTTGGCAAGCAGCTACCGTCGGCGCTCCCTTGAAAATGAGCCTGGAGATGGCATCGTGGCAAATGCCAGTATGGTTACGCCACCATGGATCTGGGAAATTTAAACTTAAACTGCGAGAACTGGCAACGAGAAGTGAAAACGAGCATTAAGAGGATATATTGAATGTTTTTACTAATTCGACTCGCTACCTGTCCCGGCCTTGCTTGCGCCACCCAGCCATAATACACGGGCGACCGCTGAACTAATTACGCGGGTGCCCGTTTGTACCGGGTTTGGTCATAAAATGGTATTTTACTATTACTTTCTGACGATTACCCCGTCATCAAAAATTTTGTAGGGTCAAAGTCAGAACTGTAGGTAATCAGGGACAAGCTACCAAATTTGTATTCGTGAGCATCTTCACAAACTCCACCACTATCCGTACTCCAACGACAGCTCAGGCTAAGCATCAATCCGCACAGATACTGTCGCGGGAAATATTATCTATGAAAAATTGATAAAAAATACTGGAACTCTGCTCAACAAGTTCGATACCATGCTTATGCATTGTACTCTGGTTATTATCCATCTTCTGCTTGAACACGGTCACGTGGGTTCGCGTCGGTGCTTGTCGCGCGCATAAAGAAAACGACGCGCTAGTGGTTCTGAATACATCTTGCTAATGAAGCATCTGAAACGAAATTTAGTCGCATCGCCTCCTTCATTCGATACATGGCTGGCGCGGCGATAATAGCTGACTCCGATGATGAGTCAGACGCCAATACCTTTTCACCACCACCCGCGGGGCAGCTAGAAGAATTGCACTCGTTTGCTAGCACCACTTCAGAACCTGTCAGCCTGGCCACGTCGTCAACAGATCCCGTCTTTTTCCAGGGCGTTTACAATGAGCAGCAGGATGCTGCTGTCAGGGAGCAGCGTCTGAGACTCACCGGAGGGGACATTACCAGTCTCCCGCTCACGGCGCCTACTGGGACCGAGCAAACAGATCCTGTGTCGCTACCCTCGCAGTATCCAGCAGGCACGCCATCCGCTGTGGAAACGGATCGTATTCGCGCTTCCAACGTGACGAAATCGGCCATCATGAGGGGAAAGAAGACGAGAAAAATCAATGCTACGTTAGCGGATCCGTATGCTTTCCCTAGCAGTCCAGAAGACGGTGAGAGCCAAGACCGACATCACGCCGGCCTGCGTTCCTCATTGAAGTCTCGCGAAGCTGTGGGTGCTGGCGTTCCCGACGATGAGAACATGGGGCCGCCCTCAAGGAAAAGACAGCGACTGGATGAACGGCAAAACAACACCGTGGACAGCTCTCTACCACCTACTGCACCTCCAATCTACAGCAGCATTCCTCCAACAATGCCTCCAATCATTGTCGATGACACCATTGACCACATGGTTGCAGTCAATTCAAGCAATTATTTGGCTCCAACAATAGATATCAACGACGACCCGTCACTCATTATACATCCGCGCGGCCTAACCAGCAGCCAGAAGGAGCAATATCAGGCGGTTGAACTTGCAAGGTCGAGTCACCCAGAGCAGCAAAAGGAGAACGGAGATCTTCAAAAGCAGTCGAACCGCAAATCTCAGCGCCAAAAGACACCATCAAAGAAGTCAACTCCGTCCATGATGAGATCGTCGAAACGACTAGCAAAGTCTCAAGCTGAACAAGGCCCTGCAGAGTCTGCTTCGCTTAGCACGCCGTCTGATGCACAAGAGATGGAGCAAGCAGTGGTTCTTCATGATCACGAAGTGGAGGCATACGGAGAGAATGATAACCAGACCGTGAGCGAAACGAAGCCAGAGGACGATGTTTACGAAGTACAACCAACGCCGGTCAAGCCGCCCAAGAAGAAGAGAGGCAGGCCAAAACGGGCAGAGAAACAGACGCAAGCGGCCCAGGATGCGCAGTCGGAGCCAACAGAATCCACCGATGCTGGAAAGCCTGCAAAGAAAAGAGGGCGACCGAAGAAATCCGAAGCAGCTGTCGTCGAGGAGCAGAACGAGGAGGTTTCACCCATAGCAAAGGAGTCGGGGACGAAACTAATAGCGGGCGATGAGGCAACGAATAAGACGGCTATCACGACAGATGGAGACGTTGAGAATCTAACAGCGCTAAAGGACGTCAAAGTCGATGACGAGAAAACGGCCGTTACACCTTGCGTTCTGGCGAAAGTGACACCGCAGAAACCAGCTGGCAATCGAATAGCAACGCCACAAACTGGAAGTGCGGGCAAACCACTGTACCGGATAGGATTGAGCAAGCGGTCAAGGATCGCACCGCTTCTGAAAACGCTACCAAAGTGAGGTGAAGGGTCTATGGCGTCGCCCAAGATCCGATCGATCGTTGGCGCAAGGAGTCTTTGCTAGCTTCAAGTCCATCATGCCGAGCCATCAAGGCTAACCACGCTTCGATCAATGATTGCATGATTTATTAATGAAATAATGATTTCTTTATTGTTTTTCAATCTTTCAGTTTACGCAGATTTCCTTGCGCACAAGATGGCTACCGACGTCCAAGCTGGACTAGACCTCAACTGGACCCTGACAATGTACTAACGCGAGTTGCGGAGGAATTTGCAGTTCATCTGGGCTAAGCCGGTGGGCGGCGACTTGACCCGACTCTCGGAACGCCGTGACTCTATCGGAGTCTCTCCCCACTGGTCGCTGCCCCTCCAGGAAGTGGCATGTGGTCGGTGACAGCTTTACCACTGGCCAGGCGTTGATGATATAAAGGGAATTTTGCAGACGGGAGGGAAGATTTAGTTCGATTCAATTGAAGCAGGCAAATTTAACACTCGGCAGGAAAAAGGCAGCACGACAAAGCCACGACGAATCGCGCGTCCATTTGCACCATCTCATCGCCGATAACGGGTCCCCCCTCCCCCACCTGCGGTAGTTTTTTTGCGACGCCATCTTGTAACCGTCAGATCGACTTTGAACATCACACTTCTGAAACTTCATTCTTTAGTCACTTTCCGCCAACTCTCTATCATTTCCAATACAATAATTTTCCTCTAATATTACACTCCGACCAAGCAGACCGATGGCGACCAATGGCACCGCTGCGGCCGATGCCCAGCCCGAGGCCACGACTGGCAACCCTTCACATCGTTATCTGAGCACTCGAGGCGATGACTCTGGAGTGCGTCTTGACCTACCCGTCATGGTTTCAATACCTCCAATTCCAGTAACAACTAACACCTTGACGCAGTTTACCTTTGAGCAGGCCGTTCTCAAGGGCCTTGCCTCCGACGGTGGCCTCTTCATCCCGGAGGCCATTCCCGCCGCCACCAACTGGCAACAATGGAAGGACCTTTCCTTTGCCGACCTGGCCTACGAGGTCCTCTCGCTATACATCTCACCCGACGAGATCCCCCCCGCCGATCTCCGCGACATCATCCAGCGCAGCTACTCGACGTTCCGTCACGCCGACACCACACCGCTCGTCCACCTGGATGGCAGCCACTACCTGCTCGAGCTGTTCCACGGACCGACATTTGCATTTAAGGACGTCGCGCTACAGTTTGTCGGTAATCTCTTTGAGTACTTTTTAGTTCGTAAAAACGAGGGCAAGACGGGCAAGGGTACGGCAAACTCCCACAGACAGCACAACACGAAACAAGCAGGCTAACGAACTGACCTGAAAACACAGACCGCCACCACCTCACCGTCGTCGGCGCCACCAGCGGCGACACCGGCTCCGCCGCTATCTATGGCCTCCGCGGCAAGAAGGACGTCTCCGTCTTCATCATGTTCCCGACCGGCCGCGTCAGCCCCGTGCAGGAGGCGCAGATGACGACGGTCCTCGACGCCAACGTCTACAACCTCTCCGTCGGCGGCACCTTTGACGACTGCCAGGACATCCTCAAGGCCCTCTTCGCCGACAAGGACGCCAACGCCGCGCTCAACCTCGGCGCCGTCAACTCCATCAACTGGAGCCGCATCCTCGCCCAGATCGTCTACTACTTCCACGCCTACTTCTCCCTCGCGCGCCAGTCGCCCGGCTTCGCGCTTGGCGACAAGGTGCGCTTCGTCGTCCCGACGGGCAACTTTGGCGACATCCTGGCCGGCTACTTTGCGCAGCGCATGGGCCTGCCGGTCGACAAGCTCGTCATCGCGACCAACGAGAACGACATCCTCGACCGCTTCTGGAAGACGGGCCGGTACGAGAAGCAGGCGCGCGGCGAGGAAGGACAAGCGGAGGCCGCCGTTGGCGCGGACCCGTCCGGCGTCAAGGAGACGCTCAGCCCCGCCATGGACATCCTCGTCTCGAGCAACTTTGAGCGCCTGCTGTGGTTCCTCGCGTACGAGTTCGCCGCGACCGCCGGCATGGACGACGAGTGGAACAAGCGCCAGGCCGGGCAGGAGGTCGCCGGCTGGCTGCGCGCCCTCCGCGACCAGGGCGCCTTCGGCCCCGTCTACCCGGACGTGCTCGCCGCCGCCCAGCGTGACTTCGAGAGCGAGCGCGTCACCGACGCCCAGACCCTCGACGCCATCACCCGCTTCTACCGCCGCGTCGGCCAGGTCCTCGACCCGCACACGGCCGTCGGCGCCGCCGCCACGGAACGCTCCCTCGGCCGCGCCGCCACCGTCCCACACATCTCCCTCTCCACTGCCCACCCGGCCAAGTTCTCGGGGGCGGTGGAGAAGTCACTCGCCGGCGAGACTGGCTTCGACTTCGCCGCGCAGGTGCTGCCCCCGGAGTTCGTCGGGCTTGAGACGAGGGAGCGCAGGGTGGCCACGGTAGAAAACGACTGGCGCAAGGTGCGCGACCACGTCAAGGCGCAAGTGGAAAAGGAGCTCGCGGGGCAGCAGTAGAGGCGGGATTACGAAAACAAAAACATAATTTGATATTAGACCAGGGCGCTTCAAGCATGTGAACAGTTTGAATTGGTACATTTGACGTTTCGTTCTTTACATAGGAGCAATAAGACTATAAGGCTTTTCTGTAGTCTCGGCACATTTCGTTATTGTACTAGCATTTGTATTATATCGACCTGTTTGCGTCTCCAATACTGCATAGTTACTGGGCAGCCACACCAAAAAAAACGGATAGTGTTTTGCTGAAGAAGGGAACACGGTCAAAAAGAGCCTTCCACCATAGTTCAACCGCCGGCATAAAACGACGAGAAAGAATACACAATTCAAAGAGCTGGTGCTGGAAATCATTCAAAGAAACGCCGACGTAGATGCATCAATAGTATAGGTAGCGTGGTTTCCTCCAAGGCTGCGCATACGCGTTTCCAAATGTTTTCTCGGAGCATTAATAAGCACAGGATGGCAATGCAGCTCATCCCGGGTTAGTATGCAGGGAGTGCTTTTCCTGGATAGCCTTCAAGTCCGTCGCTTAGCCATTGTCTTTGATGTGCTTTTTGATGAACTCAAACGACGAAAAGAAGATGGCATTGACGACGCACGAGCGGCTCATGGAAACTGCCAACCCCCGATACATGTCCCGCTTGAAGAATGTGATTTTGGGTGCAGGTTCAACCTTTTCGCCACGCGCGTAGAGAAGGGAGTTGCGCTGGTATATACTCTTAGCCGAGTCAATAGGATCTGCATTCGGTGTCAGCTTTGCATCGGTAAGAGCGGACCAAGAGGCTCGACTTACATATGATGGCCCAGGAAACAAGGCCACACGAGCCGCCGGCCGCTACTACAGCAAGTTTGTTGCTGCTGTCTCCCGCAAGCGTAGTGCCGAGCTGCTTCCCACTCTCATACACCATAAAGTATATGCCCGTGCCGACAGTATCTCTCACTGGTGAGTGTTAGCGGGATCGAAAAGGGGGCTGTCAGATTGACTTGCATTGATGTAATCGGAAGCCAGTATAAAGCCCCAAGACACCACGGTGTTTTACGATGGTCGCCATGGTCCTTAGAGTGCCTTTGTTCTGATAGCTCTGGGCGATGGCGGCGCTTGTTTTCTTGGCTCCGCCACGCTCTGCTAGCAAAACGGCTACTTGCGAACTGAGTTTGCTGAGCTCAAACGGACAGGCTAGTATGGGTATAACAGCTCCAGCCGTTGCACCGGCCGCACCAAAGCAGGCAATTGAGTACATATTTGGGTAATTGCCTGGCTTGTTGACGTAGCGCAGAATGTCGAACCCCATATTCTGTTTTACCCACCCGGCGTAGGCATGTTTCGCTCGCTGATATATTGAGAATGAGACCGTCCGTACGAGAGTAATGCTAGCCATGGGGGCCGTCACACCTATTTTTGGCATATTCGTTAGCAAGTTGTTTCAAAGCAGACATATGTGCGCCAGATATTTCGCCAAGACGCCATCGCAACAATGCTATGCTTACCGCGAAAGAAGCCACCCAAAGATTCCGTTTTGTAAGTTTGCTTCACACAATCGAGAAAGCCACGGTACTGATACGTCTGCATGCGAGTCTTGACGCTGTCGAGAGGAAACGCGACGAGGGTTGAAAAGGCGCTGGAGCTGCTGGCGGCGATTTCGATGCGGTAGCGTTTCGTAAGAGATTGGCGCGGCTTCTCACGCGCGGCAGGCGCAGCATTCTGTGTAGCTGACGGAGTCGTGTTGCTTGGCATCGTGGAAATGATTTGAGGACGAGAAGTGGCTGTAGGCGCATGTTGTGGGTTGGTAGAGCTTTCGCTTGTGCTCATTGCCTCTGGCGAGATGGCAGCGGCCGGTCACAGACGCGTTCAGGCTATGGCCCCGATGATTCGAGGCCAGAGTCTGGAGCGGTGATCGCAGCGTGGCCAGTCGCCAGAAGCGCCGTGTCCATCAATCGTCTGAGACTCGACCGGAAGGGGCGGGGAGTCAAGGGGAAAAGCGCCGCCCAAGCTTGTTCGGATTGAGATCAATTACGACGCCGAATGCGCTGATGACCTAGACAGAGTTTCGCAAACGATTGCCTTTGTGAAGAATATATTGTCCTTGAACAGTTACAAGAATTGAAGGGTATTGTGAAATACCGAGGAACGAATGAGGCTGGATACGGCGAAAAGAGGAGGAGGAGAGAGCTGGAAGGCTTGGTTTGACTCGATGATGAACCCGATGGCGGGGCGGGGGCTGCGTAGCAGTCTGTAGGTAGCCAAGAGACCCACTGGTAAATCGGCCGGCCTAGAGGCCAGACCAAGATGGAACGACACAAAGTGTGGTGCCTGTGTATCGCGCAGACCAAATCCAGACGCCTGGCGCGAGAGACAGTTTCGATGAAAATGGATGAAGGAGGGATGATTGATTGTCTTCGAGCGGACGCTATCTTGGTCGCAGCTTCTACAGATGAGGGGATCAAAAAGGTGGAGATGGGGCTGGCAGGAGCTCATGGCAAGTCTACCTGCCAGTGCTACAGGGATACAGGTGCTCCTACTAACCTATGTACATAGTTACCAGGTTAGTAGACTAGGAGCTACAGAGGTATCAACCAATGCTATGGCGGCAGTGTAAAGCTAATCATTGCATCGGTAGTAAATTGATGCTGGTCCCGCCAAAGAAGTCTTCCTCCACGCAGAAATGATACATCGTCTCCGCGATTCATTCAACCAGCTTCACGCGGGAAGCTCCTCATGCAGACAACTCGACCTATCAAGTCGAGACAGCTGCTGCAGTTGGCCCTTATTCTTATTCCTTGCTACTGTGGGGACTGCATAATACGGTTTTAGACCCGCTGCGATAGGCCGGTAGGTGAGGACTAGCTCGTTGTGGCTTTCCCTCCGTTTGTCGACGCTCCCAACTCAAACACACCAACAGCAGCCGTCAAGACTCAGCACGTCAACAACCAGAGCAGAAGTCAATTATCGATTATATTACTTCTTCTTCGCCGTAGTTGAGATGCTAGATACAGCCGTCATCACTCGATCCGGCTTTGCAATCGATCCCTTCACTATGTGACCAACTCTCTTCCTACTGTTGGGTCCATCACCGGACGGATATGCTGCAGATGGCCTGGCACGAGATTCGGCCGACCGATGAACTTGATCCAGCTGTATGGGTCGGCGAACTCATCATTCAGCGACGCACGCTGGCCTTGTACCGCCTCGGGAAACTCGCCTGCCACGCCAACCGAGCCTACCTCCGCCTTATACGCCTCCCATAATCGCATCAGCGCGGCAAACTTGTCCGGTTCTGCGTAACGAAGATTCTCGGTCTCGCCAGGGTCGTTCTTCATATGGAACATCTCCCATTCCTGTGGTCCTCGCGGTGCTGGCACAAACACTAGCTTCCAGTGGCCTTGCCTCAAGGCTCCGGACCCGGCAATCTCGAATCCCGTCACATAGGTCTCCTCGTGGATATCAAACTCCTCATCCATGCAGCGGGTCGTCTCGTCGCCATTTCTCGAGTGCAGAGAGCGCAAATATGGCAGCCAGCTTTTCCCCCGCAGCCCAGCAACCTCTCGGCCCTTGTAGTGTGTGCCTGGGTGCGTCAAGCCGGCCATCTCCAGAAACGTTGGCACAATATCCATAACGGTGCAATATGCTTTGGTAATTCGGGCATGTGAAGCATTCGTACCCTTTGGTGGCTTGACAACAAGCGGGACTCGACAGCCCCCTTCTGTCGAGTGCATTTTAAACAGCCGCGATGGCGCCGTGGCGGCTTGTGCCCAAAGCGCTCCGTACCACACAAAGGAATCTCCCCGGCCGATATTGTCGAGGGAGTTGTTATAGTATTTGGCAATGTGAGCTGCCACCTTGTCTCCCATGATCGGCTGGGCTTCATACGAAGCTCCTTCGGCCCCGTTATCCGACATGAACAAGATCATGGTGTTGTCATATTCTCCCGTCTTACGGAGATGATCGACAACTCTGCCGATATTCCAATCCATCCGATCAACCATGCCGGCATATACTTCCATGGCTCTGGCAGAACTGTCTCTTGTTTCTTGGGGCAAATCTTCCCATTGCTGAGACTCATGCTCACCAACACACACAAGCGGATGGGAAACGACGTCCTGATCGACGAGGCCAAGCTTCTTCAGACGCTCAATACGTTCAGATTTAAGAATCTGAGGCCCATTGCGATACATCCCTATGCACTATGAGTCAAAAGGGTTATTTGAGAAGGGAAGTATCCTGCTACCAGTTAGGGCATCATACCGCGATATTTATCTGCTACATCCTTCGGGGCCTGTAGTGGCCAATGGGGTGCAGAAAAAGGTAAATAGGCGAAGAACGGTATCTTGTCATCATCATTGTCTCGCTCAGAGAGATATTCGATCAGTTTAGAGGCATAAGCATCCGAAGAATAGAAGTTCTCCGGAAGTTCGGCAATGTGACTGTCCTGGACGTGTAAGGCTCGAGTGGCTGTTTCGAAGAAACGATCTGCGTGGTCCTGATCCTCATAGGCTGGTTCATAACCTACAGTAGGGATCGGTGTCAGCAGATACTCCTGCCTTCGACGATTTCATGGCAGCATACCATAGTGGTTAGCACAGCCAGGTAAAAGGGCAAAAGATTTGTGGAAGCCACGACGTATGGGATAGTGCTGGGGCTTTAATCCGAGATGCCACTTCCCGGCCATCATGGTGTGATATCCGCCGTCTTTCAGCAACTCAGGGAGAGCAACGACGCGCTCATTCAAATAACCCTCGTGGCCAGGCTGGCCTTGGTGAGCGACAGAGCTACGCGTGAACTCGGCCAACTCTCCCAGACCGGCAATGTGATGGTCAGTACCTGTCATCAGCATGGACCGAGTTGGCGAGCATGCTGCGGCAACATGGAAGTTTGTGAAGCGGAGGGCATTTTCTTCTCGAGCAAGAGCATCAATGTGCGGTGTCTGGATCTCGGAGCCAAAACAACCACAGTCGCTAAAGCCCAGGTCGTCGGCAACAATAATCAAGAAGTTGGGCCGCGTCATTGAAAGAGCGCTGCACCCAGCAGATCCAAGACCAAGTGGACAAGTGAAGCACAACTTTACAGTAACCAAGACGGAAGGAAGAGGAACGAATTTAAGTACAGACAACAACAGACACAACCGTCTACACAAAGCCACCCACATACACCAACCAGCGCCATTCCATCTCTATGTTCCCCTCATTTTACGGATTAAAGCAATCACAGTTAGCCGAAGCCTCGCCACGATAAGCTGAACCCGAGACGAGGAACTCGCACGAGCAGGGCTGCGCCGGTCTGCATTGCCACGAGGCATGAAGTATTGAACAGCGAGCTTGTATGCGGACTTCGGCAAGCCCTAGCTCCATTCCTCCAGACAGTCTTGGCTTTCATACCCATGCAAGCTAAATACAAAGGCAGGTATCGGCAAGTGATGCGAGCGAGCGGTACCACAATCTGCACGGACTGAGAATGGTAGGGGGCGGGGAGGAGAACAGAAGGCATCCCGGTGGGACATGTGTGCGCCATGGAGACGAGGCTTGCGACATACTTGCAGAACGGCCAATCCAGTGGCGTACTTGACCTCGCCGATTTTCTACGGCTGGATTCCCATGCATAGAGCTCGGAGAAATTATGTATGCGTGACAGCGGGCGACCAGGCTTGCGTGGCTGTTTGGCGCAAGCAAACAAGCTAAGCTGCGGCACCGAATGGGCTATGGGTTCTTCGACTCCATTGGTAATGAAGCAAAGCTTAAAGGGCATTCTCTTTGAAGGTCTAGGCCGTCGGGGACCAGGGCAAAGGTTGTCCTCCGTGGCCTCGCATTGCGTGAGGCGACCCTTGGCACAATGGTGCAGTTTCCCAAGACATTCATGGTCGATTACGAAGAATGCCGAACAAGATTCCAACAGTTCCAATAGACCTACATTTTCGATGACTTGGTGATTATGAAGACGACAACGACATAGTGCATTGTTTGCTCGCTCATACCTTACTACCCGAAACCCGCCGTGATACACTCACCCTCTCGTTTTCCAATATTGTGAACGAAATTTTTCAGGGCGCTTAGTGGTCTGAGAAACTGCGGTGGACAAGACCAGAGCCAGAAACAGCACAACAACTATCCAAGGGCGGCGGTTTGTGGCTTACCTAGCGGGCGTGGATTCATTTTAGAGCCTTATTACCAGCAAAAAACATTGGCGTACAAAAAAAAAATCGAATTGCCGCTTGGGGCCTTGGCTAGAGACGCTAATAGCGGTGAGTCTAGGTGCTAACATCATCCAATATCAAACTGGAGAACAGACGTCGCTCGGCCCGTCCCATCTCGAACCCGGTGGCACGGCCGAGAGGGAGCAACATGCCACAAGTCCTATCCGGACCTACGTACCATACTGGTCTCTTGCCGGGTGGCTTCTGAAAACTGCCGGCATGGATAATTTCGCTCCCTCGTTGAAACCTACGTGTCTCATCCGTGTTCTGCGTTGTTACTTCGTATCCCTCCGCGGGGATCGGCGGCGGAAATGTGTGACACGGAGGAAAGAAGCCGTTCCGAACGGAACGGCGGCTCACATTGGTCGTCGCAGCTCGTCTGCCGCTTCAAGACCAGTCTCATGGAGGCTACGGTTATGGTTTACAAGTATTATCGCAGACACCAAATACCCGGTTAATACTTCCCTTGCGCTTGCTGCCGTATACATGGTATATTTTTGGACATTGTGTTGCAGGGATTTCCGGCCATCCCCTCCTTCCCTTCCATCCCACAAGGTCTCTGGAAGCTGTCGCTCGCTGCAGGACTCCGCGAACTCCGATCGTGGCTGGGTACGACTTTGTAAGTTGCATCACTGACGGTCCAGGCCCCCGGGAGCCGTCGCAACACAAAACTATATGCCAGAATGGGTAAAATGGACGGGGAGGCAGTTACAAAGCTTTCACTTTATCAATTTCGCTCGTGCCCACGAAGCCCCATGGCCAAGGTTTTAGGTCCATGGAACACTGTTCCAGTTGGCTGCTCCCTCGTCCTTTGTCTGAGTTCTTGTCGCCGACTTGCCAGCTTCACACTTACAAGCGGCCGCAACCTATCCATGCAACGCTACACATCCCCACCACACTCACAATATCACCTTGCATGGGCTGTGATGAGCGAGAGCCTTTCCTGCATCTGATTCGTAAAGCGCCGATAGGAGGGGATCAGGACGCGCTACTGAGTACGGAGTATGGAGGATTCATCTACAACAAGGCTGGTAACCTGATAAGCACCACGCTCCCCAATGCCACCCGTCTTCGTTCATGACTTCCAGGCCCTCTCGGCGAAACTCGCTGGTGCCCTCCCCCAGGCTCGCAAATGCGAGCGTCGGGACCGCTGGGCTGGGCCGGTTTGCACCTCTGTCATCGGTATCACGCCGCAGACGAGCGCGACAACGATCTTTGTAGGTTGGCAGTGGCCGCATCGTCGAGCTGGGCCACGCCAACTGCAGCAGGTTGCGCGGTCTACGAGGGAGGGTGATCTAGAGGGTCATGATCATCATGCGTACCGACCAGCCTGGCGCAACCAAGCTGAACCTCTTGGACGCCTCTTTGGGCGCATCTCTGGTCAGTCTACAGCCGGCCAGGCCCGCAATCTTGCTGGCTTTCTGAGCCCCCCCTTCCCCCTCGATCTCTTACTCGCCGCACGCCGGTTGCGGCCGCCTCTCGGAGGCCCAGCCAAGCCGCTGGAAATGCTGCGCGAGAGCCTGGCCGGGCATGCAAGAGGGGGCGGAGGCGGAGAAGCGAGAGACCCGTCTCCGCACCTGCATCGCCGTTACCCATCGCAGCGAAGAGACTGGCATCTTGCGAGCTTTCACGAAAGGCGCGGTCAGGTTAAACCAGCGCAATGGTTTCAGGTAGCAGGCAGTGCTCTTCTCCATGCTGCCTCCCTCACCACTGGCCTCGCGGGTTCCCGTGCTCGTCCGGATTGTGATGGATGGGCTTGACCAAGGAAGAAATCCCGCGTCAGGTGCATCTCTTCGTGTGTGCGCCTTCTCGGTAACGGAGGGCAACTTTTAGCACGGCTGCAATTGTCATACTTTATAGTCGGAGGTCGCCTCTCTGATTTTGCCCCTTTCTAGACCGCACCTCTCGACGGGGCCTACAACCCAAATTTATAGGCCTGCGAGACCCTAGTTCAGAGTATTGTTTCTTCATTGAGTGCTTTGCGCAGATCACAGTCATACTTGGACAGGATAACATGGCGATCCTATAATGCAGTTATACCATTTGCAACTTGATTCGATGCTTATGAAAACTCCCCGTCTATATACGCCAGGAAGCACCGGCGCCTTCCCCATGATGTATGCAATGCTATTTTTTCTTACTTTTGACATGTTGCAGTAATATCGCTTTTACGTACGCTATGCCACTCCGACAACGATGCGAAGTGGAAAGCGTTTTGTTACCGGAGCCTGGATCCCTCTGGTGTTCCCCTCCCATCGCCATGCCCAGGCGTAGCGTACAAGAAGCTCATGCGTCCAATGAATGTACACCGAAAGCTGATTCGGCTTCGTGTGTCCGCTACTGCCGCGGGCCATTGCGGGGAATGCTGTGTTGTGCACAACCTCATAAAATTCCTCTTCTGCAGCCAGTGTGCATGTCGTCCTCCTCGCAAAGAGGGATGGCTCGGCCTTGTCATGCTCAGTATAATGCGGGCCGTGCCGCTCATGACGCAGAGGCAGCGGCGTCGCCGTTCGTCGTCGCACCCTCCGCGTCTGTCGTACCGTCGTCCCCGGCACCGTCCGTCGCGTCATCGGTGGCCTGGCCGGCGGCGGGCGGCAGCTCGAAGCCGTGCTGGGCGGCCAGGCGCTCCTCTTCCCTGCGCCTCTGGAGCGCCTCGGTCTCGCGGCGGAGTTTGTGCAGGTTAAACATGTCGTCTTCTTCTTCATCCTCGGACTCATCCTCGCCGGTCCACTTGCCGCTCTCGAAGAGGGCCCTGCCCGTGTTGTCCTTAGCCTTGCGCAGCTGCTCCTCCGCGGCCTTCTTGTCGAGTCGGCTCTGCTTCCACTTGGCAAACGTCTCGGGCGTGACGGGTGTGAGCGTGCCGGTGAGTTTGTGGCGTTCGGACTCGAGGAAGTCTTCGAGGGTGAGTGTCTTGAGCGGCGACTTGTCGAGAAGGGCCTTTTCAGCGGCCCTCTGCTCCTTCGTCTTCAGTATGAAGCTGCAGAGTCGGGGGTTAGCGTCGAAATGTTTCTAGTGGGAAAAAAACAACATACCCTGGAGGTAGAGCATGCTTGTACATGCACTTATCGCCGCCATTGGGGCAAATCCAAAACCAGCCGTATTTGCCGTCTTCGATCGCAGAGACAAAAAACTTGCACACCTTGTCTGTGGTCGTCTTTTGGTTGCCCTTCTTGGACAAGACGACGGACCGCAGCTTCTCCTCGTCCCAGTCCGCCGACGTCTCCTGCTTCTTCTTCTCGTCCTCGTCTTTTCGCTCGTCTGTGTAAAGGTTCTTCTTTTCCGTCTTGCGCTCCACTGACAGGTCGTGCGCAAACTTGCACTTCTTGCCCTTTTCGCAGTCGCCCTTCTTCCAGAAGATGCAAACGACGGTCTTGGGGTCCACGCCGAACGGGATCTTCTGGATCTGCGCGGGACGGCCGAGGAGAAGGGCGGCCTCTTTCTTGGCGTCTTCGGCGGCCTTCTTCTCGCGCTCGCGCTGCGCCTTCTCGGCCTCCTTCTTCTTCTGCTCGGCGGAGCCGCTACCCTTGAGGTTGCTCGTCATCTGGGCAATCTGCTTCTGCGCCGAGGCACCCTTCTTGTTCTTCATGCCAAAGGTGCGGTCCTCCACAATCTTGGAGGCCGAGGCCTTGTTCTTGGCGGCGGCCGGTTGCTTCTCCTTCTTCGCCATGTTGGGTGGGTGGTTAGGCGATGACGCTCGCCAGCGGGTGAGTGGTGGATGGTGGGGTAGGCGGAATGATGTAGAGACGCTCCGAATATCGAAATTGAAGTGCCGTCCCAAGTAAATGACGGTATTCCCTCGCTATTGAATGTTTTAAACGGCAATCTTGGCCTCTGCTGCCCTCGTCGTTGGCCAAGAAGGCTTGTCGTCGTAAATTCGTCGTAAATCTTGTAAAAGATGTTTCGACTCTTTAGTGGGGAGTCTACTGTGGGTGGATGAGGTCACTAAAAATCACGTGCACGCCCTCTTCGTTTTTGCGGGTGAGCCCCAGTAGCAGAGCCAGCGCTATGCTGGCCAGCCAGCTTCCAAGCCTAGAGTGTCAAGTCCCTGGTTGGAGCTCCTGGAAGCTACGTATACCAGTTCCATCTGCACATTCTCGTTTCGCTTGCGGCAACACAACACAGAAGCGCAACCTTGTCGCGGCTTTGTAAGTGCTTCAAATCAGATATGGAATGCCCGCCTCTATGTGATCGCTAATTTTGTGAATAGTGCACTCCCGTCCCCCATTCAGAGGCCCCTAAGACGGTTGCGCCGACAAACGATTCGCCAAGATGATTTCCGATAACGATCTCTACACTCTGGCTATTTTCCTCGGATCTGCTGCCATGCTTCTCATCATTGTGTATCACTTCCTCGAGGTCAACTCAACGAAAAAACCCGTCGCTGGCGCCAAGACCAAGTCGACATAGCAGGATGACGTGGAAGGAGCGGTGCTGCGCAGACGACACGCGAGCGAAACGAGCGCATTGTACATTAGTCGAGCGTGGTTGGGCAAAGCAATCCTATTTTATGGCATGGGTGCCTTCAAAGAAGGGAGAAGCGTACAATACCATATTACACAAAAGATCTGGGTCCGGTAGCGCATGCAGGTCTATTTCTGCGGTTTCAGAGGCGTCAATTGATTTGTTCCATTTTCAAGTTACGTCTCGTGGTAGTGCATTGCGACATTATGGTTTCTTGTTAGCCCGGCGAGGATGTGTGATTCTTCAAATCGGCTGGCAGCGTTTGCAGATCATTATACGGTGTTGGGTCAGTCCGTGTTAGATCGAAATAAGGGACAGCAGGATTTGGCTGGGGTCTTCGGTTTGATTGAAACTGCAGCGTCTTCGAAATTCGCGTGATTCCGCTGCGACTGTGTGACGCTGAGTCGTCGCAGTACTTCAGTGTAACTTGGCGCGTGAAGTTGCCTCGAGCCGATAGTGTTTGGCTTGCTTGATCTGTCTTTGTATCAATGGTGCATGGGCGGCTAGACTACCCACACTTTCACCATGGAATGGACGATGTGTAAGTCATGTGACGCGAAGTTATTAAAGTCACCTCCTAATTGTGTTAGCTTATCTGGAAAGTGCGGTCCAGTACTGATTGAATTGCTGTTCTTTGGAGCGGTGCGAGTTGCCGTTTGCCTTGAGCTTGGACTCATGTAAACACACACTATGCTTTGTGACTGCTTCCTGATTGGGAAGTGAGCGCAGCACGTGACGAAGCCTTCCTAGGCAGCAACAGCTTGCTTACGTGAAGCAAACGATTGGCCCACAGGCACCCGTTCAACTTGAGCTTGCGCTTGCCTTCGCGCCCCCCCCTGTCTTGGAAGCCGCGCCCCATCCTCTTCCTCGTCAACTTCCCTCTCTCTTCTTCTGACTTCAGCCCAACCATCCCACGTTTCCCATCGTTGGTTCCTAGACTCTGACCCCAGTTGCCATCGAGTATATCAAAGGCGTGCTTCACAATCCTTCGACGATCGTTCTCTCGATTTTTCTCTTAATCTCGACAGCGCTTTTCCCCAACGCCCAACAGACCTTCTCCTGTTGTCACCCAAGCTTTCCATCTGCGACCGATCTATTCTCTACGGCGCTCTTGCTACACACGCACAAAACTTTTTATTCACGACCAAGTCTTTTCTTCAAACTCATCATCATGTCTGGAAAGCTTGATAAGCCTCTCGACGATATTGTCTCAGCCCGCCGCAAGAGCGCTGGCAACCGTCGCCCCCAGCGTCGCAGCACCGGCTACACTGCCACCGCTCCTGCTGGTGGTATTCACAAGACAAAGGCCCCCGTCCGCGGTGCTGCCGCTAAGGGCGCCCAGGGCAAGGGCGCCGGCCCTCAAGGCGAGAGCAAGGTGATTGTCAGCAACCTGGTAAGTTGCAAATCCTTCACATGTCTTCCAACACACACAGTCGCTAACTAGTCATTTCAGCCCAAGGATGTCTCGGAGCAGCAGATCAAGGTATGTTTCCGTTGAGGCTGGTCACGCCCTCGGACTTGTTCGATCTTTCCTTCATCGCTACGTTTGCTCCCAATACCGAAGTGCAAGGATACCCGAATCCAGACACTGAGCCGCCGCGCCTGAGAAACTAAGTCTGGCCTTTGTCTCCTTCCCGATTATTACTTGACGCGATCGGTCGAAGTTGAGAGCATTTCGTCTTGCCCAAAGCCTGTCTGCTGTGCCTGGTCAGCATTTTTATTTCGCAGAGGCCGCAATGACCCAAGCAATGCGCCAATAGACTGTCTCATCGAAATTGGTATGAGAAACGCACGATCCGCACTGCTTGCAGTGTTGCTGTCAATTTATTTTGATTCAGCGAGTTCGAAATGAATGCAGCATGCCTGCCCGTGAAACGGCTCGCAAACGCAGTCAACTGCTTGTCCACTCTCCGTGCTGGAAACATGCGCAAGATGGACATTGTCGTTCGGGTTGGGAAGTAAGACGACACCCTAGTTCGTATCTCGTTTGGCTGGAATATGTCGACGCAGAGTAACAAGAGAACCAGGGCAAGCAGGAGGCTTCTAGCGTTGCTGCTAAAATGGCATAGGCGATTTTGCGCTTCGCAACAGCCTGCACATGTCTCGAAACTCGTTGATCATCATGACGACTCTCGTTACGGCTCTGAAATGACGCGTACCTATGGACAATCTATCGAATGAAGCTCGGAATCGAATCTTGGCCGTTTACACGCATCACATCGCTTCCGGTTTACTAACCCATTCTGCCCCCTATAGGAATACTTTGTCCAGTCTGTCGGCCCCATCAAGCGCGTCGAGCTCTCGTATGGCCCCAACTCTCAGAGCCGTGGTATTGCCAACGTAATCTTCCACAAGCCTGATGGCGCTAGCAAGGCCTTCCAGAAGCTGAATGGTCTTCTCGTTGACGGTCGCCCTATTAAGATTGAGATTGTCGTCGGCGCCGCTCAGGCTGACAAGGTGATCCCTCCGATTAAATCGCTTGCAGAGCGCGCTACGTAAGTCAAACATTTTCCTTGGTCCACTTCCACTACCCTGGATTAGTTCTAATGTCATTACAGTCAGCCCAAGGCTCAGCCTAAGTCTGCTGCTGCTGGAAAGCAGGGTAACGGCGCTGGCAAGGATGGTGCCAAGGGCAAGGGCGGCAGACCGGCCCGTCGCGGCCGCAACAGTCGTCCTATCAAAAAGACGGCGACGGAGCTTGACGCCGACATGGACAACTACATGGCAGATTCTGCTGCCGTTACTGCTCCTGCCGCTGCGCCGGCCGCTAATGGCGACTCCGCAATGGCTGATGAGATCAGCGTAAGTAAGCCCTTCGTTGAGGATGATTGATGATTGTAACGCGAGAGTAGTAAATGGCGAGAAACGTTTGGTAGTAGAGATGGAGGAATTGTAATTATATACGCTAAAGCTGCTAAGAAAGAGTGCCAATAAATACCACAGAAGAGAAGCGTTGCTGCGCGACAGATTGGCTTGCTAAGAGCAGCAATAGAAGGAATTCAACAGAATGTACTTGTGAAAGATATTTGCTGATGGCGTATACCGTTTTGTGTAAATGCTTGTAATTGTCCTTTCTGAGGAATTGCGAGACTGACCATCGAGTGGTTAGAGTAAGACATCGCAACTCGAATGAGCAGAGTTGGTTGACAGGGAGAGAGATCTCTCTGAGCAGGCATCCTGACTGATGGAGGTACAGGAGGCGAGAGAAGGGCAAGTCGTGCTTGGCTGAAGAGCAGTGGTGATAGTAATATTGTTCGAGGTGGCATCGGTGTAATAGCGCGGTTGTCGCGGACCTTGCGCTACTGATTTTGGTTCCGAGTAGCGTTCATCGGCGGGCCATGCAACGACGCAGGCGCCGCGGGCGACGTCTTTCGCCGCGTCGATGGAAGAGTATATATGCGAAGTTGACATGATGGTGAGGTTTCTGGTTGCTCGATCCGCAAGTTTCTTTGTTCTGTTTTGGTTTCCAAAGTCTTGGGGGGAGGGCTTTTTGTATTCGTTGATTGAGTTGTTGCTCCCGTGTGAGTTGAGGAAGAAAGTGATGCGGAGTGGTTGTGGGCGGAAACTTTTGGGGCAGTACCGTAGATGGGGTTTGACTGAGATGAGGAGAGAAGAAGAAACACAAGAAAAAGAAAAGCAAGGTAAAAGGGAAAGGTAAATAGTTTGTACGCAAGGCGGCGAAACAAAGTTTGGCGTTGGTATGGCCGGGAGCAACAGAGCTCCCAACCACAACTGAGAGAGAACCGCCAGGGCGCCGCAAGGGAAGAGGAGGGGGGGAGGGTCCAACAGAGAGCATGAGGTCGGACGAGGTTAGGGTGTGTGTGTATTATGGAGGTGGTGGAAAAGGAAATATGCTTTCGTCAGAGGCAAATAATAACCATCATAATGGCTCGACGATTTTCTTTTTTTCTCTCTCTTTTTTGTTTCCTCTCTTTCCTCCTCCTCGCCTCCTCTTCAAAGTCACAAACATAGGTAGTCACTCACCAGCAAACTCAACCCCTGCTTGGGGCTCAACTGAACCCTCTCCCGAAGGGGGGGGAACCGGGCCGGGCAGCCAGAGTCCCCCCCTCCCGGTCTCTTTGTGGACACTGAAAAGCAAAAAAACCAATAAATATGAAAGGGCAAAGAAAATTGAATCCTGGTCAAAAATTGCGGATATTGGATGCAAAGAATGGACAAGGTCTCGGGCGTCGTGGATATGAACCAGATCGGGGAGGGGCGCGGGATCGGGGGGGCGTGTGTGATCTACGTTTGTCTTGGACAAAACAAAAGTCGTGCAAAACTTGGGGTTGGGTTTCTGGCATCATGGAAATGCTGGGCCGCCCTTCCCCTTCCCCCTCCCTTCCCCCCTCCCTCCCTTCATTTCAGTGCCCCCCAGCTGTTTTCTTTTCGGCCTGATGAATGGATGGGGTTCTCTCACATGTGCATGCTCGCGCGCACGCGCATGCCCGCCGCACTGCCTGCGGCCAAGCAGGTCAACCCAGTCCGCCTGCATGGAGGAAGGGTTGGGGGGCGTTTGGCCTGCTTTCTCCCCATGTCAGATGTCAGCTGCCCGTGACTTGGGCACGTTTTGGGGTAGTAGTGGTAGTGGTGGTGGTGGTTGTGGTGACGGTGATGTTCTCCTCATTGTCTTGTTGGTTGGGCTGCTCTCTGAGCATTTGGTCCAACGTCTGGTGATGCTGCCACTGCTTGGAGCTGATGACTTGCTGCACGATGAACGTGGGCAGGCTCACATCCCCGCCTTCGTCTACACGAGATGGCTCACACGACTTGCTGAGGCGCTGCGCCAAGCGGTGTTTATTCCTGTCCGCTGCGTAATACATGAGTCCCAGCATTTGGTGGTAGTGCAGCTGTGCCCACTCAATGTTGATTGGTTAGTCCGCATCAAATTTTAAGAGAAGCAGGTATTATGAAATCAATGTGTATTTGTATCCATCGGAAATTTATAGCATACTTATTACTGGTAGAACACGATGTTCCTTGCCAGTTTGGTACCGGTCAAGTGACGTCGGTTTGCCATATCTCTTGGCACAATGCACTGACCTCTCAGAACGTAGGCAGGTGTGAAGACGGCTAAGAGGTGAAAATGCATCAGTCGTCAATGCGTTTACCGGGATGCTCCCAGTAATTTCTTCGTTTTCTTTGTTCTTATTGTTTCTTGATATCTCAGTCTCTATCTTGCCCGCCCAACTTGCCAGTGTGAAACGAAACGACTCTTTTTAGAATACCAAATACGCCCATTCGATTTTTCCAACCTGCGGCTGGCAATAGTCAAAGTTGATACACCCGGGCTTAGGCCTTAGTCGTGGGAACCTCCTCGACGTCATCCTCCTCCTCGTCGCCGCTGTCGACATCCTCGGCATCGTCGCCACCGAGATCGGGCATCTCGCCGCCGCCGGCCAACTTAGAGAAGTCGATGCCGCCAAAGTCACCTAGGAGCCATTAGTACATGTAACATATGGGTCAGGTCAGGCGGAAAGGCAGGTATGCAACCTGGCGCCAGCGCACCAGCGACGACCATCTCCTTTCACACCAGCATCTCACGTACCTCCCATGCCAGGCATGCCGCCCATACCGCCAAACTGTGAGAAGTCCTCCTCAGGGGCCTCGTTCTGCTCGTCCTCATCAACCCACTTATCGAAGTCGGTCTTGAGGAAATGCAGACGCTGGCTGTCCTTGAGCAGGCGGGGCCAGTACTCCTCCTTGAGCTCCTTCTTCTGGAGCTTCATCTCCACGTTCTTGGCCGTGTGGTTGATCTTGCTCTCGGCGGGGTCGATCTCAGCAAAGAAGTCGAGCACGACATGGTACTTGCGCTTAAGGGTACCCGAAGTGCCGGTGAAGGAGAGTGAGGTGGGGGTGAGGTCCAGCTTGATGTCGTCCTTGGGAACGTCGGGGACGGAGATAGTCAGGTAGACAAAGTTCTTGGCGGCATCGGAGCTCGAGGAGCGCTGGGCCCAGAGGACTGCAAAGTCGTTAGCATGCAGTCGAGACAGCCACCGAGCTGGTGCGTCGGTAAGTGGTAGTGGCGGTGGTGGGCGTCGCGCGGAGAAAACAAATCATCGGCCAGCTTCGATTGGGCCTGGATGCATGCGCGTGGCGCGACGGGCAGCGTTCCTTTGGCGACGCAGGATAGCTGGCGGCAGTCGGGGACGAATTCCGATAGCTCTCGCGCTCGAAGTTGGCTGTGCACACCGAGATGGAAAAAGGCGACGTACCTTCAGGAGTGGCGGTCTCGGTAGACATGGTGGAGATTTGTGGTCGGGGTTAAATGAAATTGCTTGCTGCTGCGACGAAGTCACAAGAAAGAAAAAAAGCTACGTCTGCTGAGCAATGGCTAGTCGTGCGCTTTCGAATGCGGGATCGTGAGGTGAGGTATGGAGGAGTGGAAGATGTGATGGAGCAAGAAGGTTGATTTCAGAGGTGGCGGCGCAGTTAGAATTGTGCTGCAGCAAACGGAGCTTCTGCCACTGTAGGTAACTACCTAGGTGTTACTGTTGGGGGATTTTTGTTTGCAGTGTTGTTGCCTTGCCCCCCTCTCCTTCCATTGCCCACCTTCAGCCCTTTCTGGCACATTCTACGGTGGCAGGGCCCAGCTCCGTGAGCTAAGGAGTACAAAGCTGTCGTAGCAGTCCTCCTGCTTACATCAGGTACCTTGTTAACGTCATCGCACTCAGTGGTACTGTGTGCCGACCACAGTAACAGCTGCCCCTCTGCTGGTCGCCGCGCAGATGTGGGCCGCCTCGGCGGGCAACCTGTGCCGTCGTCTGGTAGGTATTTATGTGTGGCGGCATTGTACGGCGCGAATGCCTTTAGTTGACGGCCAAAGACGTGTAAAGGCGCCGACTATCTGTTCTGCGAGAATTGACTGCAACTTCCAAAAGCTGTCTCATCTCGGCTTGAAAATTAGCTGCATGTCAAGGCCCTCTGTGAGCGCCGTTGTCAGTGGGCAGAGCAACCCCGCTGCGCCACATCTTCAGGTGGCTGCCTCTGCTGCGTTGACTTCGGTGGCTGTGGGGTTCACTACGTGATGTCTGGCGTTGCGTCGCTGCTATTACCTCTCGCTGCATCCCACTTCCGTTGCTATTGACAGCCTCAGACTCACCAGGCTCTGCAGCCAGAGCGCTAGCACGGCACAGCTACCTATCTACAAGACGCACACGAAACAAGCACGCAATCGCAACCTCTAGCTTAGATTAACCTCCTCCGACCGTCATCTCTGGCCTTGATTTACCAGCTTCCCCGCGCCGAAAACCATGGAGACGCTTAGGGCCGTCTTCACCAAGCCGGACCCTCAGGCACAGGTACGCGATAAGCTACTCAAATGCCCTTGATTTCTTCTTCAACGTGCTCTCCTGACGCCCAGCCCCATCTGTCACTTTAGGCCCGAAAATGCAACGCACTATTGCGCACCAACATCCGCAAGCTCGACCGCGACATCAACAACATCAAGCAGGCCGAGGCCAAGGCGCGGCAGCTCATCATCCAGGCCGACCGGCGCGGGCAGCGCGACCCGTCCCGCGCCGCGCAGGCCCGCAAAGAGGTGCGCCTCTACGCCGGCGAGCTGATCCGCGCGCGGCGGCAGACGGCGCGCCTGCACACGGCCAAGGCGCAGCTCGGCTCCGTGCAGATGCAGGTCAGCGAGGCCTTTGCCGTGCGCAAGATTGAGGGCTCAATCCGGTCCAGCGTCGGCATCATGAAGGACGTCAATACGCTCATTAGCCTGCCCGCGCTGGCCGTCACCATGCGCGAGCTCGGCACCGAGCTCGTCAAGGCCGGCATCATCGAGGAGATGGTCGAGGACGTGCTGCCCGAGGACGCCGACCCGCTGCTGGAGGACGACGCCGAGGTTGACAGGGTCCTGAGTCAGATCCTCAAGGACAAGAAAGAGACGACTGCTGTGGCGGCGCCGTTGCCAGCGGCGCCGCTGCCGGATCCCGAGGTACCCGTCGCGGCGGAGGAGGTGGAGGAGGACCCGGAGGAGATGATGGATCAGATGCGAGACCGGCTGAATGCCCTACGAAGCTAGACGCGGAGAGGATCGTGGTTGTATGCCATGCGATACCGGTCTTTTGTTTGGTCATGGCAGCGGCGTTTGGCGCTTGGGATACATTTGCTTTTCAGCCTCTTGGAATACGTAAACATCAGACAGGTCTCAATTCTGATTTTTTTATTACAAAAGCTAGCATGTAGCAATGCTAGTTTGACACGAAACAGTAATACGCCACGACCTAGAAACATTACCCATGACTCGGTGACGAAGTGTAAGTAATTACCGGCCAAGTACCATCAGTGGGGACTTCGCGAACAGGTCACCAGGAAGACGTATAGCATCAATACAATTCACCTCTCTTTAGATGGCAAAAAACCCTATTAAAATCCTGTCCTCGATTTGCTTTCCGCACCTGCTGTGTTCCCTCCTGTGAAGCGGTGCGTGCGGCGGTTGGGTTACAAGAATGGCCCGGGCGCTAATCTCCTAGGTTGACCGATTGTAAACAGCAGCGACGTCAAGGCTCCCACCGCCTCGGAACGAGCTTCCTCCCTGTCACAACCCGTCTCGAGGGACACAGCCATGTCGTCTCTGGTACGCACGCGGTCACTGCGCAAACCCGCCGGCCCCACGGCTCTGCATCCCCCCCGCGAACGCCCCGGCGATCCGAGCCCCGATCCCAATCGCAACGCCTCGCCTAGCCGCCTCCCCACGAAGCCAACCTCGCGGCCGACGAGTTCCGCCAGGACGACAGCAACAACAACGACGACGGGACTCGCAAGGTCGGCGAGCGTGCGCTTGAACAGGCCAGGAAGCTCGTCGTCCAATACGTCGTCCTCCGCCGCAGCGGCGCCGACAATTCCTAAGCGGTCCGTCTCGCTGGGCAAGAAGACCGCTCCCGCCAGCAATGCCCAGGGTGCCACTGCGGTGCCGCCCGCAAGGAAGGACACGCGCAGGTATCCGCCGCTGTCCTCGGTGACGCGGCCATCCTCGATGGTCTTGAGGCCCACGTCGGCGGGCTCAGCGGCATCAGCACCCACGGCGAACAGACGCACGACGCCGACGCACGCGCGTGCCAACAGCACTGCAGCGTTGGGCACAATACCCGCGTCCAGCACATCACGACGGCCCACGACGCAACCAGCAGCCGCTTTGCAAGACCGGAAAAGCAGGTCTCGGCCGCCGTCGCGTGACTCGGCATCATCAGCAGCACCCGCCGCTCCAGGCACGCCCAGGCAACGTACCGTGCCCGCCGACAAGCAGGCCCCGCCCACCACACCAGCAGCTGCCACCGACAAGACGCCGCGACTACGAGCATTCAACCCTCTGCAGCAGCGCTTGTCCCCCGGCAAGCCGAGCTCACCCCGGCCACCATCGCCGTTCAAGCCCCCAGCCGCGGTCGCCGCCGCCGCCGAGACAGCGCGCCAGCAGGCCGCGCTGCTACAACTACACCTACTGCACCGCGACGCCGACCTAGTCGTGGCGCAGTGGCACGCCAGCGCCAAGGTCAAGCTTGGTGCGCGCTTCCGCGGGCTGCGCGACGCCCACAGCGCGCTGGCGGAGCGCGAGGCCGCGGCCGTCGAGGCCGACAACGTCGAGGCGCTGCAGCGCTGGGCCGCCGGCGGCGGCGCCAGAGGGTGTCCGCCCTTGGACGAGAGAGTGCGGGCACTGGACGCTGCGATGAGCGGCGTCTGGGCGATGAGCGAGCCCGGCGGCAAGTACGCGCGTGCGGTGCGACGCTTCGAACGCTGGTTCGAGCGTGTCATGGATCTGGAGGAGGCGCGGGACAGCGGCACCATCGGTCTCTTGGTGGGCGGCGGCCGTCACCACGGTAGCATCGGTGGCAGCGGCGGTGTGGAGGAGGCGCTCTTCGTGCCGGAGATGGACCCGGCGTGGGCGGAGGACTGCGCGAGCATGGCCCGCAAGCTCGAGGGCTGGCAGTGCCAGCTAGATGACGCGGGTGGCGACGACGACCTTCGTTTAGTCGACAGCGACGGCAAGACGACGACGACGACGCTGGGAAGGATGCTGGATGGCGCGCGCAGCCTCGTCGCGGGCATGCTGGCGGAGCTGGCGGCCATGGAGGAGATTCGGCAGGCGGCGCTGGCGCGCGAGGAGGACTGGATCGAGGCCATGAACAGGGACGACGACGAGGATGACATGAGCCGGCGAGCTGGGGCAGTCTGGCGGGCTCTGTGAGGGATGGAGAACTGTTGGTTGGAGGAGACGAGAGCAGAGGGGAGATATTGATCATCATAACTGTGCATGAGCGGCGTTTTCCTTTACTTTTTGAACCGGTCATCTCACAACTGGCATCATAGCATTCTAGAACTTTTTTTGTGAGCAAAAGAATTGAAATTGTAAATCTCTATGCGTGTGATAAGGCAGATGAAAAAGTTTGTCTCAATACTTGTCAAGCTGCAGCTGCCGCTATCTAAATGCACTCCCTTCATATCATAGTCCCCCGCTCTCTCACGAAGCAATCTCACCACAGGCTCGACATCTCGCCCCTTGTTATTTTTCATCACCGTTTCATTTTTTTTTCTATTTCCTTGTTCTTCGGCGTCGACCTTCACAGGAACGAACGGCGGGGGAAGCCGACGCCCTCGACGGCCGGCTCGTCGACGAACCAGCTCGCGCGGTCCCCCGCGCCCTCGTTGACCAGCGTGCACGGCAGGCCCTCGGCGGCATCAAAGATCTGCTTCATGATGCCCTTCTTCCCCGCGCCCGTCGCTACGAACGCCACGCGCACCGCGTGCGTCACCACCGGCAGGGTGAGCGTGACGCGGCGCGCCGGCGGCTTCGGCGAGTCCTCGATGGGCGCGACCCACGCCGCCGTCTCGCGCAGCAGCTCGTGGCCCGGGAACAGCGAGCACGTGTGCCCGTCGGGCCCGCAGCCGAGCAGCACGAGATCAAAAATGGGCAGGCGCACCGAGTCCCGCGACGCGAACGAGGCGACGAGCGTCTGCTCGTACGAGTCCGCCAGCTCCTGCGCGTCCGCGAGCTGCGCGACGTCGATCGGGTGCACCGCCGGCCGCTGATCCTCGGGGAGCTTGTCCAGTAGCTCCTTCTTCAGAAGGGCGTAGTTGGAGTCCTCGTGGTCGAGGGGCACGGCGCGCTCGTCGGCGAAGAAGACCTCCCACCGGGCGAGGTCGAGGGCGTCGGCAGGGCTGGTGGAGGGGGCGAGGAGCGCGGCGGCGAGCGTCTTGGGGAGCGAGCCGCCGGAGACGGCGACCTTGAAGGTGTCGTGGCGCGCGAAGCCGGCGTTTTGGCTCTGCGCGACGTACTGCCGCAGGGCGACGGCGAGGGCGTCGACGCTGGGGAAGGCGTAGAGGTTGGGCTGCGTCTTGGGCATCGTTGTGTGTGGTGTGTGGGAGTGTGAGAGGGTGGGCGGGATGCTCGGCTATGGGTGGCGAGGAGGCGGCAGATAATTTTGTGAGGTCGATCGGGATGAGTTTTAGTTATCGACAGAGAATGTCGTCCGTTGGTACACAGGGGCTGGTTGAGGTTATGGTAGGTTTTGGGTTTCTGTAGTTGTAGATGGAGATTGGCGGGGTTGGAGGGTTGGAGGGTTGGAGGGGCTGTTGACCAGCAAGCGGTTTTTTTATCTGTTTGGGGCCGAATGATGTAATAGCACGGTCCTTGAATTTACTAGCAATTTCCTACTAGTTTGAACACATTTTATAGGCGTACTAATTGACATGCTGTTTATTTACTTATTTGGTGAAACTTGAAACATATACATTTGACTGTAGCCTGGAGGTGTAACACAGCACCCCTCTCTACTTCGCTGCCAAGCACAGCTCTACACTTATTAAATCAGAATGTCTGTAAGAACTTCCGCTTCTCGCCGTCGTCCCTTGTTACTTGTTGCATCCTTCGTTATGCCGTCATGCGGCTCCCCTCGTCTGGCAGGCCAGCCGCCCTGTTCAGACGGTTGCGGCGACAGAGCCGCATTCCCCCCCCCCCCCCTTGCGCTACACCACTTCTCACACTTCTCTCGCTATATTGACTATAGGCGATCCTAGGGTCTACAGCTGGTCATCATGCTCGGTCGCCCTGATACCCGACCCGCCAAACCTGTGATAGCTACCTACATAGCATCGAGGACAAGGAGACCAGCAAAGCCAGCTCCTCGATTTCAGTAGAAAATAAATACAGTTATGGAGGAGTTACATATGCTGTGTGCAAAAAAAAAAAAAAAAACTCGCGCAAGTCTGTTATAAAAACTATTTCATGCATTCTTCTAATTGGCAGCATAGCTCAGTATCTACATACCATAACGCAATCACTATTAATTGAGCTTTGATAAGCATTAGTCGCAGAATGGTCCTAAAATAAGTGTACTGAGGTGGCCAACCAACCGCGGGATAGGCATAGCTAAGCTCCAGGGGTCATGCTTACGGGATTATTGGAAATTCCATCTCGCCGTTGACGCTATTTTCAACGGGTGCGGTATGGCGTGGGGACAACTGCCTAGGCTCTTGACAAAGAATTTCAAGATAGAGACCGCGGATCGTCCAAGATCATTCGATAACTAGGGGTAATGATTTGCCATTAGCCTATTCCGAAGCGCCATCACTGTTGCGACGGCTATCCGCAGTCGACGCTGCTGGTTTTCGTGCGTCCTGTTTACGTAGTGGTATACCGAAATCATCGAACTCATAGGCGTACGACCATGGTCCTCAGCGTGTCAGGGCTGACTGTGGTGGCGGCTACCATGATGAATCCGTGGTCGGTGGCATGGGTTCCTGAACTTGGGCAAATCCTGGGTCCGGGGCGGGGGCGCGGCGTCTCGCAGGCTGGAGGCGAAACAATTGGTCCTAGCCGTGCCGCGGAGGGAGTAGCACGGGAGGCGACCGATGGTGGGAAGGCGAGAGCGCACCCCTCGATCGGGATGTGCAAATAGCACCATGCCACTACTCCGCCCACGGGCATGGAACCGTGCTACCCGTTCGGCGTTTGAGTCTCCCGGCAACGGAAATAAGTTGCCAAATGGTGATGCGCCAGGCAGCTTGATCGAATGACCGTTTTCCATGGCCAACGGCCAGACCGGCCAGACCGGCCGGGCCGACAGGGAACAGGGAACCCGGGGCAGGGGGACGGCATGCAGCATTCCTGTTCGTGGAAATATGCTAGTTATCATGGAAGCCCTATGACTTGTTGCAGAGGCAAGTCGTTGCAATGTGGCTTAACAGTTGACAGGCCGACATGGGCCCGGCGCTCGCCAGGGCGGGAGGCTGGACAGGCCCTTGGAGGAACCCTGTCCACCTGAGAACTTGCTTAGGTTGCATCAAGGTTCTAGCGCGGGAACTCGACTCTAGGATCTGCAAGGCGAGCATGCATCGAGGCTAGTTATTGAGAGACGTCGGCGTATTCGTCGATGAGATGAGACTGGGTGGTGAAGTAGGAGCTGGCTGGTCATGGGGTTTTAGAGTGAGACAATGCCGCTGTGCAGATTGGATGCCTCCTGCACCAGGCTGTCAGTTGTCATAACTGCTTGTCGCGCACGCGCCTTCTGGAGATGGTGGGAGATGCTTTATACGGCATGCCCGTCCTTGTGTGTGCATAATCGACATGCTTTGCGTCCATCCGGACCCTGGTTTGACAGTGTTTAAAATAGGTGGGTGGGAGGTGCAACAGTGGCGCTCCAGAGTGGCGCTGCATTGGGAGTGGCGTTGAAGAGTGGCGCTTTCAGGGTCCGTCCTGGGTATTTTGGTCAAAACCCACCTGTTGAGCGCCATTCAGCCTTTCAAGGCCTGGAAACCCGAGGTTTCCAGCGCCTTCCAGGGCTCTTCAATACCTTTTTTTTTTTTCCTTTTGCCTTGGCCTGCTGCATCTGCAGGGTACTGCATTTCAAAACACAAATACCTGCCTACCAACAGCGAATGGGCTTGGCCTCCCCTCTTGCTGTGGCGTTACCCCTCCTGCGCCCAGTTTGGCAATTTTTTTTTAGAGCGGCGCCCCGGCTTCATCGTTCCTGCCCACCTTTTCCTTGCTACTGAAAAATTTCGTGCTGCCCGAGGTTCTTCGTTTCTTTCCAACCCGTCTCACATTTTGCCTTCTTTTTGCCCAAAAAGGCCTTTCCAGGGGTGGCTTTGGCCATTTATCTTTCAAGATCTCCCCTTTCTGTCTATTTTTGAATTGTGCCTGCGACGTGCGTTTACACAGCAACAACGCATCGCGTCGTCTTTTCATCCCACCTCTGCCGCGGGGCACACTCCTGGCTGGCCACAGCTCCCTCCCACCAAAATCGCATCAGGATACGGTCAGGACATTGAACAACAAGTCGACTTTGGTCCAGCAACCCGTCACATCATTATTCGGCCTATCTAGTCCATTTCGGTGTCTGTTTCGAAACCTTTCATTTTGTCGTTTTCAATTTGTCCCGCAAAGTCTTTGGACTTCAGCCACCACTGCCGGTCCCCTGCAGCTTTCAAGCTTCGATTCAGCTATATAATTACACAACATAATCACCGCAAAATGTCGGAAATCGATGTCCAAGAGCAGCTGCTCGATCGCCGCCTCCAGCTTACCGAAGGCCTCATCAGTCTCCCCTACGACCTCGTCTTGTACATAGAACGTGCCATTGTGTACGGCGACCTTGGCTATCCTGATCTCGCCGCTGGCGATGCCTACCGGGCGCTACTGCTGACCGATGAAGTCCTCACTGACGGCTTCGAGTTCCATGAGCAGGCTTTGGCAGCTCTCCGCATGCGCCTGCCGCCCCCCCTACCCGATGTTCTCTTATATGGCAAGCTTGCTGACGAGTGGTCCCCTCCTCGCGGCGTCGAGGACCAGGACAACGAGGAAACCGTGCATGCGCTGGCTCGCCTGTGCTCAATCCGCGCCTACCAGATTTTATCTATAAGTCTCCTCCTCTGCGGCTGCCTCAAGTCAGCCTTGACATTTTGCGAGCGCGGCTTAGCCGTCAGTCCGGGCAACCAGGAGCTCCTCAACACCAAAGCAAGCATTGAGACGGTCGCCTGTCGACGGCTGCGCCGCGAAAAGTTCGACGTCAACGACCTTCCTGACTCCGGATTGGTGCGCCGTGAGGTATACCCGTGGAATGATCACGAGCCGGACCGTTTCGATCCGGCGTCCCTCGATGCCCTCAACGCCGACCTCAAGAAGATGGCCCCCAAGTGCGCCGTCAAGGTTGCCACGCTACCCGTTCTGCTCGAGACGGCAAGTAGCAGCACCGACTCACTTGACATCATCCCCACGTGTCAGCAGCTAGGCGTCTTTGCCCAGGAAGACATTGAGCCCGGCGAGGCGGTTCTCCACGAGTACACCCTGCTCACGGCCAACAACCGGCTGAAAGACTCTGTCTGCGATGCCTGCAGCTGCGACTTGCCACCTATTGGAAGCGAGCAGTCGCCAGTGCAGTGCGATGAGTGCTACGACACCGTCTTCTGCAGCCAGTACTGCCACGATGAAGCTCAGGCACGATACCACCCCGCGGTCTGCGAAAAGGACGTCGACGCCATCGCCAAGGACGCTGACAAACACGAGGCCGACGACACACTCTACCTGCTTCTGCTCGCACGCGTCCTTGCCATCGCCGCGCACCAGGAAACACACCCCCTTGATGTCCGCGAGGTGCGTTTTATCTGGGGAGACTTCGTCCCGAGCCGCACCAACGACATTGACGTGTCGCCGTCGGCTGGCCCGCCGCCCGCGTGGACGCTACCATTTTCGTTCAAGTACAACATCGAGACGCCACTGCACCTGCTTGAGAAGATGGATATTGACGCCTACGCCTCGCTTGCCGAATATGACCTATGGATCCTTAATACCCTGTACGCCAAGTTCCGCGGCACAGCTTCAGCACGCAAGAGCCCCCGCGACGGCCGCCCCGATGTTGCCGCTGTCCACCCCTACTGGTGCCTTGCCAACCACGACTGCGACCCCAACGTCACTTGGGATTGGGGTGGCCGTATGGTCCTACGCGCAACGACGCAACGAAAGGTTGCCGGACGCCCTGGCGGTATCCGTGCTGGTGACGAGATCCTTAACCACTACTGCGACATTGACTTACCTGTCCAAGAGCGCCGTGAGTGGGCGCGAGGCAGCCTCGGCGGCTGGTGCATGTGCCAGCGCTGCCGCACCGAAGCTGCCGACAAAGGGGAAGACGGCGGCGAGGGTAGACAGGACGAGGTTTTTAATGGTGACTCGTGACATGCGTAGCGAACTCGCGGTTTTAATGAGTGCTGGTTTCTTGTTATAATGCTTTTTACTTCTCCGCTCTGAACATACGACACGACAATGCTTAACTTGTAGTGGCGATGCAGGTACAAGACGCAGATACACACATGTATATAGAGATATCAACATAGCCAAATTACATAAAAGAATGCTGGAGCTATATGCGTCTGGCAAAGTACTAAACTGGCTCAAATATCAAGGACGTTGAAGCATCAATAAATAATCATGACGTCCACCAGAGCAGACTCTGTACTTGCAGGCCATGCACCTGGAAACGAAGGAGACTTTTTCCACTTTTTATTGTATTTATAACTTCAGAGTAGGACGATGTTGTAAAAGGTACGTCTACACTGCTAGATTCTTCCTTGCCGACACCACAGAGAATAACAAAGAACATAAAAAGAAAGGCCAGCACAGTCGCTTACGTGTTAGCATAACCGTCCAATCAAGTTAACAAAGAAAATTGAGCACAGCCCCCTTTTACTCTTCTCCCAACTCTCGTCTCGTCTGTCAGGCAGCGTGGATTTAGCGGTTGGCGCCGGGAAGCGGTCGCGGTCCAACAATCTGCCTGCGTCCGGCGCCGATGCCCTGGGAGCCCCTGTTCTGCGAGTCGCCACCGGTATAGCCGCTCCACTGGCCGACGTCCCAGCGGCCGCCTATGCCGCCTCCTATTCCATCTACGCCGGCATCGCCGGCTGGCACGGTGCGGGCGGCCGTCTCCTTCTGGGCCTCCTCCCACTCACGCTGACGCTCGCGTTCCATCTCCATCTCGCGCTCGAGGAGAGACTTGCCAGCCCATCCGCCGGCCTTGGTATTAGCCTGGCCCTGCTGCCGGCGGCGGTCCTCAGCGTCCCGCTCCTCGGTGCTGCTGCCGACCTCACGCGAATACGTCTGCGGAGTCGCGGGTGAGGCTGGCGCGGGGTTGCTGGCAAGGAAGCGGCCGGTGCGGTTCTGCGGTGTCGGCGGCGACTGATACGTCGCGGGGTCGGGGAGCGGCCGGCTGCTGCCGCCGGTGTTGTGAGACTTGACCTTGGGCGCGATGGTGGCAGTTGGGTCGGGTAAGGGTCGTGCTGACTGCGGTGGCGGCGGAGAGCGGACTGCAAGTGCCCGTGGTTCTGGCGTCCGCTGATTATGCGGGCTAAGTTTGGGTGTCCGCTGCACTGGCTCGGGCATGGCGGACTCCTGCTGCTGTTGGTTCCATTGCGTATGCAGGTACTCTCGCTCTCCTTGGGCCCAAGAGTCCTGTCGCATGGGCGGGCTCACGACGGGTGCCGCAGCGCGTGGTCGACTCCGCGATCTGGCTTTGGGAGATCTCGTCCCAGTCGGTGGCGACTTGAATGCGCCAACACTGGAGACAACAGACGATCTACCGGACCCGCGGCCCTGTCTCTCCCGCTCGTATTCCGCCTCACGCCGGCGTGCTTTTTCGAGTTCCTTTTCGAGGGCCCGTATACGGCTGCTATCGTCGGTCGCATCCCCGCTGATGCCACGGTCTGCCTGGTACTGGCTCAGATACTGTCCGCGCAACTTCACTGGACTACGACTCCTCGCCCGTTGTCTTTCTTCCTCCAACTTGGCCTCAGCTTCAGCTTCCTCTTTCTTGCGTCGCTCTTCAGTCAACTTCCACTGTCGCTCCTCTTCCTCCCATCGTCGCTTCTCATCGTCCGCTTTCTGACGCAGCTGTCGTGTTTCTGCTTCCCAACGTTCCTCCTCTTCCTTTTTTGCTTTGGCTTCTTCCGCTGCTAGGCGTTCTCGCTCTTGTTGATCTTCTTCTTGGCGCAGACGTTCTTCTTCGGCGGCCTGCTCCTTGCGTATACGCTCCTTCTCAGCTAGGCTGGGGACTCGAGGTCCGCTGTTGATGATTTGTCTGCGGCTGCCGAACTGAATGCCGAGATTTCCTTGGCTGGCGCCACCCAAATAGCCGTATTGTGAGATGTTCCAGGCTGGCGTTGATGCGTTTTCTTGCTCCTTCTTGCTCCAACTGCTAACCGGGGCGGGAGAGCCAGTATCGCGCGTGGGGCTCTTGGTCGGACTCCAACGGCCGGGAACCGAGTCTCCTGTTCGCGATGGAAGCATGCTGGATCGGTTCGTGTTACTATAGGCGGATGACGTGTTGCTCGTGACGGAGGTTCCGCGACCGCGGAGACCGCCAGCTATAGGCGTCGATGGTGCGCCGCCCGGCTGCGACGAGCGAGGGCCAATGACATTGGGAAAATGCTTCGGGTTCGTGCTATTGGCAGCTCTACTGAATGCACCGAGGCACTGTAGGACTTGTGCCGGGTCTTTTTGTTCATAGAGGTCGACGGTGAGGAAGATGTCATGCTCGTGAAGGTTTAGCGGCGGAGACTGGCAGGCTCGAAGGAAGTGGGAAATATTCTCCATTTGAACAAAGGGCATGGCTGATTGTTTGAACTTGATTCCGGGGGCAGGTATGGCCAGATTAATGAGTCTGTACGGTTAGAGATGTTTAGCTGTGCAACATGGGGATAGCAGTGGACGATCGAGGAAGACTCACTTGCAGAGAGCAACGCCATCCTTCAGAGCTTCGAGGAGATCTGGCGAGGACAGCCTTTCGCCCAGCGACTCTTCCACCCACGTCCGCGCCTCGTTGGCAGCAGCCGGGGTATATTTGTCAAGGCGCATTTTGCGCAGGTCCTTGTCGAGCGACGACACAGACGCCATAGTTTGATACTGGTCGAGTCGGACCAGACGGATGCGCGAGGAGAGTAGTGGCAGATCCTGCTAGTGTGCTTCCCTGGGGTGTCCTACGAGGAGGACAGACAGTGTCATTCGTTTTGAGTGCTGTACGCGGGGCAGGCGCCGGTGGCATTCAGGGTAATGGCACCCGTCGGCGGAAGCAGTAGACAAGGGACGAAACGTGAGATTGAGAAAGGTTCCTGAGCGGGAGGACCGGAATGCGAGGTGTTGTATTGGGCGATTTATTAGCACTGTGGTATTTGGTGCATTTCAGGAAGGGACGGGAGGGAGCCTCGCAAGGTAAAAAGGAGGGGCAGACGAGACGAGGGCTCAGGCTGCTGTGATGGCTCAGACAGCGGAAATAGAGGAACCTTTCGGAGTCGAAAAAATGATGGAAATTCCGTAAATTGCTAGCCAATGCTACAGATACGTAGCAAGTCGCGAGGGTTGCACGAGCCGGACTGTAGGTGATGTTGGATGCGTGGCGGCATGAGGCAAGTCGTCATCAACAAAGAGGCTGCTGAGAGAGGTGGGGCAGCCCGAGCCGTCCGCCAAGGCAAGGTAGAGCAATTCAGGACAAAGAAGAGCAAAAAGGTACTTTGTCAAGGGTCCCTACAGCGTTCTGTTGGCGCTATTGTAGCGTCTGTTAGCGGGCGCAAGACAAGTACCTCGCCGCCAGGCCTTGTTTCGTCACCAAACAAGCTGCCTAATTAGGCGCTAAGTCGGTCCCCATGGGCAACCTGCTAGTTACCCTGGACGATGAAGACAAGACCATGATAAAAGGCTGATATTGACTGCCAATATTATGAAAGTCTCCTCAATTATTTTGCAAATTGAGTGCAATGAGTAACTTGTGCATATGTCGTTCTACTGTATGCGGTGGCATGGTTGCGGTTGATGAACGGTGTGTTTGAGACGGGTTTGTAGACAATCAAATGATCAACAACTGGTAAGGATGATTTTCCCGAATTTCCCGAAAAGAGATCGCCAAAGATATGAAACTCGGAAGTAGAAACAACCAACATCCTGTCTGTTGCCTAAAGTTAAAAAAGACTCCGACGACGCCACGGCGCTGGACAGCTTTCAGCTGAACGGCTTCTTCACGCCCTCCACACCACAGTTCAGCCCAACACCGTGACGATCATCACTACGAAAACATGCCGCCACCAACTTCCCTTTCAGAATGCGAAATACGAAGCTCACAGCCATGTAGCTATATATATGAGGGGAACGAGCCCGCATGAGCGTCGAACTTGAAAACAACCAGCACGCACCAACATCGCGACCCTCTCAATCCTCACCACAATCTCAACTACTAAACAACAACAACATCATGGCCGCAGCCGCTCCCTTCACCACCTGCCTCTGGTTCGCCGACGAGGCCGAGGAAGCCGCCCGGCACTACGTCTCCATCTTCGCCCCCGACGCCGCCATCACCCGCACCCAGCACTACACCGCCGCCGGCCAGACCACCCACAAGCAACCCCGGCTCCGTGCTGCTCGTCGAGTTCACCCTGCGCGGCCAGCGCTTCGTCGCGCTCAACGGCGGCCGCCAGGAGTGGTCGTTCAACCCGTCCGTCTCGTTCCAGGTGGACTGCGCGGACCAGGCCGAGGTGGACCGGCTGTGGGAGGCGCTCGGCAAAGATACCGTCGACCCGGCGTCGCGGCGCTGCGGGTGGGTGGCGGACAGATACGGGGTGTCGTGGCAGGTGGTGCCGGCGGTGATGAAGAGGCTGCTGGGGTCGGAGGACAGGGAGGCGGCGGACAGGGCGATGGTGGCGATGATGGGCATGGAGAAGTTGGATATTGCGGCGCTGCAAAAGGCCTACGACAATGCGTGACGAGCCAAGCAAAACACGGTCAAATAATGACCCTGGCTTATGCTTTAACAACTGGTATTAATGGATGAATTTCAACGCTACATGGAATCTATAGCCAAATCAAAACATATAAGAGAAACGCTAAAGCCGATTCTATGCGCCAATCATGACTGTATACCGCAGTCTTTTAATCCCATCCCCCACTCAGCTGCTCTTCTCCTGTACAATGACCGTCTCATCCCCCAACGACTTCTCGTCCCTCTGCCGCCTTGCCTGCATCTTCGCCGCCGCCCTGGCCCTCTTGCTGTCCATGCGCGCCTGATCCTCACGCAACTGGCGGATGAGTCTGCTCTTTGCGCGAATCCGACCTCCGTACCGCCAAAATACAAACGGTATCGGGATCATGATAATCTCTGCGACTCCGAGCACGGTGCCAGCCCAGCGCGGCGTCAGCGTGGCGTACATGGTCGGCCCTGCGAGCGGCAGCGTGCCGCCGATGACGCTGCGGATAAAGGCGTTGCCGGACAGCGCGCTAGCCGCGAAGATTCCGTAGGCACCGGCGAGGTAGTTAGAGCCGTAAATGAAGACGATGGTGTTGCCGAAGCCAAAGGGTATGCCGAACGCGATGGGAACCGCCCAGTGGATGCTCGTCGGCAGGCACGTCCACGAGAAGCCCATTTGGCCGATGCTCGCCGCGATGGATCCCGCGGCCATGACGATAGCCTGCGCCTCGGGAAGAACCTTGCCGGTTTCTGGGTCGCGCGGTTGCCGGTTGATGATTCGTCGGAAGATGGGCTCGCCGCAGAGCGAGGTAAGTGTGCCGATGCCGATGCCGATGAAGGACAGGCCGGTGGTGCCAGCGGACCAGCCTCGGTGCTGCGAGAAGACGACGGGGTAGGCGACGAAGCAAAGGTACAAGACCGCATAGACGATGGAGATCCTAGCGGGGATGTCAGTAACAGACGCCAGGTTTGTCAGTGTTCTTGGCAAGTGATGGCTTACCAAACGTTCATGAACCACAAGATCGGTTCTGTCGCGGCAAGAATAAACGGCCGACTTAGATTGATCTTTAACAGGTGCAGCGTCGACAGCTTATAGTCATATTGACACCAGTATCGAGGGTCATCGTTCTCCTTGCGCAGACGCGCGGCCTTTTTGCGAAGGACGGCCGGCGCATACGTCTCCTTGACGGTGAGCATCATGAAAAAGGTGGCACCGCCGAGGATGAGGATGACCCAGTTGGCCCAGCGCCAGCCGAGATACTGGAAGACGAAGCCGCCGATGATGGGGCCGGTGACGGGCCCGTTCATCGGGGCCAAGCTGAAGAGCGACATTGTGCGCGCCAGGTAGTCGGGGTGCGAGATGTCGACAATTGTGCCCGGCGCATTCCCGACCATGACGGAGCCAAACAGGGCACTGGACGGTGTTAGCTGGTGATTGCGCTTATAATGACATATTTGCGGATAGGGAAGCATGCAAAGGCCACTTACCAAAAAAACCTGACGACAATGATGGCTGTCAATGAGTGCGCAACTCCGGACGGGATGATGAGCAGCGACCAGCCGGCGATGCACACGAGGTACACGTTGCGGCGGCCGTAGAGCTCACTAAGCGGCGCCACGATGAGGGTGCCGACGGCCAGGCCGAGGAGGTACGTGGTGAGGCCGAGTGTGACAATCGTCGTCGATGCGCCAAACTCGGCGGCCAGACCCGGGGTGGACGCCGTGTAGCTGCTACTGTAGAGGGTGGTGCCCCAGGTGCCGATGGAGGCGACGAAGACGACCCAGCCGCGGTACCAGAGCGGCCAGTTCTTGGGGTTCTCGGGGTCGCCCTCGTCGAAGAGCACCTCGAACTCGGGTGGGCGCGAGGCGACGCTGCTGGCGTGGCTAAAGGTGTGCGTCACGCGCCCGCGGCGCTCCTCGTCCGTCTCGAGATCGACGGTGACGGCGCGCTCGAGAGTCTCGTAGAGGTCCTCGTTGTCGAGGCGCTGGGTCTCGGCCGAGTTCCGGCTGCGAAGGGACCGAGGCTGGCTGTGGTGGTGGTTCTTGATGGCCTCGAACTCGGGGGAATCGGTGTCGGACGGCGGCGAGGAGGACGATGAGCCGCCAGTCGTCGAGCTGGAGGCCGGTGGCGGCGCAAAGGCCTTTTCGGGATCGTGAGGCGGCGTCATGGTCTGGGCTTCATAAAGAGAAAGCCGTTACCGGTGTCTGAGACAGCTGCCGGCCAAGACTGGTCCGGGCCGGGGAGAGACGCTGTGTGCGTGCGTGCGTGTGTCTGCGCCGAATCCCAACCTAAGTCTATTCACTGCAGCAAGTGTATTGATGAGACACGGCGAGGTTTCAACATTGGTCTGGAAGTTTGGTGTACAATGTTGTAAAAGAAAGTCGGAAAGGAAGAGTGGGAAGGAGGAGGAGGAGGTGCAACCCGCCTGTACTTCCTTCGTTTACGACGCTGTGACCTTTCCCAGTTTTTTGTCCTTTCTCAGACATCCTCCACACAATAAACTGGGGGAAGCAGTCGGGCTGGCAATTGACCCCCATCCTCGTCCTTTTAAATTAATTAGCGTTCGCAATGGAAAGCGACCCAATCCAAGTTGAACTTGGATGAAAAGGTTAGCCGGCGAGCCACCCCGCTGACGGGACCCAGTAGCGGAAACAAGGTCGCCAATAACTGAGCCCAGAGAAGACGCCACGTCCGCGGACTCTGATCCGGCACACGGAACGGGCTGCCCTGCGAGTGGAGGAGGATGGCTGGATGGAAGAGGAGGGAGGGGGGCATGTCCATGAGTCGACCGGCCGCAACAGGACCGGAAGGGTTGCTCCAGTCTGACTTGCTGTGAATTTGCCCGTTGTGGGACGACAATGCAGCTACGGGTAGAGGAATCACGGATGTGATAAATGAAGAAGAGAAAAGAAAAGAAAAGAAAAGAAAAGAAAAGAAAAGAAAAGAAACACGAACCATTTGACGCCGTGTAACCGGGAAACTCCCCCATGCCAGTCGCTGGTGTCACGGTCCCACGGACCTCAGCCGGCGAGCCTGGTCCGATCGGCCGAGTTGTGGTAGTGTGTGCAAGAGGGCGCGCCCAAGGCATCGACGTTTGGTGCGATGGCCGACCGATGTGGACAAGGAGACCGCCTTTTGAGTTGAGCGGGAAAAAGAGGAGCAAGATAACCTTGATAGCGACGAAAGCAAGCACCGATGTTGGGACCAAAGACAAGGGCTGCTTGTCTGCCTGCATGGGATGAAGAAGCACTGTGAGCGACAGCGGCGGCGGTCGGCACGATGCACGAGCGTGAATCGTACCCCTGTCTCCGCGGGCCTATAACTGCCGCGTTGAAGAGAAAGAAAAAAAACTATTATTTAGTACATATGGCCAACGATTTGTGTGTGTGACTGTCTCTCAGCCTCTTGGGGTCGGAATGCCGCAAATCAGGCTGTAAAACTCAGTGTTCCCTGTCGGAATGGCGTTTCCGCGCCCCCGAGGCCCTTATCGAATAGTTACCAAGAGCCGGCAAAACAGGGAAATGCTGATAATCAAGCGAGAGCCAGCTTTTTTAATAAAAATCTAATCAAAAGATCTACCATAAATTGATCTTGATGCCATTCATCCAATAATTCCCTTGTCGCAATCCCGCAGACGCCTGTACCGGCAGAGTGTCCCTTGGCATTATGCGGTTCGTTCTTTGCTTGTAGCGTCCTCCGTGGGACCGCTGCGCTGTAACCGTTTGGGCAAGACCTTGCGACGATCGCTGTGTTCTGCTCGGTAACCTTTACCACCTACCTAACCGGGCTTGGCCTCTCAAGCCGTGAGTTAGCCTGGCTGCTGGTGGCGGCAGAAAAAAGTAGCCTCACCATTGACGTGCAGCATCATTTATCAACGCGACAGAGGCGAAATCCTTCACCAGCCTACCGCCTACCACTCACCGCATCAAACAGCCCCGTTGATACTTGGCAGTCATGGTGGGCAAGACCATCGGCCCCATCGGCCGAGCCTGGCTCCAGTGGAAATCGTTGCGCCTGCCCTGGCGCAAGCGCTTCCTCGTCGGTACGCCACCCTCCCGCCCGCCGAGGAGACCCCCCCCGACCTCGAGGGCAACACCTACTGGGAGTTCCGCCTCACCACGCGCGGCACCCGCGAGGCCACCCCCAACGCCCTCGGCGAGGTCGAGCGCTGGCGCCGCATCGTCCACTACCCGCGCTCCGCGCACCTCTCCTCCGTCCGCGTCGGCCCGCTCTGGCACCAGTGGCTGCGGTACGCGCGCGCCGACCCGCCCAGCCTCGAGGAGCAACGCGAAGACGTCGCACGCCAGGCGCGCACGCGCGTGCTGGCCGCCGACGCGGACGCCCGCTGGGCCGCCAAGCCCCGCGTCATGGAGGATCCTTTGCCGGGGGAAGAGCGGTCCCTGCCCGGCGCGACGACGACGACGACGACGACGAGTGCGCAAGAAGCCCCGGAACAGACAACGTTGCGAGCCGAGTCGAAACGAAGGAGACGGAGCGCGCGCGCGGGTGGAGCGGCGCAGAAAGAACAACAGGAGGAGGAGGAGGAGGAGGCGGCGGTTGATCCGCAGGACCCGTGGAAGCAGGCGCGCACAAGAGGGCCCAGCGAAGACTGGCAGCCCCAGGCCTGGAGTCCGAATGCCAAGAGGTGACAAGCACGGAACGAAAAGCACACGAGACTGGACTCAAGTTGAGATGCGAAGCCAACACTGTTGCAGAGAGGCCCAGACGGGTCTCATTGATTATCCTCCACTACCTACTACATAGTGTATAATAGTGTCATGTACTACCGAGCGTATGCTTTTATGAATACATCTTTCCCGTCACTTCTCCATCCCGACGATCCCCCCTCCCGCCATGTGTAGAACAATAATGCCGTAGGTCGTTAAAATCATGGTATCTAAAATGTCCGGCCGATAAAATCTCCCAAACGCCAGCGTAAATGAACAATGTGAGTCAACAACACAACACCAAACCAAAAAAGTCCAAACAATGATGCCTAAACAAGGAACAAACACGGGCCTCTTATGCTACACAGTCTTCCTCTTCACTCGCGGTCGCCTTCATCACCTCCAGCAAGACGCGCAGCCGGTTGGCCGACGCGTCCAGCGCCTCCGCCGCCAGCGCGTCGTCCGGGTCCGGCGGGGCCCTGCCCGTACGCTTGCGCTTGACCTTTGCGTTACGGGCGTCGACGCCGGCGCGGATCGCATCCTCGAGGGTCGGGGAGTACGCGAGAGAGCCGCACGCCCAGAGCAGCTGGACAGCGGCCTCGACGACGAGGGAGAGCTTGGCGTTGTCGTCGATGCCGACCGTGTTGGCCGGGTGCGGCGCGTAGCACTGCTCGAGCATGGCTGCGCTGAGGCGCCCTTCCTCATCGCCTTCGGGGTCGACGCGCCGTGGTGAGCGGTGGCCTGCCGGCAGCAGCAAGTTGAAAAGCGCCTTGATGAGCGTCACGCGCAGTCCTGGTGGTAGGCCGCCCCCTGGGTAGCCGCCGTCGTCGCCGCCGGGTCGCCGCCGCTGTTGCTGTCCGACGACGAGACCAAATACTGGTAGGGGTACCACCTTGAGCGACGACGCGTAGGCGTCAAACAGGTGGCGCACATAGGACAACTTCCGTAGCGCGTAGGTTGCACCCAACAGCAGCTGAAACAGACGCAGGCGCAGCGATATCGTATCAGTGAGCCCTGGAAACGTTGTCCCGAACGAAGCAGTCGCTTCGCGCGGGTTACGCGGTTTCTCGGGCGTTGGCGGCTCAGACACTCCGCATGAGAAGGGTTCGTCGTCGAGGTAGTCGCCAAACTTGCCATTGTCCACATCGACGCGGTCGTTGCGCTTCCGCTTCCGGCTCTCGCTCTGGCGGCCTCGCGGCTCCTTCTCGAAGACTTCGTGGAAGGCTGAGGTGGAGAGGCTGCCGCCGTCGGCAAAGAGGGCCTTCATGATGGCCTTGAAGCCGCCCTGCGGTCCGTTCTTCTGCTCCATGTACATGGCCAGGATGGAGTCCTGCCGCATGGTGGTCGGCGTGGGCCCATGCCTGCCGCTTGCCTCGTGCGCCTCCTGGTCCAGCCGCTCCCGCTCCGACCAGTCCGACTGCAAGACGTCGAGCATGAAGTCAAGCCACGCCTTCCAGTAGCGCCAGCGCTGCGGGTAGAGCGTGCTGCAGTTCAACGCCCACCCGAGCGTGGACCAGAAATCTTGCCCCCTGCTCCATATGCTGTTCTCGTTGGCGAGGCTGCCGCTGATGCGATCGCGATCGCGCTCGTCGATGGGCCCGTCGGAGAGGGTTCCATCAGTACTGTAGCCTGTTCGTCGGCGGTGCCATCGTGGCGTCGAATAAAACTCGAAGGCGGCGCGGAAGTTGGCGTTGACAGGTCCTACCACCTCGAGGAGGCTGCGAAGGTAGCTGAGGGCTGAGGCCGCAATCTCCTGGGACTGCTTGTCGGCGCGATTTGTGTACACGGGATGAACGATCAAGGTGTTGAGGACGGCAAGATGGGTGGGAGGTGGGACGTATACGCTCTTTGATGTCGGCCGCTGGCGCGAAGAGCCCGCGCCAAGTAGGCTGTCATACAGGTTGATGGCGCCAAGATCTGAGGGCCAGGTTAGTTTTTCTTTCGTGCCTATGCGATAGTCTTAGGTTGACATACAGAGGCCCTCTTCGAGGAAGATTTGGCAGTGTCCTTTGAGTTCGCGTGGTAAGGGCCGCACGTCGCGAAATGGTGTCTGTTGTAGAGACTGTAGCGGGCTGCTCGCTGCTGTCGAATCATGCGATGGCTCCGAATCTATTGCCGTGTGAAATGAGGACGGCGATGAGTCCGCATTTGAAACAACCGGCCGCAACATCCTCGGCGCGACTTGGTCGGTCGCAATACCTTTTTTCTTCTGTCTTTCACGTTGCCCCTGGTTGATGTGATGTACCAGCAAGAAATACAATGCGGGCGTCACTTTACGCGAAAGACATGGCGGTTCATGTTAGCCCACTTCTGTCTGTCGCGCGACGGGACGGGATGGGGCGTTTTCTGCACAGTGCGTCAAAGAGTGGCACTGTGCCACCACTTACACATTGGTATTACGGTTTACAGTCTACACAGACTCAACTCAGCGGTAGACTGAAGAATTCCAATAGAAATGTTGATAAATCAGTAAACATGCCCCGAGTTCTTGAGGTTTAAAAAAAAACTGTGACATTGGCTTGACAAGTTTCATTATGGTATCATGTAGTCTATGTAGTAAAGTGAGTAGCAGTAGCAAGTAGTTAATGGCAGCCATCTGGTCCATTGAAACAAAAACAAAAAAACCCATTATACAGTAGTGTATCTATTTTCTCCAGACGCCAGTGTAATGCAATGTGTTTGTTGGAAGCTCTCCGCAGGTGCCTACTTTGATGCAGGCTCCTGCTCTTTCTTCTCTGCCGCCTTCGCCGCATCTTCAACCTCGACTTCAGCCTCGGCCTCGGCCTCTGCCTCTTCTTCACTTCTGGGCCCAGCAGCCGCGGAAGCTGCCCTCATCTTCTCCATGATGCGAGAAGCCTCGGACGCATACTCGCAGCGAGCACGGATTTTGGCGCCATACTTGTAGAAGAGGAAGGGGAAGGGAAGGCAGGCAAGCGCCAGGAAAGCCGGGATGGAGCTGGCCCAGTGGATGCCAAGGTCCTTGTACATGTACGTCGTGAAGAGGGGGAAAGCTGCGCCAAAGAGGGATCGTAGAACCGAGTTTGCTGCCAGCACTGAGGCAGCGTAGATGACATAAGAGTCGATGAGATAGTTGAGGAGAGGGAGGAAGACGAGTAGGATGCCTGCGGCGAAGAAGCCGGAGCCGACGATGGAGACGGCCCAGTGAATTTCGGGACCATTGGTCCAGGCAAACCAAAAGAGGCCAACTGGAAGCAAGATAGAACCGAGAATAGCAGGTGGCAGTCTTTCCTCAGGAGGAGCAACGCCATTGGGATATGTCGCCGCCACCCGCTTATAGCGTTGGTTGTCGAAAACGGCATAAAGAGTCGCACTGACCATACCAATCGCGATGCCGATGAAAGCGAGACCACCGATACCGGGGCTCCAGCCACGGCCAAGCTGGTAGACAATAGGGAAGGCGGCGAAGCACAGGTACAATGTACCGTAAATGATGGCGATGTAGATCGATGTGAGAAGGACAATGGGCTCCTTGACGAGAAGAATCCAAGGGCGAGTAATGGAAACCTTGAACTGCGCGGCAGCGTTGCGAGGAGGTCCATGAGCGTCAAACTTGCTAACGTAGACCTTTCCGGTCATCTTGCTGAGCTTCGCGGCGCGCTTGCGGAGCAGGACCGGGGCGTACGTCTCCGGGTACGTCACGGTGCTGGCAATCCAGACGACGCCGCAAAAGATGGCGATCATGCCCTCGACCCAGCGCCAGCCCTTGGACTGGCCGAGGAAGCCACCTGCGATCGGTCCGAGCGCGGGGCCCAGGAACGGCGCCATCGAGAAGATGGCGCCGGCCTTGCCGCGCTCCTCAGCCGAGAAGATGTCCGCGATGACGCCGCCGGCGTTGGTCAGCGGCGAGGAGCCAAAGGCACCGGCGAAGAAGCGCAGCACAATCAGCGCGGCCATGCTGTTCGCGCCGGCGGCGCCCGCGTTGAACGCGGTGAGGGCAAGGTAGCTGATGAAAAACAGCTTCTGGCGGCCGACGACCTCAGAGAGCGGCGCCCACAGGAGCGGGCCGAGGGCGAAGCCTAGGACGAAGAGGGAGACGCCGAGGATAGCGACCTCCTGGGAGACGCGGAAGTCGAGGATGATCTCGCGGATGCCGCCTGAGTAGGCGGAGGAGGCGAAGGAGACGGCGAGGGTGGCGGTGGCCTGGATGGCGATGATGAGCCACTTGCGGCCCTCGGAGAAGCGGAAGGGGTCGTAGGCGTCGTCAGCCAGGAAGTCGACGACGAAAGGGGACTCGGCGGTGCCTTTGCCCGGGTAGGTGTGGTTGGCGACGGCGGGGGTCACGCCGGCCTGGTCGAGGAACCGGCGGAGGTAGGAGACGCGGTTGACGTCGGGCGAGGGCTGGGCTTCGACGTCATGGTCCGAGACGACGGTCATGGAGGATGCATAGCCGGCGGGCGTTGCGGTGCCACCGTTAGTCGGCGGCGACATGTCTGTAGGTTTCTCAAAAGGGCTGAGAAGTGGTTGTGGTCGGTGTGGGTTTGTTTTCGGTTTGTTGGCTTTCCCGTGGGACAGATGGGAAGAGGCTATATTATTCCCAGTACAATACCGAGAAGTACCGAAATATGTTTTTTCTTTATTATTCACGAACGAAGAAACAAGCTGCAAGCCAGGGTGGGCAGCCAAGTAACCTTATACTTGAGGATGCGAGTACACCACGGCGGGAGACCCATGAACGGAGATTTAGTATGCGAAAAAAAAAAAAAAAAGAAAAAACTATAATAAGCAAATGGTATTACAAACCCATGATCCGCTTCCTCGCTCGTAAAAGCGAGGAGAAAAACACCTTGGCCCCGTTGGCTAGTGATAGTTCCGCAAGACCGCAAGAAGGCCGCAAAGGGCGGGACGGGCGTTATGGCCGGAAGGGCAGCCGTCGCAGGCCGGCCCCAGCTGAGAGCGAGCCACGGGGTATCAACTAATCTCCGCGGAATTTTGGACCTCATTCAAGCCAACGAGACCCTGCCAAGCTCATCTGGGTAAGTTGCCAGGGGGCTATCAGGAGGCAATGTGGCGGCGCTGACAGCCGGATACAAGCTTTTTGTCGGTGCCCGAAACTGTGGCTTTCGCCGGTCACTCATCCAATCTAGGAAACATTATGGTTCCACCTGACTTGGTTTTTTTCTTCTCCCGCACTTCTCTGCGTTGTTGACGACTCGAAAAAACCCCGACGGCGTATAAGTGGGCTTATAGCCGAAGTCACTCAGAGCCCGCCTGTTGCCTGCCTTGCTTCGAGAAATCTTGTTATTATAAATCTTGTCAGATTGCCTTTTTCCTCGGCAAGATCCTCTGTCTCAATTAGTTGAAAGATTTGCAGAATGGCATTTCGGGATCATCCGACGATTGGCAGCCATTTTGTCTAAGACTGTTCTGCCTCCAAACTAGTGGCGCAAGAAACTGGCAGGGATAAGAAAGAATACATGACAATAGCTGGTGAAAAAAGGCGCGAGCAGTTCACCGGAGCCTCCTACGTAACTCGCGCCCGATGTGGCATGGGCTATCCGCGTTATTGCGCCATCCTGGCTCAGCCTGTTTGTTGATGCCATGTGGTTTGTCTGTCTATCTGACTGAGTTGCCAGCAATCAGGCAAGAAAGGTGCAATTCTGATGCACTTGAATGCATGTAGCAATGGCCGGCGACAATAGCAGCCGGGCTCCGATCTTCCAAGGCGAGACGGATACAACTGCCACGTGCGAGAGACCGCCGATTCTACGAAGTAATTAATGACATGTGATGCATTACTTGCAGGGGCAGTGGAGATGTCAAGTCATGCCAAGAATAAAGGAAAGATTGCTACCCGAACTGAGATGACGAAATCACAGCACTTCCACTCCCACCATTCCCACCTGCTCGCCTTGCATCTATGTATCCGAATCTCATTACTACCGTAAGCTCTAGCAGGGAGAACGCGGTCCATCCGGCTTCCGAATGCCAGCAGCATAACTAATTTACATGACCAATAAACACAACTAGTTATCAACTTCCCGGCTTACACCTTTGCCAGGATCAAGGAACGGACTTTTTCCCTTCTTCCCACTTTTTCGTTCCGCCTTTATTTATTAGTGGGTTGGCCGCGACGCCTCACATCCCGGCCGGCAGCCAGCTAAGCACCGTTGCGCCGACATTGTTGCCAAGTTCCCCGAAGTCACATCAAAAAAGCGGTTTGCCATGATCTTCTGCGTCTCAAGATCTGTGCCAGATGTCGTTACATTCCATGCTCTCCATGCACCACGAACCGACCTTTGACAGCTTGGGTGTTTCAGGCGGCCGGCAACCCATGCTCAGACACGCGCTCAGGCCTCGGATCCGAAGTGCCGTTTGCAAGTCCGCGGAGTTTTGGACAATGATAATACAGCCTACAACTTCTGCCCGAAGGAGCAGGGTGCCTCAGCTCTGAGGCTCTGATTCCAGATCAGGCGTATTTTCCGCTCTGAATACGGTTATTTATCTTTAGAACTCGTAATGATGGCGCGGATGCTCCGCATGCTGGTGAACTATTGGCTGATGCCGGCCCAAACTTTGTCATCTGATGTCCTAATCTCATCCATAACAACAACTTTGCTTGCGCCACAATGCGCCAGAATATCCCAATAAGTTACCAACCGAGAGATCAACTGCCCTTCTTTTGTAGCTTCGGCGGAAGCATCCTTGGGGACTCTGCTCCGCGGGCGAATGCACGAGGAGTGCGAAACTGGGTTTTGTTCCATCTTTGTGCGTAGCGATGAGCCACGAAAGGAACGATCCGTCACAAACGAAAGTTTGACCACAATGAACGTTCCATTAAGTTTTTCTGGTTTGTGACAATGTTCCTTTTCATAACTTCGTCGACCTTTTCCACAGTATTCGCGGAGTTACTCTTGAGTAGCTGTGGGTGTAAGCCAGTGGGCGGCGAAGTGGCTGAGGATCGCAGCACCAGCGAACTCTCTCTCTACCAGCTCGGAATTTCGCATTCAGATATCGCCGGTATTATCCATGAGGGCCGAGGAATTATCCATTGCCGCAATCTGCAGATCGTGGCCAAGACTAGATGATCTTGGTAAGCCTTGACAGTCGCAGAGGTAACAATTCCGTATGTGCCGCCACCGCCCTGGAGAGCTGCGAATAAGTCTTAGCACTGACATGAAATTGCAGTGACAACTTCTTCAGATGATTAAACGACCTCCTGCACAAGAATCTGCGCCTAGAGCAAACTCGTGTCTTAGGGGACCATGGCCTCCACGTCGAAGGTGGCCTCCGATTGTGCCGACCGTCTACCTGAAGTTAGAAGAGTAACAATGAAGTCCGATATGTGGGAAATACACACGCATTTCAGGAGAGCTAGGTAGCTTGGCGAGAGCGATACAACTCAACAGCCGCGTCGTACAGTTTCGCAAGCGCTGTGAGTTTGCTATCATCTGAAACATGGTAAAAACTTTTCGAGATATTCCGGCTCCTTTAATAGTCGGATTGTGGCTGCAAATCCATTGATAAGAATTTACCCAAGGTACTGAGCTTCACAAATATCCCCACGGAAAAGTGTGCAAGCAAACGGCCGTTCGCTGCCAGCTGGCGAGAAATCGTCTGGCCAAGGCTCGCAGCAGTAGGTGGATTAAACACTTTCCAAGATCTTCACTATCGAATCGCAACAGGCAACGTGCAACGTGCAACAAAATCAGACGGTCCTTTTACTCTAGTCTTTTTATTACAATAAAATACATTTTACCATGGCGCCCTGCCTTCTTTCCTTTCTCTGCAAGCAGCACCATTCAGGCCAAGTTCCTGTACTACAATGCGTCCATCCCACCTTCCGCGTCCATCGCCAGCCGGCTTGGTTGTCCCTCCTGATGGCAACCAGCTCGCCGGCTACAAGTTTTCCTGATACATTGCTCGCCATCCCTCATCGCGTTGAGATCAATACTTACTACGCTTGCCAGCATTGTCTTTCAATCACATCTAAATGATACCAACCTCTTCTTACCTTTAGACAAAGGCAAACTCCAGAACAAACGCTCACAAACAGGCCGACCGCGGCCATGCTGAGCCTCTGCGGCTGCACTTCTCGTCGTCGAGCCAAACAGCCGGCAATTTTATCCGACGAAAATGTTGCACCCAAAGCCAAAGCAAGTCTGGGGCCGTCCCAAACGATGGCTCACGACACTGTCCCTTCCCTAGGTGATGGTAGGCTAAGCTTGGATGACTTTGGCGTACAACCCTCGGAAATACCCAAAAGAAAAGCTAGCAATGCACTCGAAGCAGTAAAAGCAAAGCTCATTCGACACTTATCATATGACAAAGATCACTCGCAGAAGCCTCAGGCTTCTCCCGATAGCGACAAAGAAGAGATTGCCCGCCGAGCAGAGCTTCGCCGTTTTCGAGCCCGAAGAATCCAGGAAGAGCTAAACCAAGACCGCAGCAAATCCATATCCGCTCATACTTCTATTCGAAGCACAAGATATCTATCGCCCTTCATCGACATTGGTCGTCCCGGTCATGGTCCCAGGGATGCCATCGAGTTTTCGATCGATAGCGGCAGCCACCTTCCTGCACCATATCCATCTCCTATACCGAGCTTGACATCTTTGAAGTCCAAGCCTCCAAATATGCAAATGAAGCGATGGAGCAGCTGCCCGGCTGCCATTGGAGAGCAACCAGGCCAAGTCGCTACACCCTTCTACAATAAGTCAAACGCAACGATTTCATGGAAACGTTACACCACACCCGGCAAGATAACAGGATCTAAATCGCTACCAAACTTGCTGCAGCTTAGCATAAGAGCTCCTCAGATGGCCAGAACTAAGACTGCTACCTTTGGCAGCGAGAGCCCTACTACCATGGACGCTTGGCTCACGTTGCAGGAATCCCGGTCGCGAGCCAGCCCAGCCTTGAGCGTCACAGATCATAGGATGCCATCCCTTGGCTCTCGCCGATGTCATTTTCCACGGGCTAATAGAAGAACCACCGACTTCAGCCAAGATACTGTCACAAATCCCTACCCGGTCCGGCAGAGTGGCGCTTCACAACGTCTTCCATCCGTGTCGATGCGGCAGCGGGGCTCGCAAGCGGCAGGCAGCTTAAAGCAAGGTTCTACCAATTGCCCTCAACAACGAAGCCTGGCTGTTTCCACTGATGGAAAAAAGAATACCTCTTCAAGCTCCAGCCAGAGGCGTATCAGGCCCTCGGAAACCCCGGGTGGAATCTCATCCTCATATTATCCCTCTGTGATGCCAAGCATACAGCCCAGCCCAAGTCGATCGAACTCGCTAGTCAACGTTCTGAGTATGAGGGACCTGCAAAGTCTAGAGTTGTCTCCTTTTGACTGTAAGTACATCCATACTGTCAAGAACTTGGCTAATGGGTAGTAGGGCACGATGACAATTCTATACTCAAAAGTTTCGGTACCTCTGGTGACGACGGTAGCTCATACGCTACAGCTGAGGATGGCGAGAATGACTCTCAAACCTCTCCACGAATTTACAATAGCAGCGACAAACGAGGCCACGATGGCCAAGTAGATGAACAGCAAGCCCCGCACCGGCGCTTCAAGAATACCTTAAGCATCTGCAAACACAGGGAAAATAGTAAATCTGACATCACCGTCAATGACAGCAGATATCCCAAAGCTGGCAAGAACACTCGATCTCGTACGGAAAGATCGGGTCTTCCGACAGTTTGGCGATCGGGGAGCGGATCATGGGATATTCAGGCCAGCCTCCCCAAACGCATTTCTTCGAAACTTTGGTATCAATCCCGTAGGGCCTCGGAGACCATTCCCGAAGCAAACTGCCCAGTGGCAGTATGCGAGGATGGAAGCACACACGACAAAGTTGGTATCTCAGTAGGTCCCACAGCAGGGGCTGAAAACGTCCTAGGAGACGCTCCTGCAACATTACGAAAGAGCAAGCTGGAGACCTCAAATGGATTTAAAAGCGACCGAAAACACGATACTAGGTAAGGTATAGCCTCAAGTGGAGTTCCCATCTTAACACCGTTCTGCAGTAAAGTACCTGGTATTCCACATCAATCCGCACAGCCCTCTGTCTTGTCTCGAAACTCCGTTGCCTACAACGCCTTGCAAAAAGTCTCTCAACGAAACGCATCCGCGCCTCCTCTATCATGGACAAGGTTGCGAAATCAGAATCAAAACTCAGTAAGTTTTATCGGCAGCAAATCCAAGAGGATATCAATTGCAGGAGACGATGATCCTGTTCAGCCGGGTCGCAACTTGCTCGCCGAGAACCATGATGTTCGCTCTTTCAGTTTCCCGGCCAAGATGGGTGACTTGATGGAGAGTGTCCTCACGAAAATAATTCCTTCCCGGAAGTCATCGGATAGCTTGAAAAGTCCGAGCTCAGAGCCGACTCTCAGCAGAATTTTGCCATTGGAGCCTTTGAGGATTGACGAGGTCCAGACTTCTCCAATCTTGGGCGAGATCGAGATCTTCCGACCTACTCGATAGACTACAAAAGATTATACTCCTATGAAGGCTTCCTAACTCTCAAATTGCTTGTTTTCAGGAAGAATTACGGTGGCTCAATTTACGTCAACGTTCTTAGGGTTGTTCAATTTTCATGAATGTGGCTCTACCGGCTGCTTTCTACAGTGTTACGGGGTGTTAAAACAGCATACATTTAAAGGATGTTCATTAATGGCAATTGCATTCATATGTATGGACGACGAGACCTATCTTATGTAGCAACAGATGTATGAATGAACTCTTCAATATCTTAAAATGCGTAAGGATGACTAGCGATGCTTGGCGTTGGAATAGGGTGGAGAGAGGGAGCATCCAGCTCCTTTTAGTTGTGCAGTTGCACACTGGGATACTACCGTGCTAGATGGAACAAGAACAAGGGATAGAAACGAGAATAAAGAAGCAAATTTAGATAGTCTAGACTTCCTGCTGTTCTACAGCGTGCTGCATTTGCGCTTCCCCTCCTTCTCGTTTTGACTTTTCCCGCATCTCCTCCCTCTCCTGGCGCCGACGGCGCTCCTCGGCCCTGCGCGCCAGCTTCTCCCTCCTCTCTCGCAGGGCGACGCAAAACTTTGACCTTGCGCGGATGGCCTCGCCCTTCCAGATGAAGACGAACGGGATGACGCACATGACGGCGAGCAGGCCGCCGAGCAGGGAGCAGGCGCCGGCGATGCCAAGGCGGTCAAACATCTTGGTAGTGGCAAAGGGCAGGACGACGGCGAGGACGGAGCGGCTGGTGGAGGAGGCGGCGTTGGCGGAGGCAGCGAAGACCTCATAAGCGTCGACGAGGTAGTTGAGGATGGCGAAGAAGATGAGGACCATGCCGGCGCCGAAGGGGATGCCAGCGAGAAGCGGCACGGCGAAGGGGACGCCGGGGCGGGCGCTCCAACCCATCCAGAAGAGGGAAACGACGAAAAGCGGGCCGCCGATGCAGGCGAGGGGGAGCCGGCGGTACTCCTCGCGACGAACCCAGGCGGCGTCGCGGGCCTGGGCGCGGGCGAGGACGGCGTCCCAGTTCCAGAAGATGGGGAGGGCGACGGCGGCGCCGACGCCGACGGAGAGGTAGGTGAGGCCGGCCTCGCCGGGGCTGAGGTGGTAGAGGCCCTGGTAGATGATCGGGTACGCCTGGAAGGACATGTAGAAGACGGCGTAGACGAGGCCGAGGTAGGCGCAGCAGCAGGCGACGATGGGTTCGGTGACAAGCATGCGCAAGGGCCGCGCTAGGACGACGCTGATGAGCTGGCGCACGTCAGTCTCTTCAAGTTCACGCGGCGCGACGACCTTGTTGCGGATAGGGTCCTGCTCGCGGAGGCGGCGGGCGCGGCGCTCGAGCAGCACGGGCTCATACGTCTCGGGCAGGAAGAGCACGCAGGCGAGGGTGGCACCGGCGTACATAAGATTGATCCAAAAGGCCCAGCGCCAGCCAATGGTCTCGGCGGCGTAGCCCGAGATAATGGGACTGATGAGCGGACCGAGGGTAGTGACGACCATGAAGACGCCAAAGGCGCGACCGCGGGTGCGCGCGTCGCCGTAGACGTCGGCGAGGATGCCCGCAACGATGGCGATCGGAGAGGCGGCGAAGACGCCAGTGAAGAAGCGCAGCACGAGCAGCGCACCCCACGACGGCGCGAGCGCACAGCCCATGGTGAAGAGCGCAAAGCTGGTGAACGTGGCGAGCGTCAGGCGCCGCCGGCCCATATGCTCGCTCAGCGGGCCCCAGATGAGCGGGCCGAAGACGTAGCCGACGAGGAAGACGGAGATAGGCAGCACGCGCTGCTCCTGCGACGTCACGCCGAAGTAAGCGGTGATGAAGGGGATCGCCTGACTGGGGAGCGCGGATCCAATCGTCGAGTTGAGAACGAGCATCGATGTCAAGGCGACGACGACACACTTTTTGGCCTGGGGGCGAGTGATGTGGTCAGCTGGATCCTCGTGAGGGGTGGGACGGAGAATAGGATATCACAAACATTACCCCAGTTCTTGGGGTTTTCTGGGTCATCGATCTTCCATTCTATTGTTTCATAGCCAGGACGACTGCGCGTGCGCGAGCGAATCTGGTCCAGCGCTGCGAGGTTGTCGTCCTCGAGATCTTCCTCCTCGGGTAGCGGGGACTCGAAATGCTCCTCGTCCACATCAAGGCGCATCTCAGTACTCGACACGCTATGCGACCCAGCGTCTGCATGTAAAAAGATTGGTATCAGTCAGCAAGGCAGCGCAATTAATAAGTGTGATCCGCGCTCTCAGGGTTCTGGGTGGTGCCTTACGAGGTCGCGTCGAGTTTTCTGTTTCCTCACCAACGACGGTGGGATCGCTGCCGCTCATTTTTGGTATGACTGCCTGGGTCAAAAGTCCCCTACTCGGCTATCATGGCAAGTCGCAGAGATGGGAGCTGCAGTCTGAGTACGGCGCGGTCAGCTTACTTTCAGCAGCGATGCTGCGTAAGTAATTTCCCAGGTTGGTCCGATAGCGAGCTCTTGGTGCGTAGGGCAAGATGAAAACGAAAAGAATATCCGTGCCATGATTTGAAATCGGCGAAGGAGCGAAGAGACGGACCCAATAACATCTTCTTAGCACGGCCAAGGCGTGGGGCCGTTCATCGGGCGGCGCTTTGAATATACCGGGTTTAACAGTACGACAACCATTCCGAGACAAAAATTCTGCCAGTCAACGCGAGGCAAAGGCTCCCCGCACCCTACTTGTCCGCGGAATTCGGGGCGGAGAGCGGTGCGTGCATTTTTGGCCTTATTTCGCAGCCGATGATAGGGTCACAATGGAACCGCAAGGAGAGGTGTTCAGAGGCCACTTACAAGTCGCTCTTCTAGCCACTAGCGCCACACTCCGATTTACGGCCCCCGCGGAGCCTTGATGCTCTCACCAAGCTAAATACGTGCCGACACCGTATCATAAGCACAATCTTGTGCTTGGGCACGTACTTGGGCGCGCAGGGTTCACAGTGTAGGTGGCATATTCGTGGGGTTGGTGCGATGCTGGGCTTTCGGTTGTATTATTCGTTTTCTATACTTCGAGGTTGATCTGTTTGCCGAACCTGGCATAAAGATCGACTTTAAGTTCTCCCATTTGTTCTTTAATGGTGCTTATTTTGCCCTCCAGGGTATCGGTCTCCTCTTCGATTCGAGTGATCGCCGTGCTCAGCATCTCCTGGGCCTGTTCTAGGGGCAGGTGGAAGAATGCGTCGCCAATTTTATATCTGACAGTTATTAGTACACAGACAATTTCCAACGCAGTCGTGCAGTGCATTAATAGACTGTTTGTATATCATACTGGATTTTCTCGTCTTCGTCGGCAAGCTCGAGTTCGGTCGTGAGGTCGTCTAGCTCTTCCTTTTCTTTCTATTTCGCGATATCGTTAGTCAACCGCCTGCGTACGTTTAAGCGTCAATAAAACAAACGTTTTTCGCCTTCAGTTCCTCATCCAGCAGCAGTTCCCTTTGGTTCAATCTGCTGAATCTGTTGATCTTGTCCTGGTCCTCACGACGGACCTCGACCTCTTGTCCCGCGGCCTCCTCTTCCTTGGAGAGCTGTGCGCCGCATGTTAGTCGGAGAACGGAAACTTGAATTTGAAGAAGCCGCGTACCATTCTCCTTTGTAATAAGGACGCCATTTTGAGCGCTGCTGTGCAATTCGGAAAGCTTCGTTGTATCTTCTTCGCTCAGTGCTGGAGGGATGCAATCGACCAGGAGCTCAAGAATTGATGGTGGGGTACCGTGCGGTAAGCCGTGCGTACTCCTATTTCATACAGTCCTCTCTGGGAGGGCAGGCCCCACACAAGCTGGATCGGAGCAGCTAGCTTCAGGACGCGACATCCGAGGGCGATATACTGGGAGCTTCTCTACAACTCCCAGACCCGGCTAAAAGACTTCAAAATGGGCACAAAGGCATATCCAAAGGCAACGCTGAAGAAGATCATAAAGGCACATTCGAATCACACACTGAAGAAGGATGCCGACGTGTCGGTATGCACCCTAGCGCATTCCGTTTGTTTACATGGCTGACCTGCCACAGATCTACCTCAACTACGTGCTTTTTATGGAAAGGTGATTGTGCCACTAATTGCTCGCCCAGACCCCGATTGTATTAACACGAATTTTAGTCTTATCAAGGAAGCAGCCATTCAATCCAAGCAGTCCGGTGAAAGAGGCTTGACGACGCGTAGCGTCAAGAAGGCTACGCGAGTAAGCTTGGTACTACCATTGGATCTCAAGCATATACTAACTGATATTGCAGGATATCCTTGCAAAGTTCAAGGGCTGAAGCAACGTGGCTAGATTTTATGCAATGCAAGCACATCAACGACAGGCTGAATAACAGACAACTCCATCCGACTGGATCTACCAAGAGCGGGCCTCGAATGCGACACGACACGGTCGAAGCGCAAACTCGCGCAAAGGTCACATTAAATACGCGGCATATAGATCGCAACATGAATCCGTCGTGAACGGACGGCATCGGACGAGGCAAATCCTGAATTTGGGGAGATCACAGTAACTACGTGATGGTTACCCCCCGATTTTGCGCACGAGACCAGGCCCACATCGATTCTGTAGGAACGTGGATAGATTCAGGCACCGACATTAGCAATTCTGCAGTGAATCATACAGTACATGGATTTCAATAAAAATTGTGACAATTTTAATATCCGCCTGTATGTAGCCTCAATTCTATCAATGAATGGTTTAAAAAATGCGTTTGCGCCTGGCTGGTGCCCAACTGTCGTGCTTCTGTGTGATTCTAGAAAACCCCCGCTGGCAGCCGTGCGGGCGGCTGCCGTTTGGTGAGCAAACGGCAGCCAATGCAGCCGCCGCCAGAGGCAACTCACAGTTTCACTCCTCCACATCTACCTACCATCTGAACTCCTCTCCTCCCCTAAAACCCAAACTTCTTGTGTTGCCACTGCATTCTCTTCGTGATATTACCTCTTCTTTGTCTTTGCATCCGCCATTGCATTGGAGCATTGCCATTTCTCCTTTTGAGCCCTAACCCGACTTCCTCGCGCGTGCCCTCGATTTCTGTCGACGGCACCCTGAACAATCACCCACACAACAAGCTTACCACGCCTTTCCATCGATCGCCATGGCTACAGCGACTGCTACCCAGCCGATGTCCAAGTCGGCCAGGAAGAAGGCCGCCAAGGCCATCGAGCGCACCGATTCTCCTGCACCTAGCACCACATCCGTCGCAGCCTCTGCAGACAAGGCCGACGATTCCTTCGAGAGCCCATATATCAAGGAGCTTCAGAAGTATGTGTCGCACACGATGGTTTACCTGTCTTTCCCGTCGCACGGGCCTGTACTAACGCGTTGTTTAGGAACATTCGAAACGTCAACAAGAAAATTGTAAGGCAACTAGTTACCCCCCGGTCTTATTGCCACCCATTCTAACAACCGTTTGCAGGTAAACGCCAACAAAACCGACTCCCTTCTCGCCGAACACAAAGGCAAAACCCTCGATGAATTAGTTGCCGCCAAGATCCTCAACACCGACCAAAAGGCTCAGATCCTCAAGAAGCCCGGTCTGCAGGCGCAGCTCGTAACACTCGAGGAGCAGCTTGCTCAATACCAGAGGGTTCATGATCAGTACACAGCCCAGGCTGCCTCTGAAAAAGCCGAGTTCGAGAATAGACTTCAGAAGGCCAAGGAAGATGCGAGCGCGGAAGCTAAAGAAGCTTCTGACAAAAGTTTGCAGGACAACCTCCTTCTCCTGTCACAATTCCTCCGTCTGGCTGCACATAGTCGAGGTGAAAGCCAAAACCCTGAGGCGGACGAGAATCAAGCCATTGAGGGAGTCTTGCTTGCTATTTACTCTGGGGACAGCTCTGCTGTTGCTGCCATGATAAAGCTGATCCAAGGATCTGGCGAGCAAGTCATCAGCGTTGCCGGAGAGAAGCTGGAATCGACCTGTAAGTCCGGAGGAACATTATGCTTTGCTCGACACTGACATTGTGCTAGACTCTGACATTGGTGCCTTAGCCAAGGGCCACATCGTTGCGGGGCACGCCGAACCAGCGGAAGCTGAAGCAGAAGAAGATTCTGATGTCACTGTTGCCGAGCCTACTATTGCCGAGCCTACTGTTGCCGAGCCTACTGTTGCCGAGCCTACTGTTGCCGAGCCTAATGTTGCAGAGATTGAAGCTGCCGCGGAATCTCTCACCGTTACCGAAGCTGCCCCAACCGGACTGGCTAATGGCAACGACCTGTCCATTTCACAAGAGTGGGTAGATGTCCAGGCTCCTCAGGATGCGGCCCCCGCGACTGAGGCTCCCGCTGAGGTTCCTGGGGCTCAGTCTTGGGCTGATGACCAACCCGAGGTAGGCATTGCTCCAGTTGACTTTGTTGAACTGTCTAGACTGCGATCTAACAAGTACTAGGCTGGCTCCGGCACCGCACCTCCCAACGATGGATTCCATCAGGTGCAGCGAAACAGGGTCCGCCATGAGCGCGAAGGCAGTGGTAACTTCCGCGGCCGCGGCCGTGGAGACTATCGCGGTCGAGGCCGTGGTGATGGTCGGGGCAGGGGAAGAGGCAACAATCGTAACACGAGCACAGGAGGTGCCGCTCCCCGCCCCGCTCGTCGCGAGGATCAGTAAATAGACTGAGTTGGCTACAGTCAGTGTGAAGTGGCAGGCAATACATTTTCCCGTCCTCTAGAGCGCAGAGGAACTTGTACACAACGGCATGGCGGCGTTTTTGGTCTTGACAGACCTTTTTGGTACTGGATTTTGGACGGTTGGGAGAGGCCGGCAGCAAGCACCAGGGTGGCTTCAATCAAGGCTCCAGAACCTCGTGCAAGGCCGGTGGCAACCTCGTGTATAGACGGGCCAGTGAAGATGATGTATAACAAGGCTACGTATGAAATAATGAAAGACGTTAACGGCCCCCTGGTGACATTTGGCAACACTACTAGCGGATTTGTGCAATGCAATAGGTGATGTGACGAAGACTCGGCAGTTCAGCCTAAACCGTCGATTCGATATCGCGGCACAGGTAGCACATAGGATCATGGAGTCAGCTGAGGCACGATGAGATCTTGACCCTGAGTCGGAGGACCGCCATTGATATTGTGGGAAGTCATGGTTTGAACGGTACTGTTGAACGAGGCATGCCAGCCGGCGATGGTGGCTGCCTTGGGCGAGGGCCCTGGCCAACCGGTGGCCCCGGAATGCCGGCTCCGGCGCAAGTGCCGGCCGCTAGACGGAGCCGGGGGGAGTTTATACCGGTGGCTTGTTGTCTACCCCTCAAGGCACAAGACGCCGCCAGTTATCTCGACGGACGCGAGATTGTTCACTTTCACCTCGACGCCAGGTATTGAAAATAAATGAAATATTAGTCAAAGCTATGGGCTATGGAGTGGTGGGCACCGTTTGATCTACGCAAAGAAACACCACTCTCAGCCCACATAGACGACACCGTGACGAAGCGCCAACTCCTTTGTAAGTCCGGGGTATCCTGCCTTCCCTTCCCTTTCTCGAATTTCTTCATCGCTGAAGAAGTCCAATAATTCTCTCAAGAGCCTGATTATCACCCTCCTTCGTATCTTCGAGCTCCTCGTCTATCCACCCTGGAGTCCGCCCACCTGCAAAGTCAATCAACTGAATATTGCCGATTTCATTAACCAGGATGTGGTCAGGCTTTGCATTACCCCAAGTGACATCGACTTCATGTAGATTCTGCACTGTGCTGGCCAGCTGGTGTTGCCACCTCTCCTTAAATGTATGAGGTACCATCGACATGTCAACATGCGCCAGCGATGGGGACCAAGGAGCGCAATAGACATAGTTTCGCAAAAGGCCAATGACTGCTCCGGTGCTTGAATGCCTAATCTATCCCTCAAGTCTCGGTGCAAAAAAGGCTTTGCCAGAATTGGTGGCCCGCCGGATGTCTTGCAGGGCGGTGAGTTCGCGAAGGAAACCGGGATCGGAGATCCCTGCTCTCGTGGCTTTGCACCACAGCACCCTTCCGTCGACCATTACTGTACCCATAACACGGCCTCCCTTGCAGGCCAGGTTATTTTGAAAAAGATCCCTGGCATTAAAGCTCGGGACATCATCGTCGGGCTGCCACCAATCTGGGTCCTCGGGACCATTCGGAATATGAATCGCGACCTCTGCATGCGCCGGCGAAAGCTTTGGCCGGCCATCGACGGTTTCGAGGCGATAGTGTATTGGATCAGGATACAATATAGTTTGCAGATCGTTGAATTGTCCCAGTGGTAGAGGTGGCTGGGGTATTTCCGCTCCGGCAGTGTCGAGAAAGGCGCGTCCACCAGCAAGGAGAATAATATGTACCGCCTCACTGACCCATGCGTTATATGAGTCGTGCATGGGGTCTTCTTTTGCCTTATGTAGGAGGTCGATCATCTTGTTTTCGGCCATGCACATTGAGTACGTGCCGTTGATTGACAATTTGGAAACAGCGTTCACGGCAACTCGATTGGCATGAGGTCCGACCTCAAGGATGATACTTGCATTGAATTCGTCAGGGACGGCATTGATGTGCACAGGTTTAACACTGCCGAATGCGGCATCCATAATGATGGGTAAATGATGTTGAGCTTGCTGAAAGGAGGACCAGCAGGCATGCTTTGGTTGGCAAGCTGGGTCAAGATAATGGTTCTGCGCGGCGTCGTCCCTTCCGCATCAGAAAGCGATACACCAACCACCACGGCTCCATTCATGCCAAGTCTTGCAGGCCGGCTAATAAAACGTCGTGAAAAATAAAGCAAGGAAAGAAAGGTCAAATTGTACGAGAGAAAAGCGTCGACATATAACTATGTTCAGGTGAGTGACCAACTCGCCTTGGCTTCCGCAAGGACCTTCATTTGCCAGGCACCCACTTTACATCCAAAGGCTTCGCGAGCAAAATTACACCCTGGTCATTCACCTGCCACGGCCTGCTCGAAAAGTGCTCCTCCAAGACGGGCAGAAACGCAGCCCTCATCTCGTCGGCCCTGTCATGGTCCGCGTACCAGACATCCGTCAGCAGCGCGGCCGCTCTCTCACAGCGAACCGCCAAATCTTCCTCCCCAAAGCTGAAGTGAGTATATACACGGCTAATCTCAATTTCTCCAAATCCGCACCGGGTGAAGACGCGGGTCACCGTGGCGAGCAGCAGGCCCTGGTGGACGAGAGCCGAGTCGCCGGGGGCCATGCTCTGCTGCGCGATGGGTCCGCAGACCCTGTTGATGAGGTTGACGACATCGTTGTCCGGGGCGCCTTGGACTATAACGATGCGCGCGTTTGGAGAGCCCGGGTCGACAACCCGGGCCATCTCTGTGAGGGCCGTCTCGAGGTCGTCTACGTAGGGCAGAACCCAGAGGGCGACGGCGGCGTCGAACTGGCGGTCCTCGAACGGGAGCTGTTCGGCTGCGCCCTGGCAGACGTGGACGTTGGAACTGCTACTGTTCTTGACGAGCAGGTCGTTGCGTTCGTGGTTCGGCTCGACGGCGTATGCCTCGCCGCACTGTCTGGCAATGGCCACGGCCAGATCCGACCACAGGAGGTCCTCCCTCCCTATATACGATTGTCTTAAGAGCAAGGTTGGTCTACATGAGCACCCTCAATGGCGTTGAGGACTTTTACAACACGGAAGGCTCATGCTGTGTACCGTGAAGTCGGGCCCTCCTTTTCTCTTCCTCGGCTTACATCTCGCCTATGCTTCAGTCATCATCTTGCAGCCGCGTAGTGGTGGGCAAGCCTGGTGAATTTGCCAAGCCTAGTGAGCCGCGGCAGCCGGGCCTGCGCAAGTACGGCGATTTGAGGCAGGCTTTGCGGGGACAGCGTCAAATCCGGGGCCATTCGAAGGCCATAGAACATTCACATGACACTATCCAGGAATGCAAAAAGGTTACAAGCCGCAGTCACCAAGCTCAGCCAATGAATGGATGTGGTGGAAGCGCGTAGTCATGCTGAAGTCTGGCGATGGCCTTGTCAATCGTCCTGCAAATCAGAATTCACCATCCCAGCTTTCCATTTGCGAAAACTTGCGCGCGGATTCATTTTCGCCAATATCGGGGATAACCATGATCGGAACAGCATTCGACTGGTTGCGGCGTATCCAGCCCCTTGTCTCGGCGGTCAACAATGCACATGCGGTATTTGCAACTCAAGAGCAGCTTTCGGTGAGCTTGGACACTGAAACGGCACGGCACATTATTTGGGGAAGCTCTCGTCTATGACGGCAGCCAGCCTCACAGAACTGCCGGCATTCACCTCCTCAGCCATGTCTGTCTTGATGGGCACGAGTGTCTCTGCATTTTCTTGTCATGTCTTACACAGAGTTTTTCGATCGAAAAAAGAGTTCTGAAAGACAGGATAGGTTAATGCAAGACAGACATTGTCTTTGCATGCTTCGGTCCGTCGCTGGTGTTTCGCTTTTCTCTGCGTTATCCCGGGCTGTCGCCGTGATTACAATATACTGGGTATACTCCATGTCTTGCTTACCGGGAAGATTCTAATTTTGGAGGCGTTGAAGACTATATTCCAACGTCTTTTATGCACAGCGCGTCGTCGGCAGCGTCCAAAGACGTACCCAGCGAGGCCACTATCATGATCGCTGAGGACTCAGCAGATAAATCACATGTTTCATTGGCGCATTTCCGATAAACGGCTTTGGGTTGACCCCGAAGACTTTCTATACACTCCGACCAGCTTTGCTTGATGCTCGTTAAAGATCAGCTCCGGTGCGGCGTATCGGCCGCCGGACGGCCATGACTACCCGACATCCGGACTAATCCCCAGCCATTATTGTCGTCTCACATGATAAACTTCTGGTCGCTTCTGTCCGGCCTCCCCGACATGTTGTCACTTTAGTCGTCTGGTAGCTGTCTACGGATGCCCAAGGACCCTCTGCTGCATCATGCATGCAACTCATCACCCCGCTTCGTGAGACTGATTGTCTCGCGTGTTTTTTTTACATATGGAGTTTATACTCACACAGGGCAGCAAATTTGTCCTGCTTGCTTCCACAGAATACGGACCGTTTTTCTGCCCTTCTCTACTTCCCTCTGATACAATCATTCCCTGGTACCCCATGTCAGCCAGCCACCGGCTCAATCACATGAGACAGCTGACAGGTCCCATTTGTTGTTATCAAGAGCGATGTGGTAATAGCCTCCTATGCGTGGTGATTTTATACTAGTTCTCCAGTCGTGAATGCTCCGTCGACGACGCATGCACAATCAGCAAGACAACAGCTGAGTGGTCTCATTTACTATCAGGGTATTGAAGAAATATCAGTCTTTCAGCTCCTGATTTCAGAAACAATCTACGCATTTTTGCCAGTTTGCTCAACCCGAGGTCTCGAGTCTGCATGTTTGCCCTCTCGATACTACGTTGTAGACCTGTCTGCAACACAGGTAGCCAAGGAGAGACTGCACAAAGACGGCCCTCAACGACCTGAAAAGTCACATAGCAACACACTAAAGATCCAGGTCTAATCCAATGGAAGGTGTATAAGAGAGCAGCTCGCGCTCTCCGGATCGGTCGTCTTCCATTCCATCCCTCCTCCACTCTACTGTCTCGAAAGCACCGACTACAAGCAACACCCAAGCTCTTCTTTTCTCCTCATCCATCACCAACTCCCAAGATGCGCTTCCTTCAAGCAGCCAGCTTATTTCCAGTGGCCATCGGCCTGGCAGCCGCGCAAAACGGGGCCGCCTGCTTCTGCTCCAAGGCGCGACGCCGCAGTGCACCGCCGACAACAACGGCGCCGTCCTCTGCTGCCTCATGGGCGCGCGGGCCTTGAACGGAGAGTGCCTCGCCGCCACTCTCTGCGGCGACAGCAAGACCGTCTGCTCCGGCGACACGCCCCAGTGCACGGTCAACGACAGCGTGTACGTCGACGACTCTAGCAAGGTCCTCAGCAACTTCGTGTGCTGCCCCAGCACCCAGAAGGCCCTCAATGGGAAGTGCTATCCGGGAGACGCGCCGCTCACCCCGTGCTACCAGGCCCCCGGGGTCTGCGACTGGGGAAAGGGCTACTACTGCGCTTGGAATGAGGGCAATGCGGACTCCAGATGCTGCAAGTTTGACGAGTACTTCAAGGGCAACAATTGCGTGAAGAAGGCCTGAGCTGCGGTCCTAGAACAGCATCAAACAACGGCAGATGGGGTATTTTTTTGCCCAGTCAAGTTGTAGTTGACCTTAGCTTTCTCTTAATCAGAACTCTTGTTTGTGACGAGTAACTACTTGCACTGCGTAACACTGGTGAGGCAGTCTTCCATTGACCTACCCTGTAGGCTAGAGAATAGCGCAGTAGCCGCTACCATGCTACCATCTGTCCTGGTATTTCTTGCGGGTCGACAGTCGGAAGCGAGCGCCATCGAAAGCCCCATATGTTAATTATGATGTAATTCCTCGATTCAAACCACTGGTGCCTAATTCGTACTTGGCACTAAGATATGTCGAGAGCAATGTGTCCTTGTTGAGGGCACCGCCTACCAACCTAACAGTGGGGCCAGGTAGCCGCCCCGCGAACAGGAGAGAAAGAGCTCCGACCGATCTCCAACAACCCAACCTGTTTCAACTTTCAACCCCCCAGCCTGTTTGTCCTTTATACATCTCCCTGGCGCCTCAATTCCCTGCATTCTACACCTAAATATACCTAATACTAAACCTCAGAACTGAATCCGCCTAATTCCACTCGACCTCGACCCTCCTCATCTTCACCACACCAACATCCTACGTCACCATGTCTCGAGTCCCTCCTCCCGGAGGTCCTGGCCGCGGCCTATTTGGCGGAGGTAGCCTGCCCGGTGGCAACCCTCGACCACCGCCTCCCGGCCAAGGATACGGAGGCGGTCCCGGGTATGGCGCCCCTCAGGGATACGGCAGCGATCCCCGCGCCGGCCAGAGACCGCCGCCCTCCCCGCAGCGATTCGGCGAGAAGCCGCCCGGCCCGTCTGGCGGCGGGCGACAGGTGCCTCTCCAGGTTGAAAAGGTCGCAGACAAGACTTTGCAGGTCAAGTTGATCTACGGCAACATGTACGCTCCGGGAATCACATTAACCCCCCCCCCCCTTCTCCCACATGAGATGCGACTGGCCCGCTGACAGCCGTTTTACAGATGCGCTGTTTCGCCCGAAGACTTCCCCCCGAGCCGCGACGGATCCGACCTCTACATCCTCATCCGCGGCGGCGACCCGGTGGGCGAATACGTCGTCACCGCCCAGCCCGTCCCCGGCTTCCCCGCCGGCTGCATCAGCCTGTCGGACCCGCAGCGCAGCTGGTCGGGCATCACGATGCGCGACCAGTTCACCGGCGAGGTCTTCGACCCGTTCCGGTCCGGCGGTAAGGCGTACCTGGGCTCCCTGGACCTCGAGATCGGCTTCGCGTCGCCGAGCAAGAAGACCGACGTGCCGTACGACGAGGATGAGCTCGCCAAGATGTTCATGGACACGTACGGGAACCAGGTGCTGGCGCCTGGGCAGCCCCTGATCATGGACGTCCGCAACATTCCTCTGCGCATCATCGTCAAGACGGTCGGGCTGGTGAATCTCGCCATGGGCGGCGAGGAGGGCGCGCAGAAGCGCAGGGAGGCTCACGCCCGTGGCATCTTGACGAACCAGACCCGGGTCCTCTTCCACCGCGATGGCAAGGGCGACTTCAACCTCAAGCCGTCGATGAACAAGCCCAACTCCAACGCCATCCTGGCTCCCGACTTCAAGTTCGAGGACATGGGTATCGGTGGTCTCGGTGATGAGTTTTCCACCATCTTCCGTCGTGCCTTTGCCTCTCGTGTGTTCCCCCCCGGCCTGATCGCCAAGATGGGCATTCCCCACGTCAAGGGCATGCTTCTCTACGGACCTCCGGGTACCGGCAAGACTCTCATCGCTCGACAGATTGGTAATATGCTGAACGCCAGACCTCCCAAGGTCATCAATGGTCCCGAGGTGCTCAACAAGTACGTTGGACAGTCGGAAGAGAACATTCGAAAGCTGTTTGCCGACGCTGAGAAGGAATACAAGGAAAAAGGCGACGAGTCCAGCCTGCACATCATTATTTTCGACGAACTGGATGCCGTGTGCAAGCAGCGTGGATCAGGAGCTGGTGGCGGCACTGGTGTGGGTGACAGCGTTGTCAACCAGCTGCTGTCGAAGCTTGATGGTGTTGACCAGCTGAACAATATTCTGTTGATCGGAATGACCAACCGAAAGGACATGATTGACGATGCTCTGCTTCGTCCCGGTCGTCTGGAGGTACACCTCGAGATTTCCTTGCCCGACGAGGACGGTCGTCTGGAGATTCTCAAGATTCACACGTCCAAGATGAAGACGAACGGCCTTCTGGACCCCGATGTGGACCTGGAGGAGCTCGCCAGCTTGACAAAGAACTACTCGGGTGCCGAGTTGAACGGTCTTGTCAAGGCAGCGGCTTCGTTCGCCTTCTCTCGCCACACCGAGGTGGGCCAGCTGGCGGCCGTGAAGCAGGATGTCGCAAGCATGAAGGTCAACCGGGCCGACTTCATGAACGCGCTGACCGAGGTGCGTCCTGCTTACGGCGTCTCGGAGGCTGAGCTGGAGGATGCTGTCCGCTTGGGCATCCTGCCGTATGCCGGCCACATCAACGCGACGATCCAGGAGATGATGCGCGTGGTGGGCATGATCAAGCAGGACCCGAACAAGTTCAACTCGTCGGTGCTGTTCCACGGCCCGCGCGGGTCCGGCAAGACGGCGCTGGCGGCGCACATTGCGACGCAGTCGGGCTTTCCGTTCGTCAAGCTGGTTACGCCGGCGGACCTGGTGGGCTACCGGGACGACTTTGCCAAGAAGGACTACGTGCACAAGGCATTCGCGGATGCGTACAAGTCGCCTGCTAGCATTCTGATTCTTGATGACTTTGAGCGCCTGATTGGCTGGAACCCGATCGGATCGCGGTACTCCAACGTGATGCTGGAGGCCCTGACGACGCTAATTGTGTCGAGGCCACCGAGGGTATGTTGACAGCGACTTTACGTGAAACTGCGAGGAAAATGCAGCGGCTAATTTTTTTTAACCTCTACAGGGCCACCGATTGCTGGTGTTTGTGACGACGTCCAAGGCGTCGGTGCTCAAGATGCTGGAGGTGGACCAGGACTTTGCGAAGAAGGTGGCGGTGCCAGCGGTGTCGACCCTGCGGGAGCTGGGCAGCGTGCTGCACGAGTCCAAGTCATTTGACGGCGGTGAGATTAGGCAGGTGATGGGGATGGTGCAGGAGCGGACGCGGGAGGAGAACGTGGGCGTGGGCATCAAGACGATCCTGGACTCCATCTTCGAGGCCAAGGCGGGCGGGCAGGACAGCAACGTGCTGGAGACGTTTGTGGACCTGCTGGTAGAGAATATGAACGACCTCAGGGGGTAGAAGGGCCTCTTTTTTTTTTGGAGTATATAGACATGTAGAAAAGAAAAAAAAGAAGAAAAGACGGTCAAAAAGCACATCGCAGCCAAGGTCAACCGCGTCGGCGTCATGTACGTGTAAGCCATGTCTGGTCGGTAAACCAGGGGGGATGTCTCCCTTCTTGTCCTTTAATTCTTCTTTGATATGCAGGCACGCGTATCAGGTACACCGTTAATCCGTGCTAGAAGAGGAGATAAGATGCAAGACACGAGAACGCGTCTGTGGGCAGACGGGGTGTGAAGCGGTTGGTTGCGTACGGAGTTTTCCAGACCGACCAGGAAAGGCCATTTCAGGTTCAGGAGGCGGCGTGCATACGCATACATACATATCTATCTCGTTTACCCGACGGACCGGGTTGGCCGGGACTAACATCATGCAGGAGAAGGGGGCGGATGAATGGGGAATGAAGAGATGGGTGCAGGTAGGATCATGAAGTGATGGTCTTTGCGCTGTGAATGTCAGTCATTGTGGCATGATGGCTGCACGGGATCTGTTTAAACTGTGAGTAAATTAGTAAAGGCCTCCCAGGAAAGTCAATGAGAGAAAGTCTTCGGGCGCGAGTAATGTGCGACAACAGCGGGAGGACGGATGCCGGGGCCGGGGCGGCCGTCCGCAATGCACGTTAGACGGAAGGGTGCGCTACTAAAGCGAGAAGAGTCATACTTGTATAACACGCTGCAAATGCAGAACAAAAGGTTATCTGTCGCATTTTTCCTGGTCAATGAGAGATTAGACTGGCAAAAAGATTCATAAAAGAGCGCGACATTCGGCCAGGTTTGGCAGCCCGGAAAAGAGGTTCCGGGCCTAATAGTTTGCGGTGGTTAATGGCCTGACGGCAGGGTTGCATCCTTCAGGACGACTTGGCCCCAGGGTGGTTGGCTGACAAGACTACCAGTAAAGTCCAAGGGTTTGCTTTTATTTATTTCTCTTTTCTTCGAAAATGGAGAAACCAAAAAGTAGGTCTACTACATGGATCCTTCTCTTCCTGTGTAATGCTGCATAAAGTGCATAAGTTGTGTAAATTTGCACAAAGGTGAACAGATTGTGAATTAATGATAGCGCCGTTTGGTGTGTGCGAGCGGGCTGACCCGACAGCATGGGTGACGACGATGGGGCCTGCGGGTTTGTCACTTGTCAAGTGAGCAAATTTGGCGAAGCAACCCATCCATCGCCAAAACCGCCATCTATCAAAGCTCGTCTGCTGATGAAAATCGAAATCCCAACCGGGTGGAAAGCCTGGCGACTGGCTGGGGCTAGGCAAAGACACCACCAGGACGGCCCCGCCATCCGTCTGCTAGGCTAAAGTGAACCCCCCGGTTGGTGGTTGGTGGGATCGTCGTTTCTTGAGAGGAGAGGAAGGGGACAAGAAGGAAGTGGAAGCGAAAAAGGCGGGCAAAAAACAGAGAGGTCTAACTAACTGGTTGCGGATGACCGAGTACGAATTAGAAAAAGGAAAACCCAAGGGAGAAACCAGTCATCTGGTACATACAACCCAGTGCGGCTCGAAGGATGGATGTCACGAGCCCCCGCTTGCAGTTGCTTTTTCTTGTCCCTCTGCTTGATGAGACATCTACTGGTGGTTACGTGTGTTTGCTTGCTCGTTTCGTCTTTTCTTTTCATCAGTCCATCATCTACTCGGGTTTCTGCGAATCACCTTTTCGTTTTTTTTTTCTTTCTCTCTTCAATGCTCATGTTATGTCCGCTGGCGCATAATATCAGAGCAAGCCGGTGGCGCGAGGCCACTCCAATTCGGTCACCGCCACTGTTACGCCACGGCCACGGCCTCAGCCACAGCCACAGCCACAGCCACAGCCATAGCCATAGCCACAGCCACGGGATGTTCCTATGCCGTTCTCTCTCTTTTTTTTTCCTACCGTTTTGTTTTGGCTCTTCCCAGGTCGCGAATCGGCAGACTCCGCTACTTTATTAGACATGGGGCATGGCCTGGCCTCGCCTGGGATTTACCATCTCCTCGTCTCTGCCGAAATTGGTGTCATCTTTCACGTCTCTCCTCACTGCCTGCCTGCCCCTCTGCCCCGCCAACCCACGCAGAGTTGCAGAAACATGGTCAGTGCTAGACAACTTACATACATGATGGCCGCATAGCACAAACTATTCGTCCGGCTCCCAAGCCAACTAACTCTCTTGTCTGGCTCTCCACCACTTTTTTGTTCACAAAAGAGTCCATGGCAATCCTGCTCTGTTCATCAAGTAGATCCAACCTCTTTCACCAAATGTCCGCTTCATCTGATAAAAAAAAAACGTGAATCCAACTTCTTCCAGTAAATAGAGTCAAAAGCGAAACACATGCGCGCCGCGTAGACTGTCCAAAAATCGCCGCTAGCCCAGCTCTCGCGCATTTTGCCAGATAGTCGCCGTTCTTCTTGCAGCCTCCCAGCCGACACAGACTTGTCTTCGTAGTCCACCATAGCCTTCAAAAAGGTAGTGAGACGACGCTCGTATTTCTCTATCCAGTCATCCAAACCATCATCATAGTACCCTGGCTGTTCGATGAGCAACCACCAAGGGGGGGCAAGGGTAAACTCATTAGGTGCCGCGTATGAAAGTTCTCAATCAATCACCGCAACAATGTCTAGATTCGCGTCAAGAAGAATATTAGACGGCCGCAAGTCGTCGCACCAGAGTTTAAAGGGTCCTTTATCGTACTTTCCAGACGGGGATTTTCTCTCGCTGGCGAGTTTGTGGAACAGCTTCCTGGCGGTATACTTGCGCGGGCAGTCGGGTCCCGACTCGATGGCGTCGTTCCGTTGGTGGGCTAGGTGATCAACGTGGAGCTGATCGAGGCTTTCAAGGTAGTCTGACGAGGTCTTGAATGTAGAAGCAGGCAATTTGGATCGCGGCAAGGTCCCGGTCCTGACTAGCTCATTCATGGGCATTGACAACGGACGCTGCGTCCCCTCCCACCACCTCTTATTTGTCTCTGCTAGAGCTCCTATTAAGGGAAGCTCCAGCATAGAAGTTTGGAGAAGGATATCGGAAACTTGACGATATAGCTTTTAAAGCTTGGCTCCGTCAATTTCCGGGTTGAGCATTGGCCGCATATCAGGCGTGATGGTGTGTTGAGCCCTGCAGTCATGTTCATTTCATGCTTAACGTATTCCATAATGATGAATGGCCCTATTTTTAGGGGACTCTCTTCTCGGGTTCCCCAATGAAGAGTTATTGGGACTGGTATTGCGGTGCGGTCCTGGATGTATCTCATGCGACGACTTCATTTCGAATCTTCTCCTCGGGAAACATTGTCCTGCCCGGCGTGGCGAAGCGGATGACGACTGAGCCGCCGTCTCGGTACGTCAATCGGAAAAGAGCGTTGAATGCGCCGGCCTTTAAAGGACCAATCTCTTCCGGGATGCCTTGCCAGTGTTTGGCGATGAAGTTGCCAATGGCCAGTTGGGTCGAGGGCACCATCAAACCCTCGCGCCGTTCCCTCTCGATGCGGTCGCTTTCCTCCCTTGCGATGTCATCTCCTTGCATCCACATTTGTATGCGATAGCGGCCAAGCACGTCTTTGAAGACATGTATGAAATGAAGACGCACGCTGGCTGCGTAGGGCATGACAGCTTGTGTTGGTACCTCAATCATGGGGGCGGGGAGGTCCCCCGTTGCCGACCTGCGCCGTAAGCAATACTCATAGGGGGAGCCACTCAGTGCTTTTCCAACCCTGCACGCAACAGCAGGCCAAGATGTATCATGGGTAATGCGTACGAGCATTTCCACATCTTTTCATGCAACTCATGCGCTCATACCATCTTACGCGTCTAGACTTTTGCACTGGGGACAGGGTTCTGTTCAACGTTAATGGGCAACGTCTTAGCGCACAGAGCCCATGCTCAAGTCCAGCCAACACGGCACGCTGCAGCCCAACCAAAAAATATGCTAGCAGGCTAGCAGGGGCGAAATGTCGAAAAAAGAACCCGTAAAAAATACGGATACAAAAGAACTGGTAATAAAAACAAAGTGAGAGAAAAAACGCCACCCCATTCGCCTGGGACCGCCCGACCTGCCCACCCACCACCCACCACTTTAGAGGTACAGTACATGCTGTAGCTTGCTTGCCAGCTGCCTGCTCTCCCCATCTCCCATGCTACCAAGGTAGCTCGCCCACTAGTCTCGTCACCGTAACCGTTTGTCCTTCTCTTCTTGGTCCTTCTCATATCTTCTTGTTTTCCCCGGATTACCTTCTACTTAATTTTGTTTTCGAAAGATTTCAGCATCTAACGACAAATCTTGCTGACGCCTCCTTCTCGCCTCACCAAAAGTACCCGTCAGGTGCCTCCGTTCCCCCCCCTCCCTCTCCCGCGCCGCGCCGCGCCCGCCAGCCAACCTGCTAGCCAGCCAACCTGCCTCGCCCGCGAGAAAAAGCCTCCCACCCGCTCCAGCAAACATTCGACTACCTCCCACTCACTGCCTCCCGCACCACCTTCTCTCTGCGTTGTACGTTCGACCTTCGTCTACCCTCCAACCTGCCGCCAGAATACAACCTGCACCAGACAAGTCGCCAGCCAAACTATTCCGAGCTTCTCTTATTCCCAACTCTATCCTATCTGTCCAAGACTGACATCACGTCCGCCAAACGTCCACCAAACATCCAACGCTGTCGCCTGCTCACCAACCTACCCTATCCCAAAGCTAATGCGCGCGCTTTTCACCAGCTTCCGTCTCGAACCGACCTAACGTCCCAGTATACACACAACTAGTCGAAACACCACATCCTCTCCCGCTTGCGACGACTTCCTAATTCTGACCCACGGTCTACCGTCGAGACTCTGCGCTCGGCGGAGCCGCTCTCCTCCTCCTCGCAGCGCCTCCTCCTCGCAGCGCCTCCTCCAACTGCGCGATCCCAGCCGACCACCTCGGCCATGGCCGCTTCCACCGCCGCCCCAAAGTCCTCCAAGAGGTCATCGCCCAGAGCCGCCGCGTCTCCCATAATACCCGCCTTATCTCCCGCTGTCGCTGGTGCCGCCTCCTCGTCCTCGGCCTCAGCAAAGCCTACCGCTCACAGACTCCCTCGCAAACCCTCAGTCGGCAAGCAGCCTCTCCTTCCCCTCACCGAGGCCCGCCACTACCACCATGGACGATCTACCTCCCGTGCCGGCCCAAGGGAGACTGAGTCGGAAAAGTGGGATACCACCTGGGACAACCCGTCGGCGGCTCGGGACGGACGCCAGTTTGCTGTTGCTAATGTGGGGAACAACGGTCGTATCTACCTAAGGTATGTCCAGCTGCTATTCCGATCGAACCTTGAACACCTAGCTCTTCATCTTTCCGGGAAGCGGGTCCTTCGTCTTGCCCGTTGAAGCATTGGAATGCCCATCCTGGTCTTCCATGTGACAGGCCCCAAAACCTCTGATCCTCAACTGCTAACACAGACGCTCTTTGCGACGACTTGCAGACCCTCCGTCCGCCGAAAGAACTCCGTACCACATACCCAGCAGTCCTTCAACCTGCCTACCACCCCTCCTCAGTCCTTCGATTCACCGCCGACATCCTTCGGCCAAGGCCGTATACCCATCCGCGCCCCCGATGCGCCTGTCCAGCCCTGGGTCAACGTGCCCCAAGGCACTCCCTTGACCAGCAGCATGGCCAGTCTCCCTGGTTCGCGTGCCGCCAGTCGACAGGGCCGTCATCGCCGTGCCCTCTCCGACAGCACCATTCATGAACTAACCGCCCCCAAGACGGCCGACTCACCGGCACCCGTACCGGCGCCCAAGACCTCCATCGACGACCTGCGTCCACGCACAATGGACGACTTCGTCGCTTCCACGCCGCACCTTGATATCAGCATTCCCAACTGGCGTCTCGGTACTCCTCGATTCACCGACCGCGGCACGGCCCTCATTCGTGGCGCGTCCTACGCCCCGACAGAGGAGTTGCGCTCGAGTTCTGCCTCCATGCTTAACTCGCTGCCGCGCAGCCGCCAGCCCACGACAGACTTTACGTGGAACAAGTCAACAGGATCCTTTCTATCTCCAGGAGACGCGGAAACGCCTGCTATACCCAGGAGCCCCAACCGCCCACCCTCGTCGTTGAGGCTGCAGGCCATGCCGCCTACTCATCCAACTACTGAGCTCGTCATCGAGCCGGCCATGTTCACCGATCTTACCTTTCGCCCGGCCTGTGATGACCGTCGTCTCGTTCGCTACGCTCCCACCACTGGCGCTGTCGCCGCTGCCACACCACCACGGCTCGTTGCCGAAATCACCTCGCCGAGTTTCCTAGATTATGAATTGATATCCGACTTTTTCCTCACCTACCGATCTTTTCTCGACTCCCTCGATCTCTTGCGCATGCTGTTTGCCAGAATGCGCTGGGCCTTGGATCGACAGGACGAAGTTGGCATGATTGTTCGCGTTCGCACCTTCGTCGCCACGCGGCATTGGATTCTCAACTATTTTACAGACGATTTCCTTCTCAACTACGACCTTCGAAAGGACTTTTGCGATTCACTCAACAGTGTAGTCGAGGACCTCTCTGAAGACGTGCAGACTAGGACTGGGCAGCTCAGAGTCATTGCCGAGCTGAAGAAATGTTGGCGCAGGGTCTGCGCGCACTACTGGGACGGTCCCAACTTCGATGGCGCTCTCGGAGTTGAAGCCGCAGTAATGCCTGGCGGCATTGCCGGCCATCGAGATCCAACACTGACCCCGTCCTATTGGCAAAGTTTGGGAGGCCAGCCGCCACTCTCCTCGGCCCTGGTCAAGCATCAAGGTCCTGACGTTGGATTTTCCACCGACCCAAACAAGACTCCGAGAATTGGCGACTTCATCGTCTTTGGAGATCGACCTCTGACTCCGGAAAATGTCGCCATGGACCTGGCACGAGCGCAAGGGGGGTCGCCTCGTAGCCCGGACAGCGTAGATGTCGTCTCTTGCCCGTTTCCCGGCAAGACTTTGAAGAGCATGCCGTCCTATGCTAACCCGCAATGGAGCGCCCATCCTCACCCAGTACAGTCCACGGCGCAAGCGCAGCAGACTGGGGTTGCGTCAGTACCGCCTCGAGCGTTAGCGAGCAAGAGAACCCACCACGGCCATTCACACAAACGCAGCAACAGCGTCAACGACTCGCTTCGCGAACACCTTGCCGAAAAACCCCCCAATGATGTTGACTTTCCCACCCTTCTGCCACCTGCTGGTAGCCTCGTTCGCGGAAACATTCTCCCTCCTGGTCAGCCTTTTGTGGACACTTCTGCGCAGGACTGCGGCGGCATGGCTCATCGCCAAACGACCGTTTTCACACCCCCGTCTCGACGCATGTTCAAGGACAAGGCATTTCATGGCGCCATGTCTGGTATCGGCATGAAGAAACTTCTCGCCAGCGTGAGACGCGCACTGAGCGCGCGCGGACACGTCACTGCCCCCACACAGGCCAACCTGACACGCATCTCGCCGGTCGGACCGCGCAACGTGGCCTCGAGCCGACTACCTGGTACCGCTGTCGTTCCCCAGGAAGAAGCGCAGCACCACGGTGGCAGGCCAGCAGTCCGCATTGACCTCTTAGGCGCCGAGGTCGCCGAGGACTTCAAAAAGGCGGTGCGTGAGGAACAGGCAGAGGCTCCCATACCTCCCGGGCCCTTGTCCGCCCCTCTGCCGGGAGCGTCCAGTCCTGGCTTCCGATTCGGCGGTTTTCCTGCCATTGAGCACCAGCGCCCGACCAGCGACATGGGCATCACCACGGGCAGCAAGTCAATTGTCATTGTCGACGACACTGTGCAATTTGAAATGCCTCGGGGCTTGATGCTACAGCATGCCCAGGGACACTCAATCGAGACTCTCATGGACTCATTTATACCCGCCGCTGTTGACCCGACACCACCAAATACGCCCCCAAGTGTCGACCGTGGTACGCCTCGTCGATCCTCATATCTCATTCATCCTCGTTCAGTCCAAAGTCCTGACGTGCTGCCCCCCTTTATTCCCGACCTTGCAACCCTTCAACAGGATGATGGATCTCCAATATCGGAAGCAATTGGCAGGCCTTCCTTTGCCTCGTCTCGTCAAACTCGACGCTATCCGCCTGTCAGCGCTGCCGCGTTTCGGATGCATAAGCGCGTCCGCTCTTCAAAGACGCATCAATCTATCAAATCGATATCGCACCGTCGTCACAGCTCCATTAACAGTGGCACGCTACCTCCGTCTACTATCCTCAGCCTGGATCCTGCCACGCTCTCCGACATTTCTATGCGTGATTCGGAGATCCCAGTCCCCGAGCCTCTACATGTTCTTCGTCGCCGCCCTGGCGGTGACTTGCGTGCCGCCAACAGGGTGGGTGAGCTCGATAATAAGCCCCTAAGAAGGTCACAGTCTGTCGGGTCCATTGTTACCTACTCCGAGTCTGTCCGCAGCATGAGCTTCTTTGGAGCGGTCCCCGATTCCAACTTGGACGCTGACTCCGATTACGGCGACTACTGTGTAGAGCGCCATGAGGTTTTCTCGGTCGGTCAACTGACGAAGCAACAGCCGGAACAGGCTGCAAAGCTCTCTCTCTTCAGCACACACTCCTCGTCCAAGCCGCCAGGGCGACCATCATTTGAGGCGGAAGCCCAGCGACTCGCCCAGATCCCAGATGACGAGGACGATGGTGGTATTGAATCGGCACTGCTCAAACTAGAAGGCAAATTCCAACGTGGCTCCAAGGGCAGTGCAGCAAAAGCGGAAGACGAGGAGATTGATATCGAGAGGCTCGGCCGCGCCCTCCAGTTTCTTGGCGGTGCACCAGCAGAGAGCATAATCGGTAGACGCCGACGAGCATCAACCAAATCAACAGCTTCCAGCATGGATCCTGGCACAACTGAGGATCTGTCTGTGCCGCGGAGTGAAGGCACGGAGGCCCGCTCATTCCTCTCGGAGGCGTCAGTGGACTCGAATAATTTGATCCCGTTGTTAGACAGGGGGCTGACCGACGGTGGTAGCCCGAGGCTCAGCAGGAGCTGGGCAGAGAAGTCCATCCTCCGTGATTCAGAAGACCTCACCACGGTTGCCAGCAGTGAACTGTCCAAGACTTCAGTGCTATATGATGCACAGTCGGTTGATGAGCAAGCCACAGCATCTGGCGACCAAGAGTACGATTTGGTAGAAAAGACGGACAGCATGGACCGAATCATACCCGGGGACACGCAGCCCGCATCTCGAGATCAGCAGTCTTTCCTCGAAGATGAAAGCTACGCCAGCTCAGACATATCTTCGGAGATGTCGACCGAGGAACCAATGCCTTTACAGACAAGCAACAATCTTCTCCGCCCAAGACGCAAACTGCCTCCCCGTCCTTTGGGCGAGCCCATTACAGACTCCATGCTGCAACCTGCCTCGCCTCCCCTATCTACACCACGCCAGCGATCGCCTTTGTTCAACTCTACCGAGGCCATGTACGCATCCCGGCCTCTTCCACCTACTCCCGAAGCTACGCCGACAGTACCATTTACGCAGACCCTCACGGGCTCACAGCCATCGCCCGCGGCGCTCACGATGACTCGAGGTGCACCATTAGCCGAGGTCAGCGCCAACAAATTCTCCGTGCACCTACCCTTTATCCTCGCCTTTGACTCGGACATCCTCGCGCAGCAATTTACGCTAATCGAAAAGGACGCCCTCAACGAGATTGACTGGAAGGAGTTGATTGAGATGAACTGGAAGAATGCTACTAGCAGTGGCTCCCGTTCGTGGGTGGACTTTCTACGGAATAGTGACGCGCATGGCGTCGAGGTGGTCATTGCACGATTCAACATTATGGTTAAATGGGCCATTTCGGAGATTGTACTGACGCAGCACGTCGAGGAGCGGGCGCGCTGCATCATCAAGATGATCCACGTGGCAGCACATTGCCGGCGGTACCGCAACTTTGCGACGCTCGCGCAGCTGACCATTGCGCTGTCGAGCAACGATGTGACGCGCCTGACGCGCACCTGGGCGATGGTGCCGGCGCACGACCTGCGCACGCTGGCCGAGCTGGAGGCACTGGTGACGCCGACGCGCAACTTCTTGCACCTGCGCGCCGAGATGGAGGTTGGCACGGATACGGGCTGTATCCCATTTGTGGGCATCTACACTCACGACCTGCTCTACAATGCCCAGCGGCCGTCAGAGGTGCCGGCGGCGGCGCCCGACGCTCCGCAGCTGGTCAACTTAGAGCGCTGCCGTGTCGCGGCGGCCGTGGTCAAGGTGCTCCTGCGCCTGCTCGAGTCGAGCACGCGCTACGCGTTCCAGCCCATTGAGGGTATCACGGAGCGCTGCCTGTGGGTTGGCGCGCTCAGCGACGAGGAGATTCGTAGCCATTCGGAGGCGCTCGAGTCTTGATACTACAGTTATGCCCCTCGGGCAGCCTACATACTTTCATTCTCGAAAAAAATGAACGTTGACTTGAATATGAAGCCAATCATTGCAAAGCGAAGGTCAACTTTCAGATCCCAGGACGACGCAAAACACAGCACACATCTTTTATCCTCTTTACATGAGTCGATTCGACACCATAGTCAAGCGAAGCAAGCATAGACGCATTCGTTATCCCGGCCATTTTCCTGGGCCTGTTTTTCTCTACTTGGAGTTGCTATCACCACCACAGCGCGGAGCTCTTTTGTTTCTTCCTTTCTACAATCGCTTTATTCTACAGTTGCTAATATACCCAAACAGCTTGGGTATTGTTTTTATACGTTTGTTGTAGAGCATAAAAAGACGACAAACGGGTAATTCCTGAGATACAAAGAGACGCGCACATAACATTTGCTGGGAAACGAGCTAGACTTTGCCTTTGTTTTTTTACACACCTGTCTTTTTCGGACTTCGCGGTTTCTTTCTGTACTTTTTCTCTTTGTGGTTTGAATAGTTGTTTTCAAGAGCAGTCTTTTGACGGAGAGAGGTAAGACGGGCTCGTCCGAGAGAGAGAGAAGGACGAGCGAGTGAGTGGACTTGGTTGGTTGGACAGCATGGCTTGATATACCCTGGGACTTTTTTTATTTGTTGCGACGGAGAACTTGACCTTTCTGCGCTTTGGCAATTGAAGGAAGTACATTGCAGAGACAACTAATACTTCCCTGACATTTGCGTGCGTGCGTACGTGCCTCTAACGTAGCATCGCAAGTTCACCAAGACCTATGTTAGGTGTAGCACGATAGGCAAGTTAATGGGAGCAGATCATGAAGTACAGGCTGTTTTAGAAAGCTATCAAGACTAAAAAGACAAGGCAGTCCAGGGCGGGACGACGGTCAAGTCCATCCCTAAGCGCCGTGCAGTACAGGGCTTTCCCTCCCCCTCCAAGCGACTCGACATGTATGTATGGGAGTAGAATAATACCAAGCGAGCACCACAAAAGGAAAAGTCATCGTGCGTTGCAAATCAATGAATGAAAAAAGAAACGTCGACAACCGCCGGTGGGCGAGTATCTTTCCCTCATCAGTACCAGCACGAGCGTGAAACCACAAGACTACCTTTCAGCTTCCTAATCCTCGCCATTTCCCGGGAGAGAAACGACAAGCCCCAAAAACAAATTCCCTTTTCTTCAAAATTTTCCATGCCTCTTTTTTTTCTTTCCGGTGGATCCTTTTTGTCGTTCAGAACATTCAACAGCTTTTGCCGTTCCCGCCTAAAGCTCTTTTTCTTCTTTTCCGTTTTAGAGAAGCGCAGCAGCAGCAAGTCTACCAAAGCTCAACGGCAACGTTCTCTTCATACGACGAGAAAGCGCTGTCGACAGCAGCCGGCAGAGTTGCTGTGGCGGCGGCGGCGTCGGCATCAGCCGCCAGGACGTCCTGATTTTCCTACCACTGGGAGTCCTTGGCGGCGTCGGCAGCCCACTCGGTGGAAGCGCCGGGGGCACCCCACTCCTCACCGGCAGCGCCGGCACCGTCCCAGCCGGCACCAGCGGCACCGGGAGCGCCAGAGAAGCCGGCAGCGGCGCCGGAAGCGTCCCAGTCACCAGGGGCGGCCTGGAAGCCGGACTCGATGGCAGCGGGGCCCTCCTCCTCGGCGGTCTTCTCCTCCTCAGCCTTGTCCTCGGCCTCGGCCTCAGGGTCGCGGTCTGCGCACGTTTGTTAGCTCTTTTCTTCCTTCGCTTCATCTTCTACAGGGACAGGTATGCGTACAGAAGTACAGATCGGGCATGACGTCCCAGGGGGTCTCGCGGGAGTAGATGGTGCCGCGGAGGCGCAGGACCTCGCGGGCGAGCAGCCACCAGACAGTGCCGATGGCGTGGCGACCCTTGTTGTTGGTGGGGATGGCGACGTCGACGTACTCGGTGGGGGAGTCGGTGTCGCAGAGGGCGATGACGGGGATGTTGACGTACGAGGCCTCCTTGATGGCCTGGGCGTCGGTGCGCGGGTCCGTCACGATGATGAGGCGCGGCTCCTTGAACGAGCGGGTGATGTAGTTGGTGAAGCTACCGGGGGTGAAGCGGCCGGCAATGGGGGTGGCGCCGGTGTGCGCGGCGAACTTGAGCACGGCGCGCTGGCCGTAGGGACGCGCGGAGACGACGCAGATGTCGGCGGGGTTGTCGATGCCGACGATGATGCGGGCGGCGAGGACAATCTTCTCCCTGTGTTTCGGTCGCGCTTGTTAGTTTTCGGAACCTGGCTGTGCTGCGCCCTTGAAAACTGCAGCTCACGTACCAGGTCTTGCCGACGTTCAGGACGTTGACACCATCGACACGGGTCTTCCACAGGTACGGCTCCATGTGCACCTGCAAGTTCTTGCTACCCAGGTGAGACTGGGCAGCCAGGAGCATCTCAATGTCCTGGCTGGTGGCGTTGAAGACGGACGGCAGGTTGTTGGGGGCCATCTTGACGGGTGTTTTTCCTTGGTTGTTTGGGAAGGAGGGAAAAGGTGATGGTGAGGTCGTGGGGAGGGAAAAGTTCGCGACAAAATGCGAAGCACCAGCCGCCCACCACAAAATCAATTTCGCCCAAAAATGTGCGCGAGAGCCCTGGTTGCGCTAACCCATTTGTGGCCTAGTATTCTCTGCAAAGCGAGCACCCCCCAAAGCGGCTAGGTCTACACGTGATCCATACGCTAGTCGATTTTGGGATTGTATGGGGAACCTCCTGGCTCGTAACATGAGAGACACAAATGGCTAGGAAATTTTGAAGTCGACGTTTAGCAGAGAGCTTTGAACGACAGATATCAGCACATCCACCACAATGCCACCCAGATTAGAGGCGCTGCCGCGTCTAGGCACGATTAAGCGTAAGTCTACACCGCAATTGACACTGCTCATCCTGTCCCCGGGCCGACGAATTGGATGTCGTAATGGCCGTTGTATGAGCATGAGCTGACCTGTATCCTCCCAGTCTGCCTACGACCAGCCACAACCACCCCGAAGACGCCGCTCCTACCGCTCATCCAGACGGCCAACCTATCGCAGCGTGAGCGCAAGCGCAAGGCCAAGCAGGATCCGTACCGGTGGGCACAGGCGCAGCAACGCAAGAACGCCAATCTCAAGCGCCGGGGAGAGCTGCAGGCGGAGCGCGACGCTCTCCTCGGGGATCCCATCTGGGGCCGCAACACGCCCTTTCTCGAATCCCTCAAGACGGCCGCGCAGCCGACCACAACCGCCACTTCTGAGACTGCCCCCGACGGCAGCAGCACCACGACGCCGCGCAGCCACTACCTCAGCGACGCCGAGATTGACGAGGTTGCGGAGCACGCGCGCGCGCTGACCAAGCCCGTCGTCGGCGCCGTCAGCGCGCAGCTCGGCGATGCGCCTGGCGAGGCCGAGGCGGCGGCGCAGCACGAGCGCCGACACTCACGCGCCATCGAGGCGCTGCACCGCATCACCGCGCTCGCCAACGGCAGCAAGCGGGACGCGTATCACTTCAACGTGCGGCGCATTGTGGACGAGTTTGGCCGGCACAGCACCGACGGCGCGGTGGCGCCCAAGCCCAGGCCGGTCAACGCGACCGAGGTCGAGATGCCCGGGCGGGCCGGGGCGGACACGGGCTCGTCCGAGGTGCAGATTGCCATCCTCACGGCGCGCATCCGCAACCTCGCGGACGCGCTGTCGGTCAACCGCGGCTACAAGGACATCCACAACAAGCGCAGCCTCCGCCTGATGCTGCACAAGCGCCAGAAGCTCCTGCGCTACATGGAGCGGAAGGAGAAGGGAAGCGGCCGCTGGACTAACATGATTGAGAAGCTGGGCCTCACGCCGGCCATGTGGAAGGGCCAGATTGAGCTGCGATGAGGCGTCCACGATGTATAACGGGCGGAAGCATAGAAGGAGGGTGTAGAAGCCTCTGTAGCATAACTTTACTTCCTACATGTACAATATGAAGCCACAAGAGCGTCGGTGTAAGCCATTGTTTAACAAAAGAAAAACTACTACAAAGCCCTTGCTCTCTTCAAAACGTGCTCCGTCTAATTCAATTATGTCGACACATGAAAGCCTGGCGGTGGCGCTATACTACAATGATGCTGAAAACAAACAATTCCAACCCGCGTTTAGGAGAAGACGCTGATAAAGTTTCCGATGCGGTCCTTTTGATTTTGAGCTATGCACTCAGCAATCCAAGTAATGTTTCGGATTTCCTGTTTCATGTCAGCATGCAGTTATGTTTTAAAAGGCAGGTGGGAATGCGGGCTGACCTGTTCTCGTAGCTTGACCCATCCGTAGACAATGGCGTATGTGAATTGTCTTGTAAAGGCACTCTTGGAGATTTCCATTTCCTTTTGGTAAAACAGATCCTCAAGACTCTTGCCATCGGTGCTGCCGCCACCCATGTTCCCGGCGCCAGAACTTCCACCTACGGACACGGCATCGAAAAAGGTCTTGTAGTCGTGGACGCCGTCCACAGCCAAGCGCACACCCTCGGCGTCATCGGCGCGGGAGAGCATCAGGGTGCCCTCGGGGAACAACTTGCCAAAGTTGGGATACAGCTTCTTGCGGTCGGCCTTCGAGAGCTCGGTGCCAAACGAGTTGAGCGTGATGTTGATGGCTCGTCGGTCCGCCTCGAACTCGAGCATCTCGGACATGACCTCAGCCGTGGGTGTGCCTGCCATATCGGGGTGCGTGTTGACAAAGTTGTGAAAGTCCTCGAGGTAGTTCTTGTACAGAGTGTTGCGCACAATCTCAATGTTGAGCTCGTCGAGGTCCTGGTGGCTCAGACTGCCCTTGAAGTATTGGGCCAAGGGCGTCTCAATCAGGACGCTGTTGTAGAGCTCCTCGATGTTGGTTGCGACGCAGAGAACAGGCATCGTCTCGAACCAGCCGAGGGGGTGGCATCTGTCCAGCAGCTCGCGGGTGTCGCGCTCATGCAGCGTTCCGGTAATGAGGAGCGCAACGTTGTCAATCATGTAGCCGTACGTAACGTAGTCCATAAATGTGGCAAGCGAGCCAACGGCGTTGGCACGTACATATCGGAATTCAGAGATGAGCTTGTCGGTCGTCTTGGCGGCAAGGCTGGAGGTTGAGGGATTCGGAGGCAGGGAAGCCAGGAAGTCACCATAAGCTGGCCCCAGCTGGAGCTTGAGGTCTATTGATTATCAGTATTGGTCTGTCTCATTATCATACAGTAACGCCCACCATCGATCGTCTCGCATTGTGTCAGGTTATTGTAGGCCGGCGTGGTGAGTAGGCCATTGCGGTAGCCGCGGACAATGCCCTCGAGATAGCTGGAGCGAGTTAGCATGCTGCAGGCTCCAGCATTCAGTGATGACGTACCCGTTGTTGGCGTTAAAGAAAAGGCCCTCCATCTTGACCAACAGCTATTTCAGGGTATACTTTAGAAGAGGGTCGTCAACAAAATAGTGCTAGGTTGAATTGCAGACACCAAACAAGCTTGCGCAGAGCCGTCCTGTTGCATGCACTGACGACAGTTCGAGACCGGCCGGCCACTGACGCCTGGATCCACGTTAGTGATGGGCAACTACGAAGTCTCCTCCGGAGAAACTAAACTGCCGGATTCCGCGCTAACCCACTTCTGTCACCCAGTTTGACACCAAATTTTTTGGACTCGCGAGAGCCTTCCAAAAAAATTTCCAAACTATTTGCACCTGGACTCTTGCGCGCACATTAATCCCAATTGCGCATCGCAAGTGAGACCTACAACCACAGAGTTTTGCAGGAGTGTAGTAGGGATAATTCACCTTCACAATGTCTCTCTTTGTTCTTGCCGAGACGCCAGCAGGGTGAGACTTGCCCGTTTGCAAACGCTCCGTTCGGGTGCTCCTTCCCTCAGTCGACTAATATTTATTTTGCAGCTACGGCCTGTTCAAGTCTGCGGACAAGAAACTCTTCAAAAATGATGACCTCGCCGCTGAACTCGGTCGCCCCGAAAAGCTCGTGGAAATGTAGGAAACACCCTTTGTACTTTGTACACGGTTTTTCTTTTTGGTACTAATGGCATTCTGTAGGCTCAAGCTGAAAAAGTTTGTCAAGTTCGAAAGCGCCGCCATGGCGCTCGAAGAAGCCGCCTCTCTCAAGGAGGGCAAGATCCCGGAACTGCTGACTTCGATCCTCGAAGATCTCAAGTCTGAGAAGAAGGCATCCATCGCCGTCGCCGACATTAAGCTCGGCACCGCCATCTCCAACCTCCCCGACCTGAACATCACACCCGTTGCTGGCTCCAACACTATGGATGTTTTCCGTGGCATCCGTGAGCATCTCCCTTCGCTCATTCCCGGTCTCGCGCAGGAGAACATTGATCGCATGTCTCTCGGTCTCTCCCACTCGATGTCTCGCCACAAGCTCAAGTTCTCCGCCGACAAGATTGATTCTATGATCATCCAAGCCATCAAGCTCCTTGACGACATGGACAAGGAGCTCAACGTCTATGCCATGCGCACTAAAGAATGGTACGGCTGGCATTTCCCGGAGATGGCCAAGATTCTTGGTGATAACCTTGCCTATGCCCGTATCGTCCTGAAGGTCGGCATGCGTGGCAACATCTCCTCGGCTGATCTGTCCGATATTCTCCCCGAAGAGATGGAGGCTGCTATCAAGGCCGCTTCTGAGATTAGCATGGGTACAGAGATTACCGAGGAGGATCTGCACAACATTCAGCTTCTGGCTGACCAGGTTCTTGTTTACACCAATTACCGTGCAGAGCTCTCTTCCTACCTCGAGAGCCGCATGCGTGCTATCGCTCCCAACCTGACGGCCCTCCTTGGCTACCTCGTCGGTGCCCGCCTCATCGCCCACGCTGGCTCTCTCCTCAACCTTGCCAAGGCCCCTGGCTCCACCATTCAGATTCTCGGTGCCGAGAAGGCTCTGTTCCGCGCCCTCAAGACCAAGCACGATACGCCCAAATATGGTCTCATTTACCACTCTTCCTTGATTGGACAGGCCACCGGTCGCAACAAGGGTAAGATTGCCCGTATGCTTGCTGCCAAGACTGCCCTTGGCTTGCGTGTGGATGCCCTTGGCGACTACGACGAGGAGCAGGATGACGAGCAGCGTTCCGCGCTCGGCTTGGCCAACCGCATCAAGCTGGAGAACCGCCTTCGCAAGCTTGAGGGCCGCCCGTTATTGCCCAAGGGTACGAACGTCGCTCCATCTGGTGAGATCATGGCTCCTGGCCAGTTCACCCTGAAAGAGACGCGCCGTTACAACGTCGACGCTGACGGCGTTGAGGATGAGACGGAGGTTGTCACCAACGGCGAGTCCAAGAAGAGCAAGAAGGACAAGAAGGATAAGAAGGACAAGAAGAAGATTGAGGTTGTCGAGGAGGACGAGGAAGACGAGGAGTTGGGCGACGCCGATAGTGACGAGGACGTTTCCACACCCAAGGTTCCTAAGCTGTCAAGCTCCGAGTACGAGCGCTTGGCTGATCTGGCGGGCCTGTCGGTCAAGAAGTTCACGCGCAAGTATGAGCGTGGTGACATCCAGGTTGAGAACGGAAAGCCCCGCGTCTTCTCGAAGAAGGAAATGAAGAAGCTCCGCAAGGAGGCGACCTCCACACCCACCAAGGCGGCTGCGGACGAGGGCAAGAAGAAGAAGCGCAAGCACGACTCGGACGACGAAGACGAGGCGGAGTCAAAGAAGGAGAAGAAGCAAAAGAAGAAGAAGCGCTCCGAGGCTTAGAATGTTTCGGTCGAAATAGTGGGCAAGAGGCAGCACGAGCATCCGCGCAACCGACACCCACTCAACGAACCGAGCAAACGCTGCAAGCTTTGAGCTCGAGGCGCGCTCGGTGAGTTTGCTTCGTTCCATGTTGGCGCGTGTCACTTTTTCTCGAGGCGGGCATGGGGTTCTACTCTTTCTGCTTATTTTGCGGGGTTCTATAACTGGCTGGACACATTTGATTTGTTTCCCGTCCTTGCCAGTAACCGGTTGGCCGGCGTTTACGGTGACTTTTGCGATTTCTGTATAGTTTGTTTCTTTTTAATGGTGAAACACGTTTGGCATCTGGCGCGGTTTTCAAAAAGAGCTGGAGAATATGCATGCAGGTGTCTGATTGCACCAGAAATTAGTTGGTTGCACCTAGACCGCAGTGGTCCGAGTCTGTGGATGGGGATGGGGTCTCTAGAGGATAAGCGTATTGGGGGATGAAAATTGTATTCTGTAAAATGCATCACCGATGAATTTCATTTCTCAAGGGCAGGCGATTTGCGACACAGTGACAGGTCTTGTACTAACATTTTAAAACTGGCGAAAGTCGAGATTCTTTGGGTTCAGATTCAGCATTCATTGTATTGTTCAGACTAAATACAAGAGTTGAAGAGATAATTGCATTAGGGAATCGTGGCGGCCGTCCTCCTCGTCCTCCTCATTGGGTATCAAAGATTGGTATCCATAAGCGTACATTTTTTGGGTGTTTCTTTTTTCGTTCCGTTCTCAGACATTACTCAATTACGTTGCCATTTCGTAAACTCGAAAGCATATCAAGACAAACGGCGTTTAGATGCTCTCAATGACGCGAGCCTGGATGGCCTGGTTGAGGCTGTCGTCCTGGCCGTCCTGGCGGGTCGCGTTGACGGCGTCGCCCAGCGTGGCGGCGGTGCTGCTGCTGGCGCCGGGCATGAAGATGACCTTTGAGTTTGCGCTCTTGGCCATGGCCTGCATGGCCTCGAGGTAGCGGATCTGCATGGCCGGCGCGCTGGAGAGGATGTCCGCGGCCTGGCGCATGAGCTTGGCGGACTCGACCTCGGCCTTGGCGGCGATAATCTTGGACTCGCCGATGCGCTTGCTCTGGGCGGCCATGGAGAGGCTCTCCTGCAGCTCCTGGGAGAAGATGATGTCCTTGACGAGCATACTCTCGACCTGGACGCCCCACCCGGCGGCGACGTCCTCGATGATCTCGCCGATGGACTGGGCAATCTCCTCGCGGCGCTCGATGACGTCCTGGAGGACGCGGGCGCCGACGACGTGGCGGAGGGTGGTCTGGGTGCGCTCCATGAGGGCCTGGCGGACGTTGGAGATGCCGAAGGCGGCCTTGTGCGGGGAGACGATGTGGTAGTAGATGACAGACTTGAGGCGCAGGGTGACGTTGTCCTTGGTCATGCAGATCTGCTCGGGGACGTCGGCGGTCTGGATCTTGACGTCGACCTGGAGGAGGTGCTCGGAGAGCGGGTTGATCTTGACGAGGCCCGGGTCGACGGCCTTGTAGAAGCGGCCGAACTTGGTGACGAGGCCGACGTTGCCCTGCTGGACCGACTTGTAGGGGTTGGGGCAGCAGATGCAGCAGGGGACGGCGCCGATGGTGCCGATGATGGCGCCGAGGCCGTTAACTGGAGAGAGATCGTGTTAGCCGGTATGTTTTTGTTTTTTAGTTTGCAAGGAAGGGGGAGAGCCTACTCATGCTTCCGTACCAACCCTTTGGGTTGGCCTCGGAGCCAACGACCTTGGCGTAGCTCTGCTGCAGGTCGTCCTCTCGCGGAGGCGCGACCGCCATGCGCTGCTGAGAGACGAAGCCGCCAGCACCGCCGGCGCCGCCAGAGGGCGTGTGGTGGCCGGGCTCCGAGTCGGCAAACTTGGTGGAGGCGGCACCCTCGCCGTTGTTGAGAATGTGGTCGGCCGAAGACATCGTTGCGGTGGTTGTGTTGTTGTTGTTGTCGTATGGGGAGCCGGCTTGTTTGTTTGCGCAAACGTTGTATGCAAGGATGGAGAAATCGCTGGTGTCGAACGATCAGCGCACTGGCAGGGCAAAAAAAGAAGGGGGTATCTTGGTGTTTTGCGTTGGAAACAAGAGAAGCATGGAAGGGTGTGGAGAGAGAAGAGGTGATGGATGGTCCTTATTTAAATGGGCTGATGCAAGGGTTGTCTGGTTCGTTTGCATCGCATCGGCATGACGTCTGGGACAACAAGACAAGGCGGACAAGGTAAAGAAAGGGCCGGGCTAAGGCTGTTTCGGGCCACCTTACAGGGGCGGTTTAGCGAAGCCCACTCAAGCTGGGCGCTGGGCGGAACGGAAACCCCAGTGGAATCAGTGGGGAAACCTAGCAAGTTGCTTCAGCGATGCCTGCTAACTGCCACCTATACGGCTCTTACGAGGCTGAGCTGAGTAACATCAACAAGGTCATCCTCGAGCACTGCCACGGGCGACCTTATTTAATTACACTTGCTGTGGACGGCACTAAACAGGGCGGTGAGCTTTTCTGTGTTTTCCTTTTCCCTTCTTGCAAGAGTTTCCGGCGTCGGCGCAATCCACGCCACCGAATCGGGCGTCCGTAGCTGCGGCACTGGTGCGGCTTGCCAGCCGTGCCGCTTCACCCGGGCACCAACCAGTACGTAAACCACTTTACTAGCTTAGCATCTCGACGAAGAGGGGGGCCGAAGCTTTGACTTATTTTTCGTACGCAGAATTGAAATGGGTTGCCTAGCTGATTTGGCAATACTTGGCAATAACGCCACTGGTGTGAGACCCCATCCTCCCTCAAGGCTGCACTGCAAAATGTGACGTGACAGTTCTAACGCTACAGCAGGTGCAAGCAGAGGCAGGGCAAGGGGGCAACAAAGAGACAGAACTATACACTTTGAGCCTTTGAGAAAAGAAGGAGAGAAGGAAGAAAGGGAACACAAATACGTAGGGCGTTTGAAAGCTTAACATCCACCTGTGCCACGCCAGCTTCCTCCCCTCCCGGATGCTGGTTCCGCTAAAGGTGATCACTTGCCCCCAGCCAAGCCCCAAGTGGCTTGGTTTCTTCAGAAATGGCCTCTCTTTTTATTGTAGGTAGGTACATAGGTCGGCAGGCGGCATCGTACGTGCAACAAGTCGCCGCCTCCATTCGGGTCCCTGGCACTGCCACTAACTACCTTCAAACCCCCAAAAAGATGTGAGCAGTCATTGATCATTGATTCCAAAGGAGCACAAGTCCCCGCAGGATTTCGACAGCAGGTAGTATCCACCGTCACCGCATAACCCCCACTACACCCGCAGCCCGGCGATAATGAACACCCTTATGTGGGCCGACTTATTCCCAGCTTTCAACCACCACTTACAGTACGTTCATCTCCTCTGAACAAAGAGCGCCGACACCGTCTACCCGCGATTAATAAAAAAACATCCCAAAGAGTGACATCCATGACATCGAGGAGATAAACAAACGACACGTTCAAACACCCACAGCTGCCTGCCTGTCTGGCCAGTCCTACAGCTACAACACGGCTTCCAGGGTAAGCTCCCAACCTACACTTCACCATCTCGGCCATCGCCATCGTCATACCAGGCTCCGCGAGGCTGTGCCCATCATTTCCCTACCTATTAGTCTCCCCTCGCCATCCATACCTTACATCGCCTTCTCGCCCGATTGAAACATGTAGCTCACCCATGTGACTCCGGCCCTTGCCTAAACCGCGCAGCCACCGCATCATAACATCAATTCACCCAACCAACCACAAGCTTCAAAGCGTCGTTGGCCTATGCATAGAGTTGTATCCATTCCTTCTAGAAACAATATCACATAACCCAATGTGCCACGAGGTAATGCACCACCCATAACCCTAAACGCCCCAAAACGATTGCAGATGCTATCCGGGGCCTCTTCTACCTCAGCTCCGGCTCCCGTAAGAAATCAGCCGCCGAGAATCCGCCGTCGCCCGCCTGCAGCGTCGACTCTGCCAGTATCCTCGCCATTTCGCTTAGCCTGTCGCTACTCGTACCGCCTAGCATAACCCCGCCATCGTCATCATCCTCGCTGTTGCGGCCCTTCACCCGCGCACTACCCGCCGCCACCTCGTCCCCAGCCTCGTCCTGCCGGCGCCGCCGCTGCCGGCGCCCGCTCGCCTGCTGGTGGCCCGAGTCCGGGTCGAATGCGTAAATCTTGATGCCCCGCAGGTGCGTGTCCTTGCCGTTCTGGTGGTTCTCCAGGATTTGCATCTGCAGCACGTACGAGACCAGCGTGTTGCCGTCCGGCTCGCCGCCAGCTCCCTCTATCGGCACGTCCTGCCAGCCGTAAGGGCTGTCCATCGTCATTGTCGCAAATTCGATCATGTTGTTCTCGCTCGTCCCCGACTTGAATACAATCTTGGTCGGTGTGTACGACTCGTCCTCCTGATAGTCGACAAAGAACCGAATCACCCGGATCCCTACCCGCTTGATAAAGTACACCGTCAGCTTGTGAGGCTGCGGGCCGTCGGATCTAAACAGTATCAGCTAGGCGTTCTCGTAGATGAAACCCATGCCACGTATAGTACGTACTGCCAGTAAAGCTTCAAATCATCACTTCGTAGCTCCGCCACACCGTTGCCGGGTTTGTGGCTGCTGACCGTAAACTTGCCAAGATTGGAGATCTCCTTGAGTCCAATGGAAGCTGGGTCGACAAGTATTTCCTGCTCCTCCTGCTCCTCCTGCTCCTCCTCGTCCTCATCATCCTCGACCTGCTCCCCGATGCTCGTCTCCTCGGCCTCGTACTGCCCCTGTGACATAACCTCTTCTTCGTACGCCATGGCCTCGGCTTGCTGCTGCAGAAGCATCTGCTCCTCGCGCGTGTTGACCGCGCTCGTCATCGCGGCCTGCGCGCTGCGGCCACCGCCTCTAGCCATGGCCAGCACGCTGAGATCCGGATCCGAGCCCGACCCGTCGTCATCGTCGGATCCCATAGGCATGCTGAGTCGCGGTGTCGTCGTACCTCGCGTTGCTGCATCGTTGTAGTCATCGACATACTGGTCAGCCTCACTTTCAATCTCTGTACTCGCTTCCGTGTCCATCTCGTCATACTCGTCCAGGCCCTGCTCGTCGTTGTTGGACGGCTGCGGCGCGCTGCGCTGCCACCGCCGCCTCCGGACGCTGCTGCCGAACCGCAAGCGCCGCCAATCCGCTGATCGCTCCGTCACCCGCGCTGAGAGCTGTCGCCACTCCGCCGACCGCTCCGTGACGCGCACCGACAGCTGCCGCATGCGGCTGAACACGCTGCTGGCCTCGCGCTCCAGCCGGTCCACAAAGGCGTCGTGGTTTTCTTCCTGGGGGACGGGCCATTCGCTCTGCACGGGCGAACTGTAACGTCGTAGGAGCGCACCGCCACGCGTGATGGGAATCTCCCCGAGATACTGTCGCGGCATAGGGGAGCAACGGCTGCGCTTGCAGCGAATGGACTGTAAAAGAAAAAGAAATTGGGAGATAATTGGATGCGGGAAGAAGAAACTCGGAAGAGCAAGGTTTTTTTGCTGCTCTCGTTTGTACTTGAAGCCGAACAGCTCTGCAATAACAACAGTCCGTCGGGTTCAATCGACAAAGGAGGCAGGTGCAACCCCCAAATGTCACCACTTGCTGGCCGCTACCACCCGAAATTGAGAGATGAGTAGGCAGATCATAGATTTTATCTTGCCTTAATTTCAAAACTCAGGTTGATATGCATTTGCTCATACAAAATCAAGCTATTCGCAGGCAATGGCCCGCTTACCCAAGACCACAAATCAAGTGCCACACCACAACTTACAGCGATGTAATCGGAAAGGATTTACTCGAGGCGCCACGGTAGGCATCTGCTGCTCCTCGTCGCTCTCTGGTTGCCGCTGTTCTGGCGTCCGATGCATGTCTCTCGCCTGCGCCGTCGCGGGGCGCATATAGCTTTCACGTAGGGTGTCATCTTGCGCTGGAGAGGTATGCTGCTGGGCTTGGACTTGGGCTTGAGCCTGGGCCGCTTGGTTTGCTGCCGTGTTCGCAGCGACGTGTCGGGCTCGGCGGGAGCCTCGTTGAATGTCCATGCCGGGCTCTGCTATTGCCGCTGTTCCTCCACGGAGGGGAGGTGGGGGGACGCTTGAGCCGCGTTGAGCTTTCGCGAACCCTGAGCTTCTTGTCGCGAAATCACGTGACGAATTACGTCAATGTACATCGCTACCCAAAGGTAGCGGTTTTTCGGAGAGAGACAAATGATATGCAGAGTGGCTAGGATAAGCCCTTTTATTAACAGCGATTGACTTATCCTGCATGGCTTTTGTAAATTTACGGGTGCATACTTACCAGGGATTTGTTACTGTCGTGGTGTCACTAAGCCTGACGAGGTGGACAAGCCCCTCCGTTAAGTACGGTTACTCCGCCCAGAGAAGTTTGAGGACGAGCTGGCAGGCGGCCACGGGTAACTACCTACCTTTATTAGGGCGGATAGGAACTCTCAAGATTTTTTACAAAGGCAGGCCGGTGTGCCGGCTCTCTGTAGCACGCCGATACACAACTGGCTAACAACTAGTGATTTGAGCCAGCACGCGATTCGGGCAAGGTCTGCCGACAAGGGGGCGAGAGTCGCGGATCTTGGAGCTGAAGCTGACACTGGAAGTCTCTCTCATGCGGCGGGGGAGGAGGGGAGCTGAAGCCCTGTGTCAAGCGGGCATGATTTCTCTGATGGACGATACCGGCACTAGGGCTTCTGTTTGAGGCTTTGGTGCTGGTAGTATTTTATTTTAAGTGAGTGGTGGCTCCCAGGGCTGGATAGACGCTTGATGATTTCCCTACCCTTGCTACCTACCTAGTGGTAGTCGTGGATGATGGGATGATGGCTCGTTGGGGGATTAAGCTTCTTCCTTCCGGTCTGAACCTGATAAGCTGATAAGCGAAGGCGGTGCGGTGCATGCGGATGCAGCGGATTGTCCGTGCTTTGAGGTTTCAGGTTGGCTTGCATGACACAGGCGCAGAGCTAGAGAAAAAAAAAAGGGGGAATTTTGGGGCGAGATGTTTGTGGTAGACTGGCTAGGATGCTGATCTTTGAATGGTAAGGCAAAGAATCTGGGGAGAGAGTTTTCGGGAAGTGGTGTCGGGACGTGAACCGAATCGAGTTGTGGGCGGAGCAAAACTGAAAGAAACGTGGCCTCGAGGCCGCGAATGCGTGGCTTTGCGAGTGGTGGGTGGCTCGGCTCGATCAACTCGTCATTGCCAATTCCCCTGAGATTGCCTCTATACTTGTTGCAAGCAAGTAGTTGGGTCTGTAATCTAACCGCGGTCATTGACAAGTTGACAGCTGGGGGTTGGTACTGAAGATTGGCAAGGCCAAGCCCGGCACGCACGTTGGCCAACGAGTGGCTGTGATACGCTGGGCAATTATTGTAGGCGCCGACCCAGAATACACTTATTTTGACGCAACAAATAGGCTTGGTGAACTAAAATATTCGTATTGTTGTACCACTCTCCGCACGGGAGGAAAACAGCACTAGGCGAGGGGACAAATGGCGCCTGTGCCGATCACCAGCTATGTAGGTTGAACTACAATGTAGATGCTGCTTGATATCCCGTAGATGCTCCTTGCATGTGCTTGGCCCTGCTGCAGCATGTACACTTCAGCTTGTTCAATATCTGTGTCAAATATATGATTGGGTGTTTGGGAGGTGTCCCGTCTGCGGGTGAGGCGCCACTGATGGTTGGCTTAAAAAAAGCCTCCTCGTACTTCGCACCTCGTAATGCCTGCCAGCAGGACTTGTCGGGATTCGTGATGGTATTGTTTGCCGGGGAGGTAGGTAACCGCCCCTCTTCGCGATCCCGCCAGTTATTTGTGAACGAAAAGAAAAGAAGAAAAAAGAGGGAAAAAAAGCTAATCTGATTTGCCTTACCGCGCTCGATTTCTCCATGCTTCCTGCCAAAACCCGAGTTAAAACAACCCAAGCAGCAGGACACGGACGGGCTGAGAAGACGACCAAAGCCACGTCCCAGGTCACGCCAAAAATAGTGCTGGGGCATAGCAGGGGATGAGAGACAACGCATCCAAGCCATCTTCAATCCTCTCACACTCACTGGCACAGGGACTCACTGGATCCACTGTCGGCAGCCCAATAAGGCAGGCAAAAGTCCACTGTAAAAGTTGTCCCTGGGTCATACAGCCGCTAAAGTTCCAGCCCGGGCCCGGTCTTTAGCGCTCATGGCGCTCCTCCGCCTCAGGCCCTTCCTCAGTGCCAGTCACTGTTACTGTGCTTTCCCGCTTTCCTTCCAGCTTTGGCTTTGCTGGCTGTGCTCCACCCAGCCAGCTATTGCTCCTGATAAAGCTCACACCATAATTTAGTACAATTTAGTAGGGAGAAAGTGAGCGAAAAAGAACCCTGACTCTAGAGGCAAAATAATGAAATAATGAAATAATAATTCAGATAAAAAAAGACCCCCAGAAAGTCAAGGGACCACAGAAAGGCCGCTACTCATTTACCTTTCCTCACTAACGTTAGTACGGAGTCGTGGCCCGCGTCCAAGCCCGGCACTACCTACATATGTACATAATGGCCTCCCGGCCCGTCGACGCACACTCAGTCTGATTTCCTCGTTTTTGCTGTTTGCTGGAAGCGCTCGCGTGCCACGAGATCAGATGTTGGCCTCGCACTGTTCTTGATCCAACCTCCCTCTCCCGCCTCTTCACGTCTTCGCCTCTTCGCCTCTTCGCCTCTTCGCCTCGCCTCCCGCCTTCTCGCACCAGCCACCATCACGTACCCGCCAAAAAGAAGGGATTTAATCGATTAAACTACCGGCTCCCTCTTTGGTATCTGGCCCTGTCGCTCTTTCGGACCCTGCCATTCACGGGCAACCTTCAAGCTCTTTCGCCTGCTTTTTTCAGCCAGCCAGCGCGTGTGTGTCATGCTAGCAAACGACAAAATGCTGTCCCGGCGCAACCTCATTATTGTCGCCGCCCTTACCGTCTTTGCGTTCACTCTGCTGCTCACCTCGCAACGCCTCAATGCACCGTTTGGTGGCCCCGACTATTCGGATGTAAGAAATACCCAACCCCAACCTCAGCCCGGTACCGGCACCACCGGCGGCAAGCAGCCCTCGCATACGACGCCGCATGTGTCGACGCACGCAGGCGCCACCATGACGGTCAGCGTGCCGCACGGCGACACCAAGGAGACGCTGCACTCGGTTCCGCCCGCATCCGCCTCCGCTGTCAAGGCCGGCTGCGAGGACTTCCCCGACATGTCCAACATCTTCGTCGTCCTCAAGACGGGCGCCTCCGAGTCGTACAACCGCATCCCCACCCAGCTCATGACCAATCTCAAGTGCGTGCCCAACTACGAGATCTGGAGCGACATGGAGCAGAGCATTGCCGGCCAGCACATCTTTGATGCCCTCACCGACGTCCTGCCCGCCGTCAAGGCCCACGACGACTTTGACATCTACCATCACCAGGCCAAGTGCCCCATCGACCAGGAGCACTGCAACAAGGGCTACGACACGGCCAACAAGGGCTGGTCGCTCGACAAGTACAAGAACATTCACATTGCCGAGAGCAACTGGGCAAACCACTCCCGCTTCGACTGGTACTTCTACATTGACGCCGACACGTACGTCTCGTGGCCGACACTGGTTGAGTGGTTCAAGCGCCTCGACCCAACAAAGCCCGTCTACTTTGGTAGCGTTGCTCTGCTCGCAGGCTTCCCTTTTGGCCACGGCGGTAGCGGCTATGCCGTCTCCAACGCGGGAATGAAGAAGATGTTTGACGGCAAGGACAAGGTTGCCAACAAGTACGACGAAAAGGCCACCACGACTTGCTGCGGCGACTACCTGTTTGCCTATGCCATCAAGGAAGAGGCTCAGCTGGACGTCCAGAACATGGTACGTAGCTATCACCTCATGTCAACACTGACACCCAATTGATAACTGACCGCTGCTAGTTTCCCACCATCAACGGCGAAAAGCCGTACTCGATGCCCTTTTACGACGGCCACTGGTGCCAGCCCATCATCACCATGCACCACGCCGCCAGCGAGGAGATTGACGAGCTCGACAAGTTCGAGCGCAACCGGCGCTTCAAGTCGCCCGTCCTCATCAAGGACGTCTTCCGCGACATCATCCAGCCCAAGCTGCGCGACTCGCACGACAACTGGGACAACCTCAGCGACGACGTCTACTACTTCGACCCGACCAGCCGGCAGTTCGATGAGACCGAGGTGCGCCTGCGCAAACCCGACTCGGAGCTCAACGCCGCCGAGCAGCGCGCACACCTCGGCTTTGACGAGTGCCGCGCCGCGTGCGAGAGCCTGTCGGCGTGCATGCAGTTCCGCTTCGGCAACAACGGCATCTGCGCGACGTCGACGGCGGTGCGGTTCGGCAAGCCCGCGCCGGAGGGCAGCGCCGGCAGCGACGCGGGGCGCAAGTCGGGCTGGATGGTGCAGCGCGTCAAGGAGTGGGCGAAGAAGCACGACGATTGCGGCGCGCCCAAGTTTCCCAAGCTCAAGGATGAGAGTGAGATTTGAAGGGGCCCTGGGACTTTCGGGATCGCCCAATGGGGCAACAAAATATCGCATAAATGCCGAGCCCGCATTCCGAGACAATTGGGCGGGTACGAGCGAACGAAGACGCAGCGGCTCTCGCCTGGTGTAGAGGGTGCAAAGGACAACGGCGGAGGACACTTTCAAAAACCGAGGGCCTTGGCAAGATAGAAAGAATGTGCCTCGGTCATGAGCATGAGAAACAGGAGTTGGAGGCAATAATTTTGAGATTTTTTATACTGCTATTTGTGGCACAGCAGGCCTGCGATACCTGTCTTCAATTCCTGTATTTTTTTTTCTATTTTTTTTCAATGGCTCTTCTCCTTGGATAACTGGTAGTCGGGGCTAGGGAGTTTTTCGAACATGACGTTTCTCCATGGGTATCTAGAGATGACGAGGAGCTTAGCGCGGGAGGCTTCTTGATTAATTTACGCATATTACTACTAGCTCTTCAGATCTGCGTGTTAAGCGCTTGACCTGCATGCATCTGGGAGGAAATTGCAAGAGGGTGGGAGGGGGTTGTGATGTTAGCCGTGGCCGTACTGGTAAAATAGCCAAGCAAAGCTGGTGGACTTTCTTGATATTTTTGGTCCTCCACATTGGGGCCAAAAAAGGGGGTTTGTTTGCATGTTGCTGCCGAGAGACAGGGGGCGGATAGGCGATTTCGTGTTAGCCTTGTACGTGGGCTGGGCAACCTCGGGCGAAACATGAACGATCGTCGTGTTGTCGATGTATGCCTGAGGAAGAAGCAGTGCGCCTTGTGGCTGGGACTGGGAAGGTTGCAGCCGTCAGAGATGCTTGAAGCCGTCATCGAGGTGGTTGCTGTTGAGGATGGACGGGCTTCCTAGAGTTGGCCTGTGCTGACTGAGATTGATTGCCGGCGCGAGAGAGCCGACCGTCGTGGCGCATGAATTGAGCAGGAGGGCGTGTGCATCATGACGCCGATTATTCGCGCCTCCGGGTTTGTAGTGTGGACGGCGGAGAGGGAAGGGGGTTTGTTGATGACTGCGCGCATCATCATCGAGATGTCTGCGAGCACCGCCGTTGTCCATGGATACATACATGTGCACACGACATGATAGTTAACTTTAGAACTCATCAGGGCAAGTAAGATTGCAATACGAGTGGACTACTGAATGGATGTAGCGTTGTAGGGCCGATTAAATTAATAGAACCCTGGGGAAGGGGCGGGCTTGGCTGCTAGCAAGGGATAGGTGGTGGTTGATTGAGGTTGCATAAATCAATGGCGAATCTGTCCTTGGTGTTGTTGTGTTAAAGAGATGAAAGGAGGGAAAAAGTACGGGATGCAAATTACAATTCGATGATGTATTCATGCAACGAGGTAGTGAGTTAGGAACGTAGCCGCAGTGAAGCTACGTCTGCAATCTATCAATGTGGGTGGACTGGTATCCCATCGACGGCTCTGTCCGCGTTTGAGGCGCTGGAATTCCGCAGCGAAATGGATAGATGGGTAGTACGGATGACGGATGACGGAGAAACGGACTCGACCTAGCCCAAACAATGCATTACAGGTATGCATTGGTTGCCCCTTGAGTAAGACACTGCAATTCGGCCAGTGACGTTATAGCGCGTGCGGCTGGCACGCAGCATGTTCAGACGGGAGACAGGTCGGGGCCTTGCAGGTACGGGATTTCTGATGCTGAGCAGGGCAACGCATTTTAGCTGGAGGATGGGACGCCCGAATGGGCCGTGTGATGTGCCTGGTGAGGGAGGAGAGGGGTCCATGTCGGGTCAGCGATGATGGGATGACTGTGCCGAAAGCTGAAGGAGGCCGCGTTTCAGCGGCTGCCATGCATGCCTGGTTGATCTATTGGTAAAGACCGATTTATGCGCTGTGGTTGAGATGACTGGGCGCGCATCATGACTGGGTGTCTGGTGGTTGATTAGGTCGTGATGGTTATTAGTACAGTTACCAGATACAAGTAACTATAGTACTAAACTTACCTCCCCCCTTGTGGGGGCGGTCGGGCGTCCCTTATTTACAGCAGAGGTACCTCTTTAATGGCAGCGGCTCTGCATGCACTTGACCAAGTGCACATCTGCTGACGGATGTAGCCCGGCGTCGAGCGCGTTCAACGTGATCAAGATAGCAGCACGATAGTAGCAACGAAAATGTGACCAAGGACGGGCACGGCTGATGCGCTGGTAAGCCACGAAATGCAGGGTCTGGTGATGGCCATTAATAGACTTGATCAAATACCCCCCTCTGACACTACTAACGAGCTATTGTCATTGGTACACATGTCAAAAACTAGATATTCTCTCCGTGCCTGGTTGCTCGACCAGCACCCCTTTTGCCCTTGTATTACTGCACCCCCTCCCTCCTTGCCCTGACCACCTCGCAACGAAATTTGAATTAATCTCCTCCCATATTAAGATTGAACAGCCCCCCCGCCCTTTCAAGTCTTTGACTGGCCGGGTTCACTTTTTCGAGGGTTCATCTCCTAATCTGCCATCTCCCGCCGCTATTTTGCTGCTCCTCCCGTTCTCGACTCTCCCTCCCATCTCTCCCTCTTATCTCGTCTCTTCTTCCTCTTCCACACCTCTCTCAACATCGCTTCTTCTTCGCCAACTTGAAGATAATTACAACAATCACAACCTATCAACTCGAGACTGCCGCAAACCACATCGACAATTCGTCTTGCACCCCTTTTTCAAATTTGATACCCACATCTACCACCGCTGCCTCCACGCCTGCGACGTCATAGCCTCACCCCTTCCGGGAACCAACTCGACAAGAAGACACAGCCGACCCGAAAATATCACATCCTTCAATCCAAAATAACGAACCGTTCTCGAATACACCAAACCATAGTCATGGACGCTACCACTACCGAACGTACCTTTACCGACGAGGAGCTTGACCGCGAATGGAAGCCCACCTCCCGTCGACCTCTGTCGTAAGTACCTACAACCCGTTTGCTCTTACTTCCGACAGCATCGCATCCCCTGGTCTCTCCTGCCCAACCCTCTTGCCTTGGAACATCTCACCTGGGTTGCATTGCATGATTAGATACGCTTGCATCTCACCTTACCTTGCCTGCATCGCCGTGCCGTGCATTGCCTCGCCGCCGTGGCTGGCTCACTGCCTCTACAAACACCAACGTCGTTTACTACAACCACCCGCTCTTGTTCCAAGTAGAGAGGAATCTCGGGCCTTGCATTCCTCCCGCCACACCACACATCGGACGAGTGTACCTGATACTTGGACTATCCCCAGCCTCAACACCCATTTCCTCGTACTCCCTACCGCCCGCCCGCTGACTTGCCCCGAAACATGATCCTTATTCTGCCATCCACACCATGTGGAGAAGGACTGGTTGCTGCTCTCCCATCCTGTTTCTTATATCTGCTTCCTTCCAGCTGTCCTTCCTTTCCTTCTCTCCTCTCCATCAATCCGTCAAACCGTTCAGAACTCAGTGCATCTATCATCCAAACGACCCCAATATCATATCCAGCGCATTCGCACAGCCGCACAAGATGACCACCATGGATCACCAGGAGATGCAGTCCGAGAAACTGCACCGACGGCTAACCCTCAACTACGACGACAGGACTGTTGCTCGCTCCTTTTCCGACGAGCTCATGGACATTTTTCGGATTGACAACTCTGTCGCCGACCTCGACCAGAAAGTCGACACTAGGTGTGTACACTTCCCCCGTCATAGCGTCACCACATCACCAACAGCAACAACATATCATCGACGCCGGCCCAAACTCAAAATCTCACTCTAAAATCAACGCTAACCACTCGACAGACGAGCCAAGGTGAACCGCAACACTATGGAGCTTGCCTCCCTCGAAGCCCGTCTCCGTGAGATGGAGGAGCGTCTTAAGCAGAGCCAGCGCGTCCGTCCCGATCTCGCCGTCAACACGTCCGACGTGTCCAAGCAGCCTCCCAGCCATCCCCCGCCCCCGCCCCCGACCAAGGACGACAAGGCTCGCTCCCGTCCTGGCACTGCCCGTACTCCCCAGCACGCCCCCAGCGCTGGCAACATGCCCCCTACGCCCGGCGGTAGCGAAGGTGAATACTACAATGCGTCCACTGGAAGTGAAAGCCAAAAAGAACAGATTCGCTAATTACATGCCTGTTCCGGCCTCCGCAGACGGCGATCACCAGTAAATGATATATTCAGCACCCTGCAAACCAACAGCTCATCCAAGACCGAAGGCTACCCCCTGGCTGCCCATGACTCCTATCCTTTCACAAACGATGCATGGATGATATCAACGCGGTGTTTTTGCCCATTTTCATCTCATTGGACTATCTATCCCATATCGAAACGGGTAGCTGGCAGTTCAACGCCCTCTCGCAAATTGCATTTATGCGGCCATCACCATTCACTTCTCTTTTAAGTGGCTGTGTAACCTATTCATTTATTTAATACTAGCCGTCGACTTCTTCTTCTCCGTCAGTCGCCTGCCTTCCCTCTTTTTTGCTAGTTCCAAGCCTCGCGAGCTATGGCCAGCCAGAAGCACAGCAATGTATATTCGATACCAATACCACATACAACCACGGCCGCGAAATCAAACCTTTTCAACATGATGACAAGAGACAGACTTGACTGGATTCTTTCATTTTCTATATCAAGGCCAGCTGCAAACAAGTTCTTTTTAGAAATCACCACACCAATTCGGTGAGGCCGTTGACATCGAAGAGGTCTCCAATCACTGTTGTACCAATAAACACTTCTATTGTTTTTTTTTGCTTTGAGAAACCTTGTGGGATACGGTTCAGAGAGCTGCAAACGGGAACGTGCAATGTTGCTTGCAGATGGGGACAATGTGGTGGACGTCAGGGAGAGGGCTGGTCGTGTTTTATTTTTGGCGCATCATTGCATAGTATGATTTCTCTCCAGGATACCAATTATTGACATTGCTTGCTCTGCTCTACATGTGACTGTACTTTCTTCAAATGTATGTTGCATTCACTGCCAATGACCGTTGTTTTGACGCTCATGAAACACTAGCAAGCCAAGTTTAGTTTACTCAATAATGGTCGTATATTCTCCTGATTCTCATCTGCTCCCTGAATCTGCTGTCTCTAGGTACAAAGCAAACATAACGAATGAAATAAAATAGTCGAAGCAAGTAGTAAAATAAATAACAAACACATAACATAGTTTTACATCTCGTCGGTAAGCACCTTGTTCGCAAACCCGACCCGCCTCTTGTCCAGGTCAAACGCGACAAAAAGCGCCTTGAGCATGACGTCGCCGAGCACCACCATCTCCAAGCCCTCAGCGCTCTGCATGCCGCCCCAGCAGTACTCGCCCTTAGCGTCCGAGGGGCCGTAGTTGAGGTAGCGGCCCGGGATGGTGAGGACGTGCTCGGTACCCGGCAGCTTGAAGAGGAGGTCAGGCAGCTTCTTGGCATTGGCGCAGGGAAAGGTGTAGGCACCGGCGAGCTCGGTCGACTGGCGCATGCCGGGGACGCTGTACCAGTAGCGGCTGGCGAGGGGACTGGGGAGGAACATGAGCGTGGTGCCCGTGTCGATGGTGCCATTGAAGCGGAATTGCCACCAGGTCTGGTCAGGAACGACCCACGACGTTAGGTCAAACTCGACGTCCCAATGGGGACTCGCGCCGGTGCTGTTTAGCCAGGTCAAGTTGTCGGCAGCTTTGGCCATGTCAATGCGGCCGAATTCGAACCGGCCGGTGGCGTTGCGCTTGAGGTCGACGGTGAAGACGGGCGAGTCGAGCAGCGGTGTGAGCATGTCCACAAAGGTCGGTACGGGAGGGTCAATGTTGTTGCGTAGCCTCTTGGCCAGCCCCATGATGCCGCTCATTTCAATGTCTTTCTCGAAGCGCGAGGCAATGGTCTGAGCGGACTGCACCGTAGCGTTGACTACCTCGATGTTGCCGAATCGAATTGTGTCGTGATATACTAGGCCGAACGCAGCAGTACCATCCACTGAGGGGATTAGCATAGATACAATGAGAGGAGTTTGCTTGCTGCTTACGGTAGCGAACATCCCAGCGAGAATTGTTGAGCAGGGATGAGGTATGGGAGTCCTTCGGGTGATATTGAGGTGCCCACGGTCCGTTTTTGTTGACGCGATATTTGGTATCCGTCGATTGCACCCACCTGTCTGTGTTAGGGTGTGATCATGCAGACTGGTTGACAAAAACTTACACATCAGCGGAGCCGGTATCCAACGCCATCTTGACAGTCTGTGGTGGGTTACCAATCTGGATGTCGGCCAGGTACAGATCATCGTTGCCCATAGGGTGGACGTCAACGAGGCCATCTATAGGTGATCAGATCAAGCTTCCTTGTGTATGGTACTCGCAGCTTACTATCCTCTGCGAGGGAAAACCCTGATGGACCGGACTTCTGAGCGCTGCCGCCCCATTTCAGCCTTGCAGCGGCCCAGTCGCGCTGGAAGTCTCTCTTGTCCGTCTGGCTGCGTGCAACATCGAAGGAAAAGGAAGAGGGAGGGGGACTCTGCGTATCGCGGACGGGGAGCGCCGAAGACGAGGCAATCGAAGCCGCAAACGACAGAAGCGACAGGCCCTGCCAGAGCATGGTGATCTCCAAGTGAGGCTTAAGGCAGGTAAGCCTTGGGAGGGAAGAGTTTGCGTTTGCCAAGAGTGTTCTTTTATGTTTGGAAGAAATTGAACTTGTGCTTTGAAGAAAGAAAGGGATAAAAGGAAAGAGGAAAGGAAGCGAAAGACTAGATAAATGATGGAATCGTCTGAATGAAACGAGTGACGAGATTGATAGCGAGCGACAGAGGTGACAGACGGGGTTCCCAATGGCAAAGTGAGAAATGAGGGAAGAAATGGTGTTGCAGAGAGAGAGAGAGAGAGAGAGAGAGAGAGAGAGAGGATGGGAAAGGGGATCAACAAAAGTGAACCGTTTGTACTATGTAGATTTCGTTCAAACATAAACAGTTCAAACACGCTATTGAAGGAAGACCTCTGGCAAGCGGGTAGGTACAAACGGATGTGACCTTGGCAGCTGCCGGCCGTCTGCCAGCTGCAAAGCGTTGTCAACCCAATATCATCCCCATTAATAGCGGTCAATCAATACGAGGCACATCCATCAGGAACAATGCAGCTCGCCGCCCTATCACCCCTCCGGAGACGCCATGTACTTTGCGCCAGCCCGCTGCCCAATCTGCGATCGATCTGTTGGATCAAAAATCCCTGGGCGTTTTCTCGTATCTATCGCCAAAAACGGCCGCCACGTCCTCGCTCCCCCCTTCTCTTTGATCAATCCTGGTGCCACGTAGCACAGCGCAACCGCGGCGTAGAGGAGGCACTGAGAGAAATGAAAAGGGCGAGCAAGGAGGAGTCCTGTGCACATGGCGTGTGCTTCATCTTCACACCTTTTCCATTCTAATATTACCTACCTAGGTATGCAACAACCCGAGCCGCTGCTGCGGCTGCTACTGCACCACCAGCACGACACACCCAGCCCACCAGCCACACAACATGCACGACAGTGTCAAGACGAAAATGCCCGAAACCTCTGTGATAAAACGGTGAAACATGACTTTTTCCTGCCCCTTTCTAGCTAGCACTAACGCAAGAATTTACCTCCTATTCTATGAAAGCTCTCTCAAGTGGTACATATATACAGTTTTGATGTGCTTCACCTTTGTTGTCAGGGTCGCACTGATGTCGTCAACAGTTATAGCTCGTCATGTATTTGCTCCGTATTGTCATCCTTCTTCTTGCTCTCGCCCTCCGTCTTCTTCCCCTCGCCCTCCTTCTTCCCCTCTTCAGCCTGGCGCTTGCGGATCTGATCCAGAATCCTGTCAAGCTCCTCCTGGTCGATACCCTCGCCAAACACTTCGGCGTCAAGGTCACCGGCCTCGAACTTCTTGCCCTTGCCCTTGCCCTTGCCCTTGCCCTTCGACTTGGTTGGCTTCTTGGCCTTGGGCTTCTTGGGGTTGAACGTGCGGATGCCTCTCATCGCAACCTCCATACTCGCCTTGGTCAGCTTGTCCTCCTTAGCAGCTACGTCGCTGCTAAGAAGAACGGGGTCCTCAGTGGCGCCAAGTTTGTCTTGCTTGGTCTCCATCTCCTTCAGCCACTGTCTCGTCTCAGTGTTGAGCTTCTCAATCTCGGTGAGGTCCTCGCGCTTATATAGGGGTGGAATGGCTGCCGCAGGCTTTTCCTCCTCTACCTCTTCTTTGGGGGCCTCGGTTGCGTCCTCATCTTCGAGGCCGTCAAAATCACCAGTCGATGACTCGGCAGGGGCGGAAGAGGTAGGGGTGGAGCTAGAGGCTGCAGAGGAGCTGGCAAGATACTCCTCGTGGTCGTCAATTTGCTTGTAGATGCCCTCAAGGAACTTATCCGTCTGATCCAGGATAGTCTTGAGCTGTTTGACAGCCTTGGGTCTCGCAGTTGACTCTTGAACACGCTTCTGAATCGGCTCGGCAAGGTCTTGGAGCGACTTGAGCTTGGCCGTCAATTCGTCCTTGGTGGCAGTTGTGCCGTCCTCGTAAAGCCAGTCGCTAGCCGCCCTAGCCTTCTCAGAGAGGGCAGTGCGCTCTTTCTCGGTGGACTTGGCAACGAAGTCATCATTCTCAAGAAGACTGCTAACCTGATAGGTAAATGCCTCGAGCTTGTTCAGGGCATCCTCGCGTTGAATTCTAGCCTTATCAGAAGCGGCAAAGGCCTTGAGTCGGTCCCTGGAAGTCGTGAGCTCTTCCTTAGTAAACTGGGGGATACCGGCCTTCTCGATAATAACTTGGACGGGAATGTTGACAAGCTCCTTCTTCTTAACATCTTCCTTAGGCGCTTCGACTGCCTCAGTCGACTTGGAGTCTTTGGCGTCGATAGAGGAAGAAGCCGACTCAGTAGAAGATGAAGAGCTCTCAGACGTCTCGGACGACTTGGACGCCTTGGACGTCTTGGACGATTTCTTGGACTTGCTAGACTTTGTAGGCTTTTTGCTGGATTTGGTAGCATCCGCCTTGCCGTCGGTACCATCCTCAAATGACTCCTTCTTCCCAAATCCAAAGAGGTTCTTAACACCGTCAATCAGAGTCTCCTTAACCTCGGCCTCACATTCCACAACAGCCGAGGCGACCGCGACCTCACCATTCTCGCTGGCGAGCTTAAGAGCCAGCTTAAAGACGGTTTCGGAGTCGACGCACGAGGGATACTTGTCTTCAAGAGCAGCAGCCGTGGCAGTCAGGTTCTTAACAGAAAACGTAGCAATAGTCTGGTCTTCATCGCCGACCTGCTGGAAAAAGCTACCGGAAAAGTCCTTGAGATCGGTAAACGAAAGCTCCTTGGGAACACCGCCAAGAGGAGAGGCGGCAGTCCAGAGACGCTGACGCTGTTCCTTGCCCTTGGCGTTGGTGTACTTGATGCCGGCGTTGTACATGGACCCCTCGGAGATGCGAATCTCCTTGACGCGGAAGCTAGGAGATAGCTGGGCACCACGGAAGCCAGCACCAAACACAGCAGCCTCGTCAGAGTTGACGTTGGAGCGAATCTTGTCAGCGGAGCCGATAGCCTTTTCAAGAGCCTTCTGAACAAAAGGGGTTCTCGTAGCGCCACCGTGGAGGATAATAGTGTCGATGTCGACGATATCAAGTCCGGCCATCTTAAGAGCGTTGTTCACAACGGCGGCAACTCGGTCGGGGAAGTCCTGGGCCATGGCCTCGAAGTCGGCACGCCCCAGCTTGTACTTGAAGTCGACATCCTCATAGAGACCTTCGAAGCTGGCGCCGGTATTTTGGTTGGCGCTCAGGACGTGGCGTACGCGCTCCGCTTCCTTGATAAGCTTGGCCATGGCACGTCCGTGGGCCCGAACGCCCCCCGAGGTGGCAGAGATCTTCTGGGCCGATTTGGACTCAACAAACTGCGAAACCATGTCATCCGTGATGAGATAGTTGAGAGCGTCGCCACCGAGTGTGCGGTCCCAGCCGGCGCCGAGGGACTGAACCTCCTGGACGGTCTTGTTGTACTTGCCAACGTCTTTAACGTTGCGGCTCTGGAACTTGAGGACAGTGGCGGTGGTGGAGCCGGCGCCCATGTCAAAGACCAGGTGGTGCTCAGGCTTGGCACCCTCGTTGATATTAGGGAATTGACGGCTGGTGGCGTAGTTGAGGCCAACAGCCAGACCGTCGCTCATGATGCTGAGGACCCTGAGGTTTGCCATCTCGGCAGCGAGCTGGAGGGCGCGGCGCTCCTCAGTGGTATAGAAGGGCGGGATGGACATGACGACGGAGCGGACAGACGAGCCCTCGCCAGCGAGCGCCTCGGCGTTCTTCTGGATGCTCTGGAGCTGCATCGCCAGCAGCTCCTCGACCATCCAGGACTCCTCCTCGGCGGTGAGCGTGTTGGTTTTGAAGGACGGCGTGCCGCGCGAGGCGTGTGCCTGCAGCTGCAGGGCCGGGTGGCGCGCGGCGTAGTCGGCGACGATGGCGTCGCCCACGGGCAGGCCGAGGATGGTCTTGAGGTTCGGATAGACTTCGCCGGGGAAGCGGGCGGAGAGTGCGAGGGCGTCGGCGCCGTAGGCGCGCTCGGGGAACTGGTCTGGCTTGGCGCCGCCGGGCGCGGGTTTGAAGGCGACGGCGGACGCCTCTTTACGCCGCGAGTCCTTGGTCAGGACAATGTCGAGGGGCACGCCCGGCTTGACGAGGGCGGCCTTGATGTATTCGGTGCCGAGATCGACGCCGAGCACGGCCGAGACGGCCATGACATTGGCAGAGAGGAAGAAGACGGCTCCGAGGAGCGCCATGAGCGATGATAGGCGTAAACGCGCCATGGTGTCGGCTATGTTGTGGTTGAAGCTTCGTTTGAAGCGGTTAGAACAAGGTGAGAACGGCGGTGTCTCTTGGTCGGCGCGGGTATCAAGGAGAGACGAGCATCGAACAAAAAAGAGAAGGAATGAGGAAAGACGGAACGTGACTAAATGACGCTGAATATTCAATGGCCATTAAAGTCCATACGACTCAATTGCTCCAGGAAGTAGGCAGACCAGCCTCTCTTTGTCGTGATGATGAAGTAAAGGTTGATGTGGCCAGAGAAGCTCGGCGACAAAGGACAGCATGCAGCTCCACATCGAATCGGGTAGTAGCCTCAGGGCGAGTACCGAAAAGGACAAGTTGCAGAGTTGCTTAGCGCAAGAGGTACTAGCGAGGTACTTTGTATCTGGACGCATGGTACAGGCGCCACCACGCCGCGCCACAAGTCCCTTTCACAGCTTGCCTTTTACAGGGGAGTAAAACATCTACAACCTGTCATTGTCCCCAATAAAACTAGATTGCAAAGTTTCAATGAAAAAGATTAAGTTGATTCCAGTTGATTTATACAATTGGGGTAAGTTGAGGCGGCAGTTTGCGGATAGACAGCAGCAAACTGTGAGAACATGGAGAACGAGGTAGGTAGGTATAATTCATTACGCATAACACTGTATCATTATAAGTAGGTAGGTAGCACTAACATTACAATTCTCTCCCGCGTATTGACGCTGGGACTACGCCTGTGGCCCGACCTGGGCGGCGTTCAGTGCCACCTCGACGTCTTGACGCCGGAACCCAGGAGACTGACCCAGGCAAGTCGAATTCAACATTAAACCTAGCAAATGAAGCTTGTAAGAATGGCGAACGTGAGTAGTGATTTCTGTTAAAGTTTTCTTACCTCGTAGAAATAACGGAACGTTTACATCGCCGTGTGACTCCTTGTTGGGTTTCATCCGCAGGCTGACGCCCCTCTCAAGGAGGTAGAGCTCTAGGTCCTGCATGTCAAACCAGTCACCCTCGAAGCGCTCCTGTAGGTTGGCTGGCACGTTGGAAGGATCCATGGGGACGGTCCAGGCGTTGTTGCGGACCGTCCACGTCGAGCACTGATTCGCTGTGTTGGCCCAAGGCAGCGAGAGTGGCACAGATGCACCGCTGCTGCCACCACCACCACCATCAACACCGCTGCCGCCACTAACACCTACACCGGCAGCTGAAGTGAGGAGGGCGGGGGAGTAGTGGGTGCCGGCGCCGCCGATGCTGAAGAAGGGCATGCCGGGCTTGGACTGGATGGCATTACTTTCGTTGCTCCGGCAGAGCCTTGACTGGAAGAGTGCGGAAAAGAAGGACAGCAGCTTGTCGCGGCTCATGAGCTGCAGCGGAAGGCCAAAGTGGCGGTGTAGGCGGGTGGTCGAGAGCGTCGGGTCGGCAAGTGCCAGGTAGCCGTAGTAGACGGCCGACGTAGCTAGCATGTCCATGAAGGCGGCGACGGTCATGCTGGTGTTCATGTCCGGGTACGGCTTGTTGCCGAATATGTTCTTGATGCCGGTAGGCTTGTTGGGCACAGAATGTGGGATGGAGGGTGGCGCGGTAGGCACAAGGGCCATGCTAGACGCCCCGGCGCTCTCCGGCTCCGCATTGCCACCAGTCTCCCGGACAAGTGTGAGGCACGTGGACAGGGCATCGCGTAGACGGCTCGTTAGCTCGCTCTGGCAGGATAGAATGTTGGAGCCAATGAGCTCCTCGCTAAAGGAGAGCACGACGGTGCTCATGTTCTCGATAGCGCTCTCGAGCTGCTTTACGCGCTCCTCGAGGTAGGCCGTCTGTGATATCTTGCGTTGGCGGTACGCGCGCTGCGCTTCGCGGATTTGCTTCCGACGACGCTGGGACAAGGAGACGAGTTAAATTTATGTGCGCGGTAGGAGAAGGGAGGGAGGGGGGCTTTCGCTTTACCTCGCCAGGGCCTTCATTATCACCAGGTTTGCGTTTCGCGCCCGCGGCTTTCCCTTGCCCGGGGGTCGCTTTGCCTTTATTCCTTGTGGTCTTGTTATTGCTATCGGGAGACTCGGCGTCGTCGTCGTTCTGCTCAAAGGAGTCGGCGTCGTCGTCTTCGAGGAAGACGGTGCCTGTGCCTGCACTATTGGATGGCGACTGTTGGCGCAGGTATGGTTAGCGATGGTTTGTAGGCAGCCCCGTCGCCGTCGGGTCGGTGTCTACCTACAGGACCACTGTGGTTATAGTTGGAGGCTGCGCCTGGATAGAATGTTGACGAGAGAAGTCGCTCGATGTCGACATCTTCATTTGGGCGTGAGACGTGCTGGACGTGTAGGTGCAACGGCTGCTGCTGCCGCTGGTGGGATGGGAGGCGATTGTTGCGTGAGGGGTCGGCCATGTCAGGTACAACCTATGCGGCTAGGTGGTGTGTGGTAGCAGGTGTATTTGGGTGTATTTGGGTGTATTTGGTGTCGGTGGCGTCTGCGTGACACATGCGAACGAGCAGGTGAGAATCTTCTCTGTTAGTCTTTCTTTCCTCCTTCACAAGACTTGTACGGGAGTAATCAAATTGTATACCGCCGTTTAATTCTTTTTCGTTGAGAATGCGCCAATGCTTGCATGCGCGTACCGGCACTTTATTTTAGCGCCGAATCGGAGGGCGGAGCAGCCTCGGCCCAACCGGTGCAACCGGGGCGGAGGTTTGGACGATCCCTGCGGAGGACGGGGGGCGCGGCCCATGACGACCGGCCTGGCTGCCTGGAAAAGGCGGAATGTTCTGCCGACAAGGAGTTTAGCGAGTCAATGCCCGGAGTTTATAATTTATTAGAGTTTTGACTGTTTTGTGAGACATGGTGGTGTTGGTGGGGGAAATGACCCCTCCCTCCATGCTGAATGCGGACTCGTTATGCTGACTCGTCACATGTGAATCTGATCTTGTTGTCCAAGCACTTTTGTACAAGCAGTAATATTAGATGTCAGCTGAGGATGCTTCTTGTGGTTGCTAACATATTGGGAGACCAATTGTCGAAATATGGTAGAATCGCAACAAATTTCTTGTTAGCTGCATCAGCCACAGAGTGCGACTCTCACGAGCTGTCCCCTGAGGCAACTGCCCCTCACTTGCGGCCACCCATGAGCCATGAGCCCCTTTGGATCTTCTTATCAGTTTGCCAGCATGAAAGCGGACCGGTTAGAGGCGGCGTACTAAGTATTTTTAAAAGAACAGCCCGACAAACTCCAACGGGTTGTTCCAGCCGGCCCAATTGTTCCAACCGCGTCCAAGCACAGCGATCGGACAAAGCCACGGGTTCCATCGTCTGTGGCTGATGTTTAGCCACACCCTATTTCTTGGGCTGAAGTCGCCCTTTGGAGGCTACGCTGCTTGGAACGTGGCAGTGACTCGGCACATCAAGGTGAAACGTGGGCCGCAGCCAATTGAGTTGTCAGGATCTTGGGCTCCTCGAATGCCAACCTTTAGTTGCTCCAGCCCACTGTTTGGGGTCGACATCGGCACATCCCTTGGTTGGCCGCCAGACAGCAAACAGTTATTAGCGCTCGTGCACTTGTCCTCTTTGGCCGTGGCGCTCGGGAGCTTCATTCGCCGAGCTCAATCTCGATGGACTCATGTTCTGCTTGTTTGCCCCTGGCTTCCTTGTCAGGCTTCTCCGCAACGCTTCCCACGACCTTCAACAGTATAATATCGCATAATCCGGTGCAAAAATGACCGATGCCAAGGCCGACTCGGCCACCGTTCCTCCTGCCGCCACTCTCTCGCAAGACACGGCTACAGCCCCGCCACCGCAAGCTGGCAAGACCCTTCCAAAGGTGACGCCCCCAACGAGCATCGACATCGACAGCAAGCCCAGCGACTTTGACGGGCAGCTCGCTACAAACGATGAGATACCATCCGATGCCACGCTTGCCAAGGTCGCCGACTATGTCTTGCTAGACAAGTACGGCAAGACGCATACCTTCCAGAGCCTCTACAACAGCCCTAACGGTCCCCGACGAGTCTTGGTGGTGTTCGTCCGCCACTTTTTCTGCGGTGTAAGTCAGATTTCATCGAGCCCCTACACCTATGTACTCCCGCGTTAACTTTACAGAACTGCCAAGAATACATTCGCACCCTCGCCGAGTCGATATCCAACGACGCTCTTCTGGGGCTCCCTGTCAGCACCTCCGTCGTCATCATCGGCTGCGGCAACCCACAACTCATCGACATGTACGTCGAGGCGACCAGGTGTCCGTTCCCGCTGTACACCGACCCCAAGAGCGTCCTCTTCGACGCCCTCGGCATGGTCAAGACGCTCGCGCTTGGAGAGAAGCCCGCCTATATGAAGATGGGCTTCCTCAAGGGCGTCTTTACCGGCATGGGCCAGGCCCTAAAGCAGTTACCCAAGGGCCTGACCCTCCAGTCTGGAGACCAGCGCCAGGTCGGCGGCGAGTTTCTGTTCGAGCCCCTCGACCTGGTCACCCCCATCACGACGCCCACGGACGCCCAGGGCGGGGCCGCCATCATGGAGGCCTGTGACCCGCGGCCCATGCAGAGCGGCGCGGGCGGCCAGCTCGAGGTCAAGAAAATTACCTGGTGCCACCGCATGCGCAGCACCCGCGACCATGCTGAGATTCCTGAAATCATGGAGCTTCTGGGCCTCGACGGTCACGGTAAGCCGATCAAGGATACTGCGCTGTGGGAAAAGACGATCCGGGCCAGAAAGGGTACGGGCCTGTCTATGGCAAGCAAGCTGAACGAGCTAGCAGCGGCACAAAACGCAGAGGCGGGCAAAGCATGATTGATACAGTAGAGCGGCACATCATTCGAAAAGCGCAGTGCAAAACATTGTGGTTTCTTGCTTTTCAAATTTCTTTCTCTAATGCTCATAGCCAATGATTCCCCTTTATTATACATGGCTGCTTTCCACAACAGTACTTCAGGCCACTGGAGCCCAGCTGTCATCTTCGGTGCTGTAGATGATTTCGTGAATTGGCATTTTGTTGTCGATAATCTCCTTGCCGTTTATGAGATCGTTCTCGTCTGCGCGCTTGTATCCATCTTCAAGACTTGTCACAATGCCCGCCTTGACATGTCGGAGCGCCAGTCTCTCCCTCGCCTGGTTGAAGTCAACCTCGACAAACCAAAGCTCATCAAAGAGCGCCGCGGCTTCGCGCCACACATCTGCATTAAGTGCCACATAATTACCCTCGACGACGATGATGCGCTGCGTGGGCGCAATGACAATGTCGTCCTCCTTGGGGTCCTTGACCGCGTGGTCAAACGAGGGCACCTTGATTTCCTCGCCCATCGGGGCATTTCGCAGCTTCGAAATCACGGCCAGAAACTTGGAGGCGTCAAAGGTGAACGAGGCTCCGCGGCGGGCGTTGTACAAGGCGGCGTCTGATTGTGCCGAGAGGTAGCTCCTTGGGTAGTGGAAGCCGTCCATGGGGAGGAAGGCGACGGGTGCGGGAGAGCCGGGAGCCTGCTTTGCTGCTATGGCATTGAGACGGGAGGTGATCATCTTTGAAAATGTGGTTTTGCCTGCTCAGTGTAAGTCGGACAGCCATGACCCATGATGCGTCACATACCGGAGCCGGGGATGCCAGCGATGCCAATTACTGGAGTCCAAGGTTAGAGGTGATAGGAAGACATTAGGCTTCGTACATACAGAGACGCCCATCCGGAGGCATTTCTTGGTGTTTTCGCCACACCGTCTCAGCTAGTCTTTGTACCTGTTCCTCCATCTTGAACGCGTAAGATGCTGTGACAAGTTTGTAGCTGGAAATGAGGCGTCCGGCCGAAGCTAGCTACCCCGCGGACTCGAGCCCCACGCACCGTGTTAGCACTGACGATTGCCGCAGCAAAACTCCCAGAAATCAAGCAATTGGCATCATAAATCTTTTTGATATGTACTGAGATTGGCTGAATCGCACAAACTATTCACGTACTTTTATCATCCATAGCGGTGCATACCCCACACGTCATATCGGTACCATCGGCGCCAGGCGGGGTAAAGTTTTGGCGGCGGTTCGATACGGGAACCATTTTTTTCTTCTTCACGCCAGAACCCCGACATAATCACACGACACGGGAAAGATGGCCGCGCAAGCAGAGGAGGCCCTCAAAGGGCTCAAATGTACGATTGAAATGTCGTGGACTTGGACAATGAGCAAAAATCAGAGCTAACCTGCAATCCGGACAGTCGCTGATGACAAGACCGATGGCAAGCCCGCCGCCCACGACGAAGAGGACGGCGACGACTCCGAAGAAGAGCCTGCCAACGGCGCTGACGCGGGAACCGGCGCCGCCAAAAAGAAGAAGAAGAGAAAGCCCAGAAAGAAGAAGAAGAACCCGACGAGCCAGACGGAGCCGCCGACGGTTAAGCTGAGCCTGCTGTTCCCCAACAAGACGTACCCCAAAGGCGAGGAGGTCGAGTACAAGGACGACAATCGTTACCGCACGACGGACGAGGAGAAGCGACACCTGGACAACCTCAACAGTGACTTCCTGAGCGACTACCGCGAGGCGGCCGAGATCCACCGACAGGTGCGCCAGTACGCGCAAAAGTCAATCAAGCCAGGTCAGACTCTGACCGAAATCGCCGAGGGCATCGAGAACAGCGTGCGCGCGCTGACGGGCCACGACGGCCTGACCGAGGGTGACCCGATGGTGGCGGGCATGGGCTTCCCGTGCGGGCTGAGCCTGAACCACTGCGCGGCGCACTACACGCCCAACGCGGGCAACAAGATGCTGCTGCAGTCGGCCGACGTGATGAAGGTGGACTTTGGCGTGCACGTCAACGGGCGCATCGTCGACTCGGCCTTCACCATGTCGTTTGAGCCGCAGTACGACAACCTGCTGGCGGCGGTGCGCGCGGCGACCAACGCGGGCATCCGCGAGGCCGGCATCGACGCGCGCGTCGGCGAGATCGGCACGGTCATCCAGGAGACGATGGAGAGCTACGAGGTGGAGATTGGCGGCACGACGTACCCGGTCAAGAGCATCCGCAACCTGACGGGCCACAACATCTTGCCGTACAGCATCCACGGGACCAAGTCGGTGCCGATCGTCAAGAGCAACGACCAGACCAAGATGGAGGAGGGCGACGTCTTCGCCATCGAGACGTTTGGCAGCACTGGCAACGGATACGTGCGCGACGACGGCGAGGTCTCGCACTACGCCAAGAACGACGTCGGCCATGTCGACCTCCGTCTGAGCTCGGCCAAGACGCTGCTGAACGCGATTAACAAGAGCTTCGGCACGTTGCCGTTTTGCAGACGCTATCTGGACCGCATGGGCCACGACAAGTATCTTTTGGGGGTAAGTCTTTTTTGTGCCTGCCGTCTCTGAATCTGGGGATGGCATGGGCAGGAGGGAGGTATCAGAAGGCTGACGAGAACGAATAGCTGAACCACCTGGTGGGAGCCGGTGTTGTCGAGGCGTACCCGCCGTTGGTTGATAAGAAGGGCTCATACACGGCCCAGTTTGAGCATGTGAGTAGAGAAGAATTGTGCCATTTTTTTATTCATGGCGAGCAGCTTTGCTAACTATATCGCAGACCATTCTGATCAGACCGACGGTCAAGGAGGTCATCAGCCGCGGCGAGGACTACTAGCTTCACATTGTAAAAGCAGCTATGGACTGAAAGCATGTAGCCGGAGCTTTTGCTTGAGGGTTAAACTTGATGATATGAAAATGAATAAAAATAAAGCATTGCCGGATACGGAACTGTGTAGTGTGCGCCACCTCTTTGCCCTATACTTGTAACTGGGCTGCGAACCGCCAGACATGTGTGGTATGTGCTGCATGATGCTGCCTGCCTGCTCAAGGCCTTCCTTATTAATCGTTCGGCTTATGAAAATATAGACGCAGCGCGGCTTGGCCATGCAAGCGCCAAGAGCTGTGGTCAAGAGATACGTCATTTGCAGTGGCCAGGGCCTCAAGAAGCAGCCTGTCCGCTATGGCTTTCACTAACCAATGATGTTTCTTTATCTACATTGTCTCGCTGCAGCATGACCTGGGGTTGCATTGCAGGACGGACCCGTATATGCTGTAGGCCATGAGTTAAGCCGATAGCTTGCAGCCACGTCGGGGCCTATCCCGGCGTATCAGCGGCTGGTCTCGGGCCTGGCTCGGCTTCGCCCATTTACCCGCGCCGCGTTTCCCTCGTCCTGTGTTTCCGATAGGCCCATCGCTGGCCATGCTATGTGAATTGGGCATGTTAATGTCATCGACGGAGCATAAGCGAGTATACGGTAGCACAGCACGGCATTGTAGTTACATATCACCGGCGATAAGAGCAAATGCAGTACCTAAGGTATGCCAGAGTCTACCCACTGTATTAGCTCCGATGTAGGGGACGGGGAGTAATATAGTGTCAGAGGTGCCATAAGCGGCGGCTCACTCATCTGTGTGCCGTCCCGCAGGTCCGGGGTGGCAATCGCTACATTCTGAGGACAAAGAAAAGGGTACAAAACTGTTCTGTTTTCTAGCGTCGATAACTTCCCCGTGGGCAAGCCGCAAATTGCCACCACAAAAAAGAAGATCTCCGAGCCTATTTGGGGCCATTCCGGGGCACCGAATGCACTCTGGGTTGAAGCTCCTCTTGTCTCGCATGCAGGAGGAGAACTTGGATGGCTCCGGCTCATTCTCGAGCTAGACAAGGCGCTAAGCCGCATCAGGCCGTCCAGGGAGGACATACAGCCAATGGTGAGCTCTTGATACATGTTTTAAGTGGACTATGCGGCTTCTCAAATTTTTCCCTCCAGGCGTCGCCGGCCGCGTGCAGCCACATTACAGGGCAGTGAGCCACTAAAATTCTGAGCACATGCTGGAGAAAGCTTTGCGCCACCGAAAAAAAAAAAACGCCGCTCCCCTGAAAAACCCGCATCCGAAGTCGTCGCCTTTTTTCTTTGCCTGACTCCTCTTTAAAACTACCACTGCCCCGACCACACACAGACGTACCTTTTTACTCGTCATTGCCTTCACCACATCGACTTCCCGGACGAATTATAGACTTTTTGCTTTTAATCATTTAATCATTTTCTTTGTCATTAGCGAGGAAAATAGAAAAGCAGATTGACGATTTCAAAGAAGACTCGGCTTCTTTACGACCACTTGGAAGCACTCGATTTCTGCGTACCACCAAACGCGCGCGATATAGAAGAAAGAAACGCGCCGACTACAAGAAAGAAGAAGCCCAGTGCTATCTATTCCTGAGGCATTCAATCTTTTCTTCGCCAATCCCCTTTTTCTGGACGCCTCCGCGACACGACCCGACCTCGGTCGCCTCCTTTCCCCCGACACGTCGCCACACCTATAGCGCATAAACACAGCCAAGATGAAGGTTTTTTCCAACGCGGTCACCTTCAACTACTCCTGGGACGAGGTGTCGACCGCCAACTGGCAAAAGTACGGTCCCTGGAACAACAAGTCTGAGCACGTCATCGCCGTCGACACGCTCTCGCGCCGCGTGGACCCGGCCACCGGCATCCTGCGCACCGAGCGGCTCATCGCGTGCCGGCAGTCGGCGCCGGAGTGGCTCAAGTCGATCCTCGGCGGCGGCAAGCTGGACGAGAGCTTCGTCTACGAGGCCAGCTACGTGGACCCGGCGACCAAGACGGTCACCATGGTCAGCCAGAACCTGACGTGGAGCAACCTGGTCAGCGTCCAGGAGGAGGTCGTCTACCGCCCGCTCGGCGACGGCCAGACGCAGTTCACCCAGACGGCGAACATCACGGCGCTCTGCGGCGGCTGGCAGCGCATCAAGAACTCCATCGAGGACACGCTGGTTAACAGGTTCCGCGAGAACGCGGCCAAGGGCCGTGAGGGCTTCGAGCGCGTGCTGGAGATGAGCCGCATCGTGTTCGCCGAGGAGCGCGAGAAGGCCCTGCGCGAAAAGCTGGCCCTATAAACGGCAGCTCCACGATGACTGGGGTCGGTGACCATGGGGATTTGCCGCTGCTGGCATTCATCCCTTGTCACCGATCTGATTCAATTCGAGAACATCGAGAATCCTCCGAACCCCCGACTGCATATCCGAATGGAGATTTCTCGCCAAACACACCCAATCCTCTCTTTTCGTCCCACGACTCCCAACTTTTGATTATTCGATTCATAGCTTGGCGCAAAGGCGGGAGTCTTTTTCCTCCTCACAGCATATACACTATTTTTTCGGCATGGCGTTTGTTGGCTTCATTTTTCATTTTAATAGATGATAGAAAAAGTTTTTATCCTGGTTGATAGCACTCCTCTGGTGTATCTAGAGTCGCAGAGCTTTTTTATCTTTTATGTAGCTGCCTGCGGAGATGAGGCGGCCTGCTTTTGGGGGTGCTAGGATGGCGAGGGAACCTGAGATGGCTCTGCCACGCCTTGTACAGATAGACACGGATGAATGCCTACTCTTACAGACCCAATTTTTCTTCTGGCGCGTGAATGTCATCGATCAAGCTTCAAAAGGAGACACCACGCCGGCGATGGCGGTTGATTTGCGCATCGTCCTCCGCCGGAAGGCTCGGGTTCTAGGCGTGGGCTGATGACGATGAAGTTATGACGGCCTTGTCGCGTCTCGTGATTGCTGGCAAGACAAGAATGCGGGGTTTATCCTGGCAAAAAAATGTCCAAACCTTCCACCTTGCCGAGTCATATGTAATGGTGCTATGCTTGAGATAAGTTGAGCTTGCTGTCCTTCCATCTCTACCAAGATAGGGTGAGAGAACAAAGATTTTGTCGAATTCGGACAGATTTGACGAGTCTTGGACGCGGCCACTACATTATCCCTTTGATTTCGGAGGCAAGCACGGGAGCGAACCCCATACTACAACCAACAAGGCTCACGATGGCCAAATTAAGATGAAACTGGGGCGTTAGCCGACAGTTCATTAGGATGCCCGCGCGTTCTGTTGGTTGGAGTGTCTCCAACCACCGCGCAACTGACCACTACATCGCCTTTCTATTATATTCAATGCATGCCAGTTTGTCAGCTGCAAGTGTGACAGTTGTAGACAAGTAGCCACTGCTTCGGGCAACGATGATTTTCTTCGAGGAAGTGCGGCAGAGTTCCTAAGAGATTCTGACTCTGTCGCGCTCAGGGTAGGACGCGACAATTAGCTTCGAGATGCGATCCCGGGCGGGACGTGCCAGATTCGGGCCTTTCACAATTGGGCGATGGGCCCTTGTACCGATGCAAGCGGCATTCACGGCTTTGGCGGAGCGGGCAAGGCTAATAATAATTCTGTCTGCCTTGCGTAGGTGGAATGCCGAAGGATCGAAAGGCGGCGACGGCCCTAGTCAAGCACCACTTAACAGCCTGCGACCAAAATCTGACAGCATGGGTTGTTGAGGTCATTCGTTCCAGAAAAGTATAAACCCGAGAGAAAATAGTGTGGGGGGTTCGGGAAGAGTTGTTGGAGTTGCAGTTTTGGTTCCTGTGATGAATCAGTTAACAAGACCACTTACCACTGGCTTGGCCTCTCGGCGTTGGCGACAGAGTCCCATCGTGCATTGCGACTCGATACTTGCTTCCCTTCACAACAAGGAAAGATTCCTAGCTTGAATCTCCAATTTCTCGCTCTAGAGCTCCAATAAGTTACATCTTAACCACGCCTCATGCAGGACCGACTAGAGATGATCGTCGAGGCCAGGGCCGCCAGCTTTCCATTGAAGACATTTGCGGCGAATGCCTATTTCGAACAGAAAAGCCCCAAGTTGGTCCCGTGTGCTAGTCGACCGACCCTCCTGCATATGCAACACAACGTAGTATCGGAAGGATGAATTTGAGCAGAAGCTCTAGTCGAGACTCTCTGCGCGGAACCCCACAGAGTATCGTTGGGAGGGAGCGCCTTGCAAAGCCTCACGACCGACTTGGCGATTACCGACTCTGTATCTGAGCGAGAATCATACCGGGCTGTGTTCTATTGTTAGGAAAAACGGGTAATTGATCCTTGATCTCGGGTATGCATAATATGACCTACCCGGGCGTTAGTGAGCTTTGGACGTAGTGGCAGTTTTAAAAGAGAAAGCCATCTGCTTATTCCTGCGCTTATTAACTTAGTTCCGGGCTGAATCCCAGTCAGGAAGGTACCCGTTCGTCGTTTACCAAGTGTTCGGCTCGACCTTTTTGAAGCAGCAAGGTCGCATTGAGCCTGGGGATTGAGGAAGAGACCGGGGTAACTCGCAGAAATTGGGATGGACCGTAAGCATAATGTGGCGTCCGAAGCTCAGGAGTTGGACCAAGGCGCACACATGCCGCCTGTGCAAGTGCAACTAGCGAGTTGAAAGACCGAGAAGCAGTAGGGCCGATGTCTAAGTTTATAAAGAGGCATGATCCGGCCATCAAGGTCGATCCGAAATGAGCATATCAAGCCTCATATCGAGTCCCCGGATAGGAAAAGCCTTCAATATGCGTCTTACTGCTGCCGCCCTGCTCTCCGCCGTTGCGGTCTCTGCCCATCCCAACCCCGGTGACAAGCTCAACAAGCCTCCGGTGCATCCCAACCTGGACTACCTCGAGGCCGGTCTGGAGAAGTATCTTCCCGAGACCAGCTACACGCTCCATGAGTGGAACAATGGCTATATTCCCGAGGAGTGAGATGCCCAATTCTCCGTCATACTGCGGTGCATGCTACTAACACGGCCGACTCAGATGCAAGAAGATTGTCACCGGTGGCGTCGACGCCGGCACTCACTTCAACCCGGCCGACATCCAGACCTTTGACGTCAAGTACGACGATGTAAGTCGAACAGCCACCAGTCCTCAAATCTTGTCCGCCGGCTCACACAGATGCCACCCAGTGCGGCGACCCTTGGGTCTTTTGCCACCACCGCAACTCCAACGCCTCCATCGACACCATGGCGCGGCAGTTCGGCAAGCTGCCGATCCAGATGCGGCAGTGGGTGCGGCACGTCATCGACCTTCCCGACAAGGGCCGACATGCGTACGAGTGGGACGGCACCGTCACCTTCTTCGCCGCCGGCGACCACATGATGACCGTCATCGCGCACGAGACCAGCCACTCGCTCGACCTCAGCGGCGCCTACCCGGACAAGTCGCTCTCCAACTCGGACCGCTGGTGGTCCGAGTACGACCAGGACTCGCACGTGCCGGACCCGTACAGCGCCAGCAACGCCATCGAGGACGTCGCGCAGAACACCGTGGTGGCGATCCACGACTCCAACGTGCCGGGCGGGTACCCGAGCGTGGAACCGGGCTGGGCGGGTATTGTGCACCAGCTGCACTTGGTGGAGGCGGAGGCGCGCGAGGCAGGCGAGGGCAACTCGGTGCTGATCCCGGGGCATAATAAGCAGTGCACGCACAGGATGCCGGCGAGCAAGCCGGTGCCGGTGAGTGGGAGCGGCAAGAGGCGCGGGGCTGCGCCGGATGTGAGCCTCAAGTCGGGCGTCAAGGTCATTGACACGTCGGACCGCAAGCAGAAGCACTCTGGCTGCAAATTGACTTGGTAAATACTCGGTGCACATGATGTGTTATTTGAGAAGTATATATAAGCATTTATAGCAAGGGCCAATATGATGGCAGAGCAAACTATACCAGTCTCACAGTGACTTGATAGTAATATTCAAATAGCCACAATGACCCTCTTGCTGTTTACTTTTGCAAAAAGAAAACGTTCATCTATTCTATCAAATAACCGGGAGTAAATGGACCAGGTCTCCGACGCCAAGATTGAGTTCGGCCAAGCCCGGCTGCCGGCTTCCACTCATCCCCACGCTTGCAAATTTCTTGTTGGAGAATATCAACATTATGGAGACTTTTTTACTATGCATGTGTCCAGCTAGAAGCCAAACGGGGCGGTCTGCGTACAGTGTCGGTCTCACACTGGAATCTAGCTCTGGTGCGCTCAGCTTAATATTACCTCGTTTCTTCAACGATCCGCAATTTAGATCGCTTTGCTATTGGTCTCTACATGTCAAGCTAGATTCTCCCGTCGAGAAGCATTGGGTAGCAAATTCCTTGTGGCGTTGACTGGGCTGGCTGTCGCAGCATGAGATGCGCCACCCGGCCAGTAGCCATGTTGTCACGAGGATCAGCGAAGAAAGTATAAAATGAAGTATGCTAGGATGGATATATGAAACTGCTCCCAAGAGGCGCCGCTTTTATCCTAGAACTGAATTGTCATGGGACCTTGCCGCCTTTTTTACCGCCCCCAAGGCAGATTGGCAGGGCTGTGAGATGTGCGTGAATGCATAAAGAGGCGTAACGCCTTTGAAATGTGGGCGAAGCATCACCGTGTCATGCTTTATTCAAGACAGAAAGCTGTGCAGCCTGAAGGTTCAGTTTGATGTTGATTACGATTAATGAGAAAGTTTAATTCGTACAGGCAGGGTACATGGGCATCTGGAACTCCTCCGCGAACTCGCTTTGTTGATTTCCAGGGTCCTTTTTCCTTTCGAAGACGAATGTTTACAGAAATTTTATAATCTTACCCAATCGCTGTTTGGCTGCGACTTTGCGCCACGGCTAACCACTCCGGACCAGGATCTGCAGCCGCGGCACACTTGGTGAAAGGGGGACAGAATACTGTGGAGGCAGGGCAAAGTTGGCAACGCCTCCGAGTGGCGAGGTTGACATGGACGAAGAGGCTGAGCCCCTGAAATCTTGGGCGGGTTGGAGGTTGGAACCAGGGGGGTTCACTGGGACATTGAGTTGCGTTGCGAGCCAACAAGAGAGCAACTAGTTGGCGAGAGTGATGACGACGTCATCGGATGGATCGCGAGCTATGTAGCTGATAAGCGTCAAGTAGGGAGGTGAGGAGGCGCAAGCGGAAAGATGATGGAAGACACGGTTAGACAAGGCGCGAGTCAAAGAATCAGACGGCAAGAATGGACGAGACAGTTTGTGACAATGCGCAGAGGCAACGCGGCTTTTGCTGAATTGTGAAACGAAAAGGCATGGCCGCGGAGACTGTCAAGCTAAAGCTAGGAACCCCAAACCCCTAGAAAGGGGGCAATGATGCAAGAGTTGACCAAGTTCATACCAGTTAGCGGCCCCGTTAGCTCTCGTGGTGGATTTTTTGTTCTGTCTGGAGGCATCTCAGTGGTGGGAGGAGAGGGAGGGTGGGAGTGAGCATCTCCACCAGGATATGCGCCGGGCGGGGACTAAGAATAGCAACGGGCGGTGCATCAAAGGCAACAAGCAAAGGCAACAAGCAAAGGCTGAAATGCAGCAATACGAGGGAGAGAAAGCTTGATGATGAAGGAGGGAGGGGATGAAGCGATGACTAGAGGGTGAGTGAGCGATGGGGTGAGTGAGGGAGGTATGGAAAACGGGTACATACATACATGCATACATACTATGGAGGGGTTGGTCGTTGGTGAGAGCTGGTCCGATGGGCCTCTTCTTACTACGCATAGTGGCTAGCAAATTCCTAGTCAACGGGTACCGTTTTGTAACCAAGGCAAGCATACCAATCCCAGCCTTGGCAAAGAGAATCCCTCAATCAATTCTTCAGCCTTTTAATTTATTCTTTCCCATCTTATTTCAGGGCCACCTGGTATCACTCCGGCTGAAACCCGCTAGCAATATCACGTGAGGCTATTCAAACGGCAACATGCGCGCTTGAGACGGCCAGCTAATCTCCAGACTCCCGATAGTCGGTTACAGGCTTTTTTTTCAGCCACAAGCACACAACATCGCTATCAACTCCCTGATACACATCTCCAAGAGACAGAGTGTCTGCGCCTTGGCACTCGGTGTGAACACGGTGCTTCCATTCACCAGCAAGGAGAAAAACACACCCCGCGAAACATCACCAGTTCCCAGCGAACAAACGCACCTACCCACCATACATACAGACTAGGCCTCATCTCCGTCTGATCTGCCTGCGCAGCACTCACGATCCAATGGATCCTCGTCGCGCGCAACCTCTGCGCAGGACGCCCTCTCCCAGTCATCCTCTCCATCAGGGCTACCAACTCGACGACCAACCCTACGGCCACCAACAACATTACAATGCCCCCGGCGGCCATCCCCAGCGCTTCGGTACTCCCTCTGACCAGCTGGACATCCATGCCGCCGTAAGTCGTCGCCCTCGCGCACCTTCTCCTCTCGCGACACCAAATACTAATAACCACCCTCCCTCAGCAATCCGTCGACACTCTCCGACAATACGACCAGAGCCCCCATCCCGGCGGCAGCCAGGTTGGCCAGCAGCATCCTGGCGACTACAGCGTAAATCCCGAGGCGCATCACGACCAGTACTACAACTCCCCATACGAACCCGGTCTCCACGACGGTGGCTATGATCAGGGATACAACAACCAGGGCTACAACCAAGGCTACGACCAGCCTGGATACAATCATCAGGGCTATGAGCAAAATGACTACTCCGAGTCTGGCCACCCAGGCATGCAGCAAGAGCAGCGACTCTTGCAAGACGACCCATCACAGCAGCATCCCACTCAGCCTCCTCTCGCTGGTGGCCCCGCAATCAAGAGATGGAAAACCGTCAAGCAAGTCCTCCTCTATCGCGGCAATTTGGTGCTCGACTGCCCGGTCCCTCCCGTCCTCCTCCAGCAGAACCCGCACGGCGAGCGCGATGAGTTCACTCATATGCGATACACGGCCGCCACCTGCGACCCCTCTGACTTTTACAATGAAAACTTCACACTTCGCCAAAAACTCTTCAGCAAACCCCGTCACACTGAGCTCTTCATCGTCGTCACCATGTACAACGAAGATGATGTCCTCTTTGCCCGCACCATGATCGGCGTCTTCAAGAACATCGAGTTTATGTGCAACCGCCCAAACAGCAAGACCTGGGGCAAGGACGCCTGGAAAAAGATTGTCGTCTGCGTCGTCTCCGATGGGCGAGCCAAGATTAACCCGCGAACCAAGGCCGTCCTCTCCGGTCTCGGCGTGTACCAGGAGGGTATTGCTAAACAACAGGTCAATGGCAAGGACGTCACGGCGCACATTTACGAGTACACCACGCAAACCCACATCACCCTGAAGAACGACGTTGTCGGCCTCGTCCACCGACGCCAGCCCGTGCAGATGCTTTTCTGTCTGAAGGAAAAGAACCAAAAGAAGATCAATTCGCATCGGTGGTTCTTCCAGGCCTTTGGCCGCGTCCTCGACCCCAACATCTGTGTCCTGATCGACGCCGGCACGCGTCCGGGCCACAACTCCATCTACCATCTCTGGAAGGCCTTTGACCTCGAGCCCATGTGCGGTGGTGCCTGCGGTGAGATCAAGGCCATGTTGGGACGTGGCGGCAAGAACTTGCTCAACCCTCTGGTTGCTACGCAGAACTTCGAGTACAAGATGAGCAACATTCTCGACAAGCCGCTGGAGTCTGCTTTTGGCTTCATCTCCGTCCTGCCCGGTGCCTTTTCCGCCTATCGCTACGTCGCCCTCCAAAACGACAAGAACGGCCAGGGCCCCCTCGAAAAGTACTTCCTCGGCGAGACGCTCCACGGTGGTAGCAGCGCTGGCTTGTTCGAGTCCAACATGTACCTTGCCGAGGATCGCATCCTCTGCTTCGAGCTCGTCACCAAGCGCAACTGTCACTGGATCCTTCAGTACGTCAAGTCGGCGACCGGCGAGACCGACGTGCCTGATACTGTCACCGAGCTGGTCTTGCAGCGTCGTCGCTGGCTGAACGGTTCCTTCTTTGCCGCCATCTACGCCATTGCTCACTTTTACGAATTCTTCCGCTCCGACCACTCGATGCTCCGCAAGATGGCCTTTTTCATCGAGTTTGTCTTTAACACCATTAACATGATCTTTGCGTGGTTTGCTATTGGAAACTTCTTCTTGGTCTTTAGAATCCTTACGTCTAGTCTGAGCGCCAAAGACTTACTCGGTAGGACCGGACAGATCCTCAGTATCGTTTTTACTTGGCTGTACGGTGTCTCGCTTATGACCTGCTTCGTATTATCCATGGGTAATCGCCCTGCCGGCTCCGGAAGGCTGTACGCCATGATGGTCTGGTTCTGGGCTATTCTTATGATGTGAGTTGCAACCACCACTAACGCTCCAAAAGTCCTGCTAACCGCCCACAGCTACCTCATGTTTGCCGCCATCTTCATCTCCGTCAATGCCATCATCACCGACCTCAACAAGCACAACTTCTCCATCGACCAGCTCTTTACGAATCAAGTGTTTGCAACGCTCATCGTCTCCGTCATGTCGACGTTTGGCATCTGGCTGATTGCGTCCATCATCATGTTCGACCCGTGGCACATGTTCACCTCGTTCATCCAGTACATGCTTCTGACGCCGACGTACACTAACGTGCTCAACGTGTACGCCTTCTGCAACACGCATGACGTCTCGTGGGGTACCAAGGGCGACGACAAGGTGGAGAAGCTGCCGTCGGTCAACACCAAGGACGGCGCGGGCAAGACGGACCTGCCGGACGAGGGCGACCTCAACGCGCAGTACCAGCGCGAGGTGCAGGTCTTCGCGACCAAGTACAAGGAGGTCAAGAAGCCCCCGACGGCCGCGCAGCTGCAGGAGAAGCAGATGGACTACTACCGCGGCGTGCGCACCGGCGTTGTGCTCGTCTGGATGCTGACCAACTTTGCCGTCGCCGCCGTCGTCCTCAGCTCCGCGGGCCTGGAGGACGTGACCCCCGACACGACCCAGGCCGACCAGCGCACCAAGCGCACGACCATCTATATGGCTGTTGTGCTGTGGAGCGTGGCCGTTTTGAGTGCGTTTAAGTTTTTGGGGGCCATGTGGTTCCTGATTGTCAGAATGTTCCGCGGGGTTTAAACGCGGTGGCTGACGCCCCGGACTACGACTTGATTTTTTTTTCTACATTTGCGTCATGAGATGATCTTCTTTTAGACAGGGACTGTTGCTGGTCTGGTACTGGTCGACTCGTGTTGCCTTCTTTGACCCCTTGTTCCACCATTCACTCACCCTTTTTTATTTTCTGGATTATACCCCCAGTTGTACGACTTCTTTCCTATCTTCTTTTTCGTCAAGCAACGAGTTGGAAAGGGGGACTCAAAGCATCATGTGTCCCACAAGCTCTGATCTAGTTTGGCTTTTGCTTACGACTAAGTATGGAACTGGCCAACCCGCTATCGTCGGAGGACCTTTTTTTTCTCTGTTATGTCTTGATACTTGCACGCTTTTCTGTTCACCCACGTACACACCAACATGCTATTTTACTTTTGTTTATAACTCTCATTGCTCTTTTCCATCTTTCATCCTTGTTATGAATAGTTTCGGTCAGCCGGTGGAGGAGACGGGGAGTGCTGGCGTTGAGCCGTGTGGGGTGGATCTTGTTGCTACGTGTCTTTTCCAGCCGATTCGTGTTATGAATGAACACTTAGAGGCTGTTAGTTTAGTATATAGTATACAAATTACCGCGAAAGTCTGTGTGTCGCTGTCCTAAGTTCCATTTTTGGGCGGCGGGCGCACCTGTTCATAGATACACTAAGCGCACCCCCTTACTAGTACTCTAGTGTTGTGAATGCTACAGGCATGCATGCGCGGCTGAGTGAGTCAGACTAGGGTTAGGCACACTAGCACCTAAATAGGATAGGAACTCATAAAATAGCTTAATAGATTATTATAATAATCTAGTAAACTAGGAGGGTTATTAGGATTATAAAGTAATCTAAGTAATCTAAGTAATATAATAGAGAATAGAATAAATATATAAAAAAAGGGATTTCTAGTAGATAGTTAGATTAGATCTTTATTAATTAATTTAAGTAATAACTCTATTATTAAAAGATATCTTTTAATATAATTTATACTATAATAACTACTTATTAGTACTTTATACTTTTAAACTAACTCTGTTCTTAAGAAACAGACTAACTATGGATTAGGGATTAAGCCACCGTTACACTTAGGAGGAGCCCGAAGCTTAGTAGATAACGAACCACGGGCCGAGGCGACTGGCCTGTAAAGTACGTGTCCTTCTACTCAGTATGCTATCTAACAACGCAGAGTGTAATACACGTCTTCTTGGCTGATAAGTGGTTGGAAGAAGAGTAGAATAAATTACAGCATAATCAACACCAGAAAACCGACTGTTCCAGTTTCCTTTCTAGGAGAGGAACCTGAGCGGCGCTGCTCTAGCATGAGCCTTGGTGAGCTCCGATCCCGAACCAGCACACAAACTCCCCTGATCAAGAATTGTCGACTCCCCCGAGCTGCTTTGATTTCTCCCGGCTAACCTTGGAGCTGGCTGGGCACACCTCTCTGTGAGTTTAGGTCTTGGAACAGTTGAGACTATCGAGGTACTTCGTAGGCAATACTAATAAGCATATGCATTATCCGTGCGTATGTAAACACTATTACCACTTCTTACTCTCGTAAGATTTAGATGGTAAAATTTTCTAACGGCATGCATTGTGACGGACCGGCGATCTAACTTTATAACCTAGCTATATCGTTTACCAAGGTAGGAAACTATGGCGCATTTCTTCGTTCTGCGTTACTTGTTGTTGTATACTACGTTGAGGAAAAATGACTCATATCCCATAATTATTTAATGCTTCAACACTGCGTAGTTTCTAATACTCACTAATCGTAGCTATACATGCTTACTACTAGCTATCAGTCGTCGAGGCATAACTCTGGTACACGAGCTGGTATAGTAGACATTCTATTAAAACGGTGGTTCGTCAACGGGGGTAATACTACGGTCGGGCAAGTTATATAAGCTTAGATCTGTAAAAAACCCAACCCACCTGAGACTCGAGATACGGGCATAATCTCAGGAAGCGCCGCCTGTCCACCAAAGAGCCGAGACTTCCGGCTGCAAATTAGCCCCGATTCGTATAATGATTATCGGCTTGTTAAAGCTCTTGGTAGATAAGCGGAGCTGTCTAACGACGTACTCATCGTTGTGGCGATGCAAAGCCAGTCAGGCTGACCAAGCGCTTAGCGATTCCATGAACCAGTTCATAAATTATTGAAGAATGAACCATTCTGTATATTAAAGATGCGGTTGTGCTTATGAGTCTTATCAGAATCTCTTCTTATTGTTCTCTATACTTATTTAACATAGTCGTGCTAAATATATATATATATATATGTAGCCGGCGCCCATCTAACCATATTGTCATAACCTCTCTCATCACCCTCACCTTTGCGCTCTCGGCCTTCTCGGCAGCGGCGGTCTCTATCGAGAGGAGAGTTGTTAGCGGAGAAGATGCCAAAGATGGCGAATTTCCATCCGTTGTCAGTCTGGATGGTACGAATGGTATTTGCGGAGGCACTTTGCTAGACAGCACTACTGTGCTTACTGCTGCGCATTGCCTTAGAGGGACTGAAACTGTCAGGGCGGGATCAGTGGTAAAAACCCCCTCCCCCTCCCTCAGAATAACCCCCCCCCGGGGGGCGTACAGGTCAAAGTCGCGAATCGGACCGCACACCCCGAGTATAGACTAAACTCCCAAGACAAAACCAAGCCCTATGCGAACAATGATATTGGCATCCTTAAGCTAGCAAGTCCGATCGAGAAAAGCGACAAGATTAGCTATGCCACGCTCCCGGCAGACGGCTCAGATCCCGTGGTCGGCTCCATGGCCACAGTCACAGGCTGGTAAGTACACTGATACACATGACAGCTTGCTGAGTAAGGGGGTTAAAACACATAAAGGGGCGACCAAGAACCCTCATGGATTGTACTCGAAGACATGACCTTTGAGAACCTGTCCAAGATTACTATCCCTATCCACGCACGCGAGGTCTGTGACAAGATTGACCCAGAAGTCAAAGGCAGAGCGGAAGCGGCAAGAGTCCGTGCAAATTTGACAGTGGAAGTGGTCTCATTGACCAAAAGACTGGTCAAGTCATTGGCGTCGCGTCATTCGTCATCAAGGATAAGAATAGCTATTACTGCGACCAGGCTCCCACGGTCTTTACTCGCGTCGGCAGCTACATGTCGTTTATCAAGCAACATCTCGAAGGTGCGGACGCTGCTGCTGCCAAGCCTGATCCGGTACCGGCGACGAACACGACGAAAACGGAATACCAGGGTCCTCGGGCCAAGGAAGACGAGCTCCGTTCCACCGCGGTCAAGCCGAACAAGTACGGCATCCCTGAAGACGAATGCCGGCGCATGGTTGCACAGTGTGTCTTTGAGGAAGCTCAGAAGAAGGAGGTGGCCCAGAACTTTGATGGGGTTATTGAGTGCATGGATTCCCAGTTCCGGGGACTAGAAAAACGCCAAGCAGGGAACTCGATGCCTCTCCTGGGCAAGAGTATTTCCTCTTAGACAGATGTGGTTGATTTGAATAGATGGCGTGTCTGATCTTTGACTCCACCTTCAGCATCAGTTTTCTATTAGGGATTCTGCGCTGCGCCTACGCAAAATTGCAAAGAGCTAGCATTTGTCTAACTAGTCGTGGCCGTACACATAGTGACATGCACGGCGACACGTTCGGCCACAAACTGCTGTAGAGGCGTTGTTCCGAGTCGGTATCTGGTACAGGTCATCCAGGTGTAATTGAGTGAGATTGTACAGAACCGGAGTAACAATCAGAGATACGCTTTTCATAGCTCAAGTGATTTGGCATCAGGATTTTTCGTTTTTTTTTTTCGCCCTTTCAGCACCCTGTCAAGGAGCGGCTCCAGCACCTACGCAGGCACAGCTCATGGGCCTTCAGATGTGCTCAACTTCAGCCTCAGGGAGCAGCTCGCAGGAGGGAGCCACTTCAGAGCTCCAGAGACTCTTGGTGCCTGCTTTTTTTCTCTTTTGCTGTTAAAAGCGGCGAGAAAAAACAGTCAGAATTTGAGTGGTGTTACACCTGGTCGTTATTGATCGTATAGTTTGAGAGAAGAGCAATACGTGCTACGTCTGCTATTTACCCAACAACAAAAAAAAAACTTGATGTGTTACATTTTCTATTCATAGGAGGACTATTACACAGATTGGATTACAGAGAGCGCTGATGCCACGTACTCATGTCGTGTAGCCTAAGCCCAACGATTGGCCGTAGGTCAGTCCGCGCATGTCGTTACCTACTCTGACGAAACTAGTATCTTACATCTGCCTAGGGTGTAGCGACGCCCGGAAATGACTGACACTGAAGCATACCAACACACCCATAATGATCTTGATATCTAGATCCAGCGGTAAGCAGGCTACTACGTTCCCTAGCCAGTAGCGAGTATACATCAGGCTGTACAATCGACCGTGGGATGCATGATGGTCCAACTAAGAAGTGACACTGTTGACTCAGCATAAATTTGGCCACTGACCAAAATCGGCTATTATGAGTTCGCGGACGGAACTGCGCCAAGGGGAATAGATGAGTGCCCAGGTATAATACGGCGCATAATGACGAAGAATCTGTATTTAATCGAATCTCAAGTATCGCGACTGCGTCAACCTGTTTGCACTTGAAGAAATACTACGTCTATAGCATGAGTGAAACGTTGGCAGCCTGAAGGTATCCTATTCTCTCTAGAAGCACTATAGTATATGCGAGTACCTAGGGCTGCCTACAGTAGCCCTTTACCAGGCGTGACGATGAGGCCTTATAGACCTGTGCGTTTTGGACCGTCTTTTGGGGGTGCTGATGATCCTTTGGAGTTAACAAGCTCCACCCAGTCTGTCGGAGCAACAGGACCGTTCCAAACTACTCGATTCTTCTCATCATGCGCGATGTCGTCGTTGTTTACATTTGCAAACTTCACCATCGAGATGTTCTTTTCCATCCGCGCGCATGCTGCATCAAATACGAGGCCTGCAATAAATGACTTGGGGTTAGTGTACTGGGCTGCTCAACGCTGGACTTGGATGGATGCATACCCTTGAACGACCACGCGTCTCCGTTTCCGTTCTTCCCCTTATCATCCAGAATATGGATTTCGTTCAGGTCCCGGACGTCAATCTCGTCTTTGCCAAAGTACTTTTTTAAATCGATGGCCTCCTTCTTGGTGCTGCCCAACTTGGGTTCCACGCCGAGTAAGATCTCCTTGCTCTTGCCAAGAGTCATGGACAGGGTATCCCATGTGCCGCCGCCGGTGACGTCCATGAGCGAAAACTCGTAGGATAGCCCCTTGATCTTGGCGCAAGGAGGCGCGAATCCCCAGTCGTGTGGAACAACAGGGAAGTTGGCGACAGTGGCTCTGTCCTTTCCATAGTTGGTCGCCGCGCCTCCTGGATGTTGATACTTTGTATTGATGAAAATGTTCTTCAAATTGCCGGCCTTGAAGCTGGGATCAGCACAGTCTGCGAGGAGCTGAATGCCTGCATTCGAAATATTAGTACTAGCCCGCCAAGACATGTGATCGCCGCTCGTACCTTCAACCTTGAACTCGTCATTCCGATACGCTGGGCCGTAGTCGTGCCCCTTGGCATTAAGGGTAATGTTAGTAATGCCAGCGATGTCGATGGTGTCTTTTTTGTATGCGGCCTGCATATCGACCTTTGCCTCATATTTTGTTCCGAGTGAAGGTTCATCGTGCACCTTTAGAACCGCCTTGCCAGCCGGCCCTTCGAGAGTAGCGCCAATGTCATCCCAGGATCCGGCGTAATTCTCGTTGGCGAAACTGACAATAAGCCGAATATTTCTGATTGTGCGGCAGGGCAGTGGCACGTTCCTCTTCTGTACAATCTCACGAAGGCGGTCACAACTTTCCTTCTTTGATTTCTTGGATACCGGTGCCGGCGTTACTAAATGCAGAGATTAGCGAGAGGACCTTGTTCTCGTCGGTGATAAGTTTTACCTTGTCTGGGCAGTGACCTTCGGCCGCCAGAATGGTCCGAGAAGTAGCGGAAAATATCATCAAGCTCCATAGGACAGTCGATGCCAGTATAGTTACCCGCCAACAATTGGTCGATATCGATATCATCAAGGTCGGGTAACGGTAGATCGTTGTGGTCCAACAAATCAAGAACGGGCAACGGGATATCATCATCATCCACCGGATGAAAACCGGGAGCCGATGAATCACTTTGGCCACTCAGCCGTTGCCGGAGATGGTCAAGTGCTTCAAACTGTACCGGTCTCTCGACATGGTTCGCCTCGTAGTCAGCGTGCGACCACTGGCCCAATTGGCCTCTCTCCTCATCCATATACATCTGTAGTCCAGTGATAACCACACCCGTCCGCCCGTGTCCATAACCACACCATACAAGCGTAGTCCCGTCACCGCGATGCCTCTGAAAGCCTTCCCAGGCTTGTTGAAATTGATGCTCTGTTGGCGAGGTCCAGTTTCGGACGGGTATAGGTGTATAGGCAATCCCAGCTTGCTCAAAAGCTCTTACGAACTCTGTGTTATTGGCCTGGGAATTCGCGCTGATGACATGGTTGATTTTCTTTGCCTTGAGAGCTTTGATCGTATCTTTGGTTATCTTTTGGGTCCCATCGCTGTCATCGGCCGTCGGGTCATACACGTAGTAGGGAGCCGAGGAGCGAGCAAGACTATACCCCGGGGTTACATGAGCGGTGACAAGCTCGAAGCGCTGGAGCCCGCCATCTGCGGACGCTGCCTCTCCGGACGGGTCTGGTGTAGTGGTATCTGTTCCCGAAGACTATAAGTTGGTCTACGCGGCACTGGTTCTTGGGATCAAGACTTACCGTCCATATTCTCATACCCGTTGACTGGAATGGCATAGGCGGCTGTCGCGGCCCATGCAAGCGCGAGAAAGGCTTTGCTGAGAAGCATCGTGTTGATCAAAGAGAGTGATAGGTTGTGTAGAGTTCTGTATCAAGTTGTATATCGTAGCTCAATGGCGAATGAGTGGCGCCTTGGGAGAATGGTGTCGAGTATTCTGAGCGACAGTTGGCGGGAACATCTCTATTATATAGCCATTTTCAGACGACCCCGATTTTTTTTTTAATTTTAGGTTTTGAGTTTTGACCTCTGCGTGCAAGCAGCAGCCATGGTCTGAGTCGTGGTAGCAAGATAATGATGCATGGACAGAGGGCGTGTCATGAACTCGATTCTGCAACGGCGCTTCCTTGTGAGATGCTGGTCCGACTTAGAAGCACCAGTTGGTTGATAAGATATTCTGGCTTTCCCATACCTTTCGCATACCACTAAACTCACCACGCATCGGAGCCTTGTAGAAATCCGTAACTAAGGACCAAGTCGCTGGACAGCCCGTAGTAGAAGCTGAAGGTGCATCATGGATGTCTAATGCAGCCGCGGCCCACAGTGTGGTTTGCAGCAGCGCATAGCCACCCACTCATTCTTGAAAAGGGGATCTCCATCAACCGCAAGAAGGGATGGGATATCTAGCGTTGCCGGCAAAAGCGCTTGATGATGTGCTGTAATAGGCTGGACAGAACGAGGATGCTTGGTTTTCCGCGAAGTGCTGGCTGCCTGTGTCCCCCCCAATGAGAATGCGCATTGCACCATCGAGCGCCGCATTTCATTCTTAGCCCGGACATAACTCAGCAATCGCGCGTCCATTAACTAGGTCCAAGGACAGTGGCTCCTTACTCGCCACATGGGCTTTTCTAGCAGGTCCGGGTGTATAGCTGGAGTTACCCCTCCCTCCGGTCGATAGTTGTTGGTCGGCCGATTTAGTATTCCTGATCTAGCCCCAGCGTTTCATGCGCACTGGAGAATCGGCACTTGTGTGGGGCTTTGTGGGGCGCCTACTTGGACATGGTATAACTTGGATAGATCTGGCGTAACTTACATACGCTCGGTTTTGTCTACAGTCTCTATAAGGGCTTAGAATAAGGTCAAGCGGCGTTGTGGATTAGGCGGGAAATACCTCCGTCAGTCCTTGGTGGTAATGATGATGATGTGTGTAGAAGCCACCTAATGCACTTGCTTAGTTATATTCACGACCTAATCTTGTGGCTTACGCCTTAATCTTGAGTCTTTATTTAACAGGCCACTGTAGCTGAGTCATAATGCATAAAATGGTCGGTAAAATGGTCGGTAAAATGGTCGGTAAAATGGTCGGCTTACCAGATTCATGCCCTGATTTTGAGTATTTTAGCATACTACTGTGACTCGTTACTATGTGTCACGTGCCTTAGTCTGCTGTCAAGCAGGAGGACGGCACCCGATTCAAGAAGGGGATGAGACTCACAAAAGGGTCATTTTTGTACGCGTTTTTCCTACCATTGATGAGGGAGGCACCCCATAAGGGTGTCCCCAGCCGTCCCCTGAGGGACACAGCTAGTTTTTCCTTCAATCAACACTCTCAATGACGATTAGCTGGCCTTGCGGAACATCTGCCTTATTAGGCAGACCTATTGCTACATAGCCAGGTAGCCTTAGGCCACAGTTAGCAATAGACTAGGTTCTCCCATACATCCTCACAAATTGGTAGCAACACTAGTTAGATCAGACTCAGAGTTCTTCCATTATTTGTTTTACTTTAACATCTACTTTCACCAGACTTCGGAGTTTTCGGAGACACCAGCCGCGAGGAACCAGAAAGTAGACACACTAGCCTATCCAGGCACCAGACGCCCATCCGGGCACCAGCCGTCAAGAGACGACACCAGGATACGACAAGATGGACCGTACGATCGAGCAGTCCCTACAGGCGGCGATGCAGGAGACGTACACCATTTACCATTCGGCATACCAGAGACCAAACTTGCGAGAGAAACTCACGGCACTAGTAACTGACTGTTGATTAACTAGCTATTAAAATGGCACCTGTAACACATCTGCAGGCCCCCCGTTTGAACTTCCCACATTACTCACGGCAACGCCGTTTGGATCGGGAGCTGCAGACCTTTGTCGTCAACCATAGGCGCCGTCATTCACCAGAAATGGAAGCCATCACGTGCGGCAATGGTAAAAGACTGGCGTTTTCAGTGAATTGGTTGGTGGGTGGCTACCCGCTAGAAGGAGACATTCATACCATGCGACACTCGCCATCTTCCCAGTATTTGTTGCGACTACATTCTGTCTCGTTTGAGGAACTAACTCTCCAAAACGGGAATACGAAATATTTTATTGTTTCTCGGCCTGCAATTTTGCGAGACTTGGTCGGTCAGCAGGTATACTGCTCGGGCGTGGAGTGACGTATCGTGGGTGTGTTGCACGGCATACTCGTACGAGCTGCAATTTATTCTACGCCGACCGCTCTTTGGGCGAGGCTGGCGAGGGAAGTGGGCGAAGACGAATTCTATGAATTCTTTCTGGAGCTGTAATAGATATTCTTCTAATAGGAAATAAAAAAGGATATAAAAATATATATTAAGTACTACTATATATATTAAATAATAAAGACTAGAATATATTAACCTTATAGTTTATTTATACTACTATTAGTACTTTTATATCTATTTAAGGAAATATTAATAGACTTAATTACTAGTCTATTTAAATAATAAAGAAGATATAAAGAATATAATACTATTCTAATAATAGTAGATTAAACTATATAATATAATATCTATATTACTATAAATAAGAACCTAATAAGTAGTAACCTTATAGAAATATTCTTATATAAAGTAGTAACTCCCTATAGAGTACTAAAAGATATTATATCTAACTAAAGGATAATCTTTATATTAGGATTCTAATAGAGTTTTTATTACTTTATAGTAATAAAATAATAACTTAGTATTATATTCTATTTATAAATAAATAATCTTATAGAATAAATAAACTTAACTCTAGAATACTATTTAAGGGCTTTTTATAATATAGAGTAGACTAACTAGGTTAAAAGGCTAATAATAGTATAGTTTATATATAATATAAGTTAGTAGGTATTAGTTAATAATATCCCTATAAGATTACTATTAGGTTATATACTAATACACTCTATTATTACTTAAAGAATATAAGTTATATATATAAATATAAAGAGTATAAAGATATAATAAGAATACTATAAAGATAATATAAAAACACTATAAAGAAACTAAGAATTCTTATTTAGTAAAATAAAGTTAGTATAAATATACTAGAAGTAAAGTATAAGCTATTAATAAGCTTATAATATAAAATACTAAAATCCTTAAAAACCTTTATAGTATAAGACTATAATAAGGTTATAATAAAGTAGTAACTACTCCTTCTCCTCCTCCTCCTACTTAAAGTTAAATAAAGTAGATACTATACTAAAGTCTAATAAACTAATAAACACTTATATAAGTTAATTATAAAGTTATATAAAAGACCTATTATACTTACTATAAAGGAGTATATAATACTAGTATAATAGTATACTATATATATAGTAAAAAACTATATATATATAATACTATTAATATAAACTCTATACTTAATTATTACTTTAATATAAGAATATTTTTTTTATAAAGTCTTAATAACTTTATTAGTATCCCTTAGGATCTTCTTATTTTATAAAATTAAGGACTTATTCTAATAATAAATTAATAATAAACTTACTATAAGAATAGATATAACTTACTACTTTACTATAATAGTATATAGTTTAGAGGGTAGTAAAAACTTACTACTTACTTATAGTAAGAGTAATATACTCTTATATACTATCTTAGTACTAAAAGTACTTCTTAGACTAATCTATACTTATATAAACTAACTATAAATTTATTATAAATTTACTATTTAGTATTAGTCTTTAAGTAATATACTAAAGTAGTATAATTAATAAAGTATTATAAGTACTAGTAGTAGTTAATAGTATAACTTTATAGTAAATTAGTAAGAGTATTATAGTAAGAAGATAGATACTTATAAATTAATATAAATAAGACTCTTTTTATTATTATTTAAATAAAAAGGATAGTACTATATAGTAAATTAATAGTAAATATATATAAGGTTTATACTAACTTACTTAACTAGAAATTCTAAAGTAATAATAATAATAGTAAAAGACTTATAAAGAGTTAGTTAAGTTATTATAAAGTTATAAAGAATATATATATTAATTCTTTTTTTAAAAAAAAGTAAAAAAAAGATTTATTAATTAATTATTATATATATAAATTAATTATAAATTTAATAACTTATTAGAATTTATAGATTCTTATAAAAATAGTAGTAATAATAGAGTAAAAGTCTAATATTATAAATTAATAATAAAAATAATAAAATATATATATATAAGAGTAATAAAAGTATTAAAATATATTAAATTTAATAATTCTTAAAGAAAAAGAAGAAAGAAAGTAAAAAATAGAGCCTTAAGGGATATTTATCCTTAATAACCTATATTAGAGTTAGTAAAATAGCTATAAAGTTAAAAGTAAAAGTAAAAGACTATTAAATAAAAAGAATAAAAATATAAAAACCTTATATATATATAATAAGATTATATTATACTTATAGTAAATAATAATAAAGTCTTTTATATTTAAACTAAGAAGGTAATTAGAAGAAAGTAAAAATAAAAGATATATTAATAAAAAGAATAAAGAAGAAAGGGAGGCCTAGTAAAAGAATAGTAAAAGAGTAGTATAAAAGTATAATAGTAAAGACTTATTTACTTTAAAAATAAAAGAGTAATAAAAAGAAAATAAAAGTAAAAAATATATTAATTAGAAAAAAAAAAAAAAGACCTAAAGGAAATATAATAACTATATAGTAAAAGAGTAGTCTAATTAAATAATAAAAAAAGAAAGACTAATTATAAAGTAAATATAAATTATTAAATAAATAGTAAAAGTAAAATTACTAAATTATATATAAAGAACCTATAAAGGCCTAGTATATTTAGTATTACTATATATATACTTAATAATAAA